GACGCTCGCTCCCTTTTTTTTTTTTTTTAACGTTGGGAAATGCATTTACGCACGAAGTGTGGGACTCACCGGCGAAGCCAGTACTAAAACCCAACAAAACCTTCCCCCGTCTTAATGGGGCGTCGCAGGATCGCTTACGCATTCAACTACGACGCCCCGACGGCAGGTCTGCCGAAGACCACAACAACCATGGGGTTGCTCCACGGTCCACTCTGCTATCAGAGAAGTACCAGGAGCAACCCGCATGGTACACCGCCCTCCGAAGAAGGCCGCTTCCCACCGCCCGAGAAAACGGGCCACCTCCCTGTGCATTTCTTGGCTTCGCGAGTACACTACTGAGCCCCCCCACCACGACAAGGTGAACGCACGTTGGGGGGGGACGCTCGCTCCCTGCCGCAACTACAATACTGATTATTATTTATTTTACAAGATATGCCAACAACACATACTCGTAAATTTAATTAACTTATAATACTTATGACAAGTTCAAGTACAAGCATTAATTGTAGGCAACAAAACAAAATTAAAATTTTTAAAAGTTTCAAATCATGTAATAATACAGGTTGATTCCCCATACATATTTTCATCCCCATTTTCAACCCCTTAAGGGATGATTTCCGGGATAAAAACTATTCTATGTCCTTCCCAGGGTCTCAATCTATCTTCTTACCAAATTTTATCTAAATCGGTTCAGTAGTTTCGGAACCTATTTAGTACAAACAAACAAACAAAAAATCAAATCTTTCGTCTTTATAATATAAGTTTATAAATGCATTAATAAATTTAAATAAGATTAAATTACATGACGTTAGAAAACACAGATCAGTCATATATATATATATATATGTATATATATATTAACTTATCTAAATAAACACCTCCAGGTAAATTTCTAAGAAATCTATTGTTAACTGTAACGCCGACGTGCCCGCGGTCGTTGAGGGATTATTAATATCAATATCATTGATATTGATAGTTAATTTGTTTGTTAAAATTGAGTCAAGGTTTGTAAAACTCTATCTATAGCAGTGTTTTGATAAAGGAGGAAGGAGATACGTAGTCCCTGCTGGAGCTCGTCGACGTCAGCCAGTAAACCTAGCTATTGTTTAGTTTCTGTTAAAGAGTTTTTGACTATAATTTATATATAAAAGCTTTTCAGTCGAAGCACACAATTTATTCACGTAGAATAATAGATAATACTTAATTAAACGGAAATCAGTATAAGACATTATCGACGTTTAATTTGTTTTTGCGCTCAGTGGCCCGGAGAGTACGATGATAAATATATAATATTTGAAATGTAACGAACGTATGATCTATATTTAGAAAACTATCATTGCCCGCGGCTCCGCCCGCGTTTAGAAGACCAAAAACCAAGTTCTTAGGTCTTACATTTAAATATACTATTACATTGCAGTTTTTGTATTTTTTTCTCAGAAATGAGACATTTTCCCGCAGTAAACAGTATCCTATATATTGACCCGGATAGCCAGCTATCACCATACCAAATTTCATCAAAATATCTCCAGTGGTTTTTCTGTGATGCGGTAACAAGCAGACAGACATACAGACAAAAAATATAAAAACTATAGATTCGGCCTCTGTATCAATAATATTGTTTATTTCAATAAGATTTTCCAAAAAATATTTAATGGACAGATTCGGCTTAGTTACAATTTTGTTATACGACGAGTATGTATATATTTTTTTTAATTTAAGTAGCTACTCAATTATAATATAAACTGCATAAAAATACACATCTAAGCGCTTACACTCGACCAACACACTAAATCATCTACAGACTACATACTCGTGGAAAACTCTATTAAGATACATGAAGATTGCAGCTACTTTGATAGTTTTCTAACAGAATTAAAAAAAAAACGTACTAAAAATATTTAAAAAACTCTTACGTATTGTAAGAGATTATAAAAATAATAATATTCTAAGAAAAATTTAAAAATTAAAATAAATTTAATGTGTTCTGTTATTTTCACGAACATTTGACTGTGTGTGTGTTTGGAAATAAAAGACAACTTTATTTCTATTACATTTTTGATGACATTTTTGCTATTCGATGGCTGGTACCTGCTCTGGGACCACCCTTTGTCTGTTCGAATCAATAGGTATTGCATAATGAGTGCTTACACAATAAATAGATAATGCCTGCGAGGACAGCAACAATAATTAGCATGTAATATTTGAAAAGGCTTTAATGTTTATCATCGTATAAAATATGTGTTGCAAATTGTAATGGAATTCAAGTTTCAGCACGTACACTGTACAGGCTTCGGAATGTATCCAGTCTACGTTACATCACGTATCTTTTTATAAAGTTTGAGCGTTAAATTTAACTTCGTCGAACATTCGTAGGCGTTTCAACTTCCCGTGACAGATTACCTGCGCCTCCGGAGCGAGATTAATGAGGACGCGGTATTCGCAGTGCGTTAGGAGTCACAGATTACACCGACGAGTTTCACATGTTTTACAGCGTTACTTTATAAAAAATACTTCATAAGTTTTAATTTTATTTAAAAGTAGTGGTAGAAGTCTCTTAATAAAATACATGTTACATTTTATTTTATATCTTCTATCCAAGCGTTTTTGATAATTTAAGAAGAAAGTTCAATTTTCAACTATTGGATCAAGATCCGGCTGCAAGATTGCTACGTTCATAACGTATTTAATCAAAATCAATTTTTTATATACAATAATAAAAGGGACAATATGTTTTGACCGGGGTGCCTATTAAAATGTGCCCGCTAGTATGTTTAATTAAATAAATAATAATTGACTTTTTGGAACAAAATCGATGCACTTGTTATTAAAATGAATTATACTCCACTTCACAGAAAGATACGTAGACATCTTGAAAAGTGATAGCTGCCGTTGCGCACTTGGCCGCCACCTCTTCGCAGCCAGGTGTAAGCGGGTCATGTTTTGTTACATTTATACATTCGTGGCGTAGGTATATATTTAATTAAAGCTATTTTTTTTCTGTACTTAATAAACTACGTCTGCCTATGTAAAAGTGGACGCAAAGGAGGCTGCCAGTCATTAAATATTTTTTTGTTAAATTTATACGTTCATGGCGTATATTCATCATTTATATATCAAATTAAAGCTATTTTTTTTTGTGCATGATAAAATACCTCTACTTATGTAAAAGTGGCCGCAATGGAAAGAAAAGAAGGAAAGAATATAATATTATATGTCATTTGTCAGACAATAACAACGGCTACCATGGCAAAGATAGATTAACGTGAAAGAGAGTTAGCGCGTTAGTCAACTGTTTGTTGTTGGTGGACGCTGGCCAAGTGCGGGTTGGCGAACTTCACAATTCATATGTCTTTCGAAAACTTGCTAAGTCTTCTCTGACATGCAGGTTTCCTCGCGATGTTTTCATTCACCGTAAGGCATGTTAGAAATGATTCACACATGAAAATATCAGGTGCGAGACCCGGGATTTGAACCCGATTCACTCGGTTTCTCAAGCGAGCGTTACCACTGGGCTACCACTGCCTATAATAATAACTAGTTATTATAATTTATACAAAATTAAAAATTCAAATTTTAAACTTATAAAACCTTATTCAAAATGAATAACCTTCAGGTAAGCATACATCTTATTAAATGCTCCATTTCATACAATATCATCTAAATATTTTTAAAATATAATTTATTGAAAAGTCTTGTACTTAGCGCTACCACCAAGAGATGAAATTTAAAGCAAGGTTGAGCATCTGAATCCGTATACATCTAATGCAACTCATCGTCCTTAATAGCTTTCTAATAGCATCCCACGTACATCTCGTACCGATCTGATCCCATCCGATGCGATACAGCCGTCACGTGCGCCGCATCCCGCGGGACGCAATCAGCGCCGCGCCCGCGCCGAGTCTCGCTACGGGGCAAGTTAAACTGAGCGCGTGCTCGCGAGTCGCGACCGAACACATATGTACGTGATCTCTAATTTTGTTAAGTAATTTCTAAGTAAACTACTTCAAAGGCGATATTATATTTAGTATTTCAAATATTGTTTAGTTTTTTTTTCTGTAATTTAGTTACTCTAATAGAGATAACTATTATTGCCCGCGGCTCCGCCCGCGTTCAGATGACCAAAAACCAAATTCTTAGGTTTTACATATTATTATACTCTTACAGTGCAGTTTTTGTATTTTTTCTTAGAAATGAGATATTTTCCCACGGTAAAAGTATCCTATATGTTGACCCGGATAACCAGCTATCACCATACCAAATTTCATCAAAATCCTTCCAGTGGTTTTTCAATTACTTGTATCACTGTATCTAAGAAAGTATTACTTGTATCAATTACTTATTTGACAAAAATTCTAAAAACTTTACAACTACAAGATTCGGCCTCTGTATCAATAATAATGTCTATTTCAAAAAGATTTTCCAAAAAGTATTCAATGTACAGATTCGGCTTAGTTAGAATTTTATTATATGTATAGATAACTGCCAAAACATATTTATAGTTTCGATAACGCCGGATTTCGGTTAATAGTAGCGCTTCAGTGGAATATCTAATTAATCTCATCTCTAATACACCACTACAGAGTACAGAGCACGCCGCACGGTGCGGTGCGGGCGCGTCGCGTCGCTCGGAGACGATAATTGATGTCACATAAGCCTAATGTAATGTAACGTCTCTATCAAAACATATTTAGTGCTGCAGACATGAGATATACAATTCAATCTCATTTGCATCTGTCTCACATAACAACAAACATTTAAAATCAATGCATTCTTTGTTTTTTGGTCTTAAGGAATTTTAACAAAACAGTTACAAGTCACAAAATATTTATAGTAAGTTCATGTATAAAATACAAACAGGTTTAGAATTAATTAAGAAAAAAAACAATAATAATAAAATAAAGCTTACCTCAAGGCAAAGTAAGGGAAAGAAAATGATATTTGGTTGGTACGATCTTAAAGGTGGCCTCAAGTATTAGTAATTGAAAGTTTAATATCGGCGGATGATCCGTTGTGGCGGAATATCGCCCTTCATGCCGCACAAAGCGCGCGACGCGACGCCCAGCGCCGGCACAATCGCTTCCTTACGTCGGGTGAGTTCACTGGAAAATTAAACTAACAGTAACTACATAATATGAATATCTCGGCATTCTTGACATATAATGTTATATAAAATCCACATCATTTTTAATGTTATGAGCTCAATATCAATATTCCTACAGAACACTGCCCCTTTTTCATAATGACTAGCGACTCAACCTCATTTCGCTCGGGTTCGTCCCTAGATCGATTCCCCATACAAACTTTCATTCCCATTTTCACCCCAGGGTTTCCATTCCATCCCCCAGGGAATTTCCCAGGCTCTCAAACTATCTTCTTACCTAATTTCATCTAAATCGGTTCAGTAGATCCAGAGATTACCCCCTACAGTTTGTTTAACTATCAGTAATGTAACTGTCAGTAAGACTGTCAGTTATATTAACAGCTGGTAAGTTTAACTGTCAGTTAATTTAACTGCCAGTAAGTTAAACTGTCGGTTAGCTTGGCTGTCAGTTAGTTTAACTGTCAGTTTGATTAATGTCAATAACGTTAACTGTCAAATTAACTGTCAGTTAGATTAACTGCTAGTAAGATTAACTGTCAGTTAATTTAACTGCAATTAGTTTAACTGTCAGTTAGCTTAACTGTCAGTTAGTTTAAATGTTTTAGTTTTACAACATTCACGCTTGTAACCCTTCAACGGATTGGAAACAGACGACAGTGTAGAGTTAGAATACGTTGATTAGCACATATGCTATGTTTCTTCAACGTTATTACAAAACCAATGGAGCCGCGTGCACAAATTAGTACTAAATAAATATATTATTAAAACTGCATACGATCCTACTTCGGACACAACAAAAAATCACAGAAGCCAAATCCAACTTCCAAGTTTTGTACAAAATTCATGTGATCGTCTGTTAGTTGCATCACTTGAGAACATCTGTTTCATCTCTAATTCTGTCTACCTACAAAATAACCTACAGGTCAGCGCTGAATAAATGTATAGATAGATAGATGTATCAACTTTAAGTTAAATTGACACAATATTAAACTAACCTCAGGTGTTAAAGGAGACATTGATACAACATATTGTGTTTTCATGTAATTTATTAAAGAACTCTGTTTCAATATATATACAAGATTGCCTCCCGGCGCCGCGCGCCCGCGCTCTGCACGATGCCACGTCAATTAAAGGGCCAGCTTTCAACATTTTGTAACCCACAACAAAATACAAAGGAATCCATTTTTATAATTACCTTGTGGTTATAAAAATATAATCAAAAGGCAAAATCTTGTGTCGAAAACAACAAAAATCACAACTGAGTGGAGTGCAAGCAATCGAAAATTTCAAAATACTTAGTAAAAAAAAAGGTAAAAAAGGAAATTATATTCGACCATTATTAGAAATGGTATTTTTATAAATGTCTGTAATTTTCTTATATTTTGATTACTACGAGTTTAATACACGAACGCACGTCGCATACAATGTTATTTTATCAAAAACCTACGCGCTAGTCGTAGGTCTCTCTTGGACGTCGGGGAGGCTTATGGCTGTAGTGACGCCTCGCACAATATTTTAGATAAATTAATTATTAAGAACATTTAATTTACTGTGAACCAAAAATCCTTTGAAAAGAATACCTCGTGCAAAAATATCAATGTATGTATCATTACAAAAGGCGCCGCGCTCAAACAGCTCTATCATTTAAAAATAAATTCAGAATTAAATTATAATTGAAAAATTTACAACAAACCATATTTTGCTAAAAATACATTTACAAATAGATTCATTTAAAAAAATATTTAATGAAATCGGATTTTCACTCAAAACAATTTAGTTAGTTAACAATTTACATGTTTTGTATAAAAATACTTGTCTATTGCACGTTCTGTAGCGGGCGTTGCACTTCGCCGTTACTGTAGCGAGACAGCGGGACTCTGACAGGTATATATAATCACAAAAAAATATTACATGACATAAAATAATACAAAAAATGTTAAAACAATAATTTTAAAATTAATAATTATATAGTGATCCGCCGCCTTGAGGGAAGCCAGTTGTCAAGCTGGTCTAAGTTGCGCACCCGTTCAGATGAAACTTAAGATGCAAATCATTAGGTTTATAACAAATGAATGTTGGAAATAATACATGAAGAGGTCCGTAAGTACATATTATGAAGCTTTAGTTCCTAAAACTGATGACAGACATCCAAGTTTGTCAAATGTTTTTTTTACACAAATATAAAAAATATTGTTAGAACTTTAAAACAGGTAAATTTTGATTTAATTATTTTTTTTATTTTAAAAATATGCATTTATTTTTCCTTACAGAATAAATGTTTCACCTGTCAGAGTGTCCACTTTCAGCAACTAAAGCACTGCAGTGCGCCGCGAAATCGACAGCACTACTCGCCTACACGCAAGAAACAAAAATACATCCCTTATGTGATAGTCCTAAGCTACCAACCCTGTATTTATCACCAGTGGTTCGTAATAAATCGGGTTTGTGAATAAATTCATAAATATACATTGCAAATGATTAGTACACTACATTTGTTATTTCGATAATTTGCTTTATACCACAAAAATTACATTTTAAATGTTGTTTATTAGTCAGCCCCGGTGGTGTGGGAGCCGGCCGGCCGGGTCGGGGCCTCCTCCTTCATATATGTTTTGGGTCTTTCTTAAAATAATACCTTTTAAATGATTTGCCTCTAAATCGTAGATCAAGGCTGCTGTTGATGCTGAGTGAACACTTCGTCGTGGATTTCATATAACATAAACTATATAATAAAAAAGCAAATCGTGTGCTTTTTCTGTAACGTTCCACAAATGATTCAGTACAAAGCTATTTACATTATAAATTCAATGCGAAGTCAGTGAACGAAATCAGGACATCAAAACATAAATAACTTATTGGCTTAAAATTCAATTAAGTAAATATACACTAGCGTTAAACAATTCCCATGTTACTTGCTCAATTCAAAATTGCAATAGTTGTATGCAACCAGCAGTTTAAGCATGTAAATTTCATTTTCCACTAAATATCCTAAATGGAGCAACTACCAGGGTACCCTTGTAGGACCATCTGCGATAGAACGTACTGGTACACGGTAAATGCTCTTACAACTCTTTATATCGTCAACGCAAGTATAACTAGCCAGTAGCCAACACTCTTGTGTTCCTCCACTATATGTCACTTTATAGAATATCTGCTAATATTCATTTGTGTCTATGCACTACTTACAGGGTCACAGAATGACCATAGATAATTAATAATATACAGAAGTATTGTCAGTGGCGACGAGCCGCCACACTCGATAATGGATTAATTATTACTATCCAACCCGTGCAGCGCAGACAACAGCACACTGTATCACGTGTGCGTGTGTCCGTACGTGCAAGGGTTAACATAGAATTGTCACAAAAATATGAATTCATCCCATAACTGTATTTTATAATAATTGTAATTACAATAATTTCCAATTCTCAGTAAATGTAACATTTTTTCACTCTAACCGGTCACAAATTTTAAAACGATAAATCGACAATAAATAGCATCACACAAGAGTGAAACAAAAAAAGTGAGTATGACGAAGATAACGCGACGACGTGAACCGAGGAGGTACGAACGCACTTCCGGCGTGTCACTCCTGGTAGGTGCAGACCACGAGGTAGAAGCAGCGGCCAGCGGCGAGCGTGAGGCGGCTCACGTACTTGGTGAAGGAGGTGGCACCGGCGTCGCAGTACACGAGGCTGAGCGCGTTGTGGCGCGGCGGCACCGCCACCAGCGCGCCGCCCGCCGCCGCCGCCGCGTCCTCGGGCGCCACGTACAGCGTGACGCCGCCGCGCAGCGCGCGCGGCGCGCCCAGGCACAGCACCGCCTCCAGCCGCGCTGAGTCGTAGTGCTCGCGCGGCGGCAGCAGCTGCGCGCACACACAGTTTATGAAAATATATGTATATAATTGTATACCAGATCAAATATTTTTATAAAATATTTAATAAAATATATTTTACCTTAAAAATTGATTGTTTTTAATTATTTACGTTACTAAGTTTAGGCTCCTCTTTTTCTCGTTTAAAAAATATTAAATCAATATTTAATTGACAAGGATGCTGCACAACATACTGCCGAAGAAACCAGTGTTTAAATATCAAAATTATAAATAGTCTTTGACTATACTTCTTACACTGATAATATTTCAGTGAAATAGTGATTTAATGTATAATGAATAATATTCGAGCCTAATAAAGATTTACCGTAAAATCAGCGGCAGTCCACTTCTGTATCTCGAGCTGGCGGTAGGTGGTGAGCTGCAGGTCGGTGCACTCGGCCAGCACGCGCAGCCACGTGGCGCTGCTCAGCAGCTGCCACAGCGCGCGCACCTCGTGCGCCGCCCCGCCCCCGCCCCCGCCCCCCGCGCGCAGCCACGCCTCCGACACGCGGCGGTAGCGGCGCTGCTGCGCGGGCCCGCACTGCTCCCACTCTATGTCTGAGATATTACACACGTTTATTGAGTGTCAACTGGTTAAATGTTCAATCGATCAATCATTGAATGAGCTTTATCAAATATGCCAGCGCCAGCGTATCTGCTATAATTTTTGGGCTTTAATAAATGATACTCTTAGATATAAGATTTTTAAAACTTATGGTTTATATACATTATATATGTTACTTTAAATGGAGCATCTCGCTATATTTTACACAATTTAGTGCAATAATTAAGTGTAGCATTCCAGTCTAAGTAAAGCAATAGCATGCATGGCAGCCAACATGAGACACGACAAAAATGCAACCAACTGTTATACTATTTTTATACGACAGTTAGGGGCGGTGGGTGTACTGTAAGTTCGCACGAGATGGCATACCATACAGTGGCAGTACGCTGGAAAACCGTTCGACATAAGATTTAAGAAGTGGTACTTTTGACAAGCCCAGCGTATGCGAGGGCGGGCGGCCATACCGGGGTCCTGCAGCGCCCGCAGCAGCGCGTCGGCGCGCGCCGGCAGCAGCAGGCGGCGCAGGCTGGCCTCGCTGGCGCGCTCCATGTGCGCCGCCAGCGCCGCGCGCGCGCGCGCCGACATGTACGCGCCGTCCAGCCACGCCGACACCACCACCTGCACACGCACACACACATTTGGAACTAGATCAAACACCAGCAACCGACGTACGAACCCAGAACATAGTCTATCTCCATACAATTTTATGCAAATCCATTGAATCGTATCGATACGAAGGAACCAAAAATGCATACACACAAACTTTCGCAATTACAATAGTAGCCTATTGTGAAACAATTTGAAAGTGACAATGTTTATTATCTTTTAAAGCTTTAACTACTGAACAGATTTCGATGAAACTTTTGATTGTATTAGAATAAAACACAAATATCCGACCACTTGGTTGTGCGGCGTGTGGGAGGGCGGCAGCAGGCTGACGAGCGGGCAGGGCTCCGGCGCGGGCCCGTGGAACCAGCCGTTGATGGACAGCCGCGGCAGCTCCAGCGACAAAACCTCGCCCACCTATAGAGTATACTTATTTATTCACCTATAATTATATACTATATATACTATAATTATATACCTTGTAAATAGAGTATTCAATTTTAAGTTTTATCTATGTATTTATATTCGTGATAAGCAAAAGAAAGGCTTGGATATCTTCTCAAAGATTTGTATTAGTGTTAGGTAGTACATGTGTCGTGTGCAAGAAGTAGAATGAGATGAGGGCTGTGTGGTGATGTGAAATTGGCATAGTGAGTGACGAAGTTGTATTTGAGTAATGTGTTTGGTTGCTCCATATAATAAATGATAGAGCGACTTATGTTAAAGGCAATAAGGGTGGAAGATAGGAAAATCCCCGTTATTCATAGGATTCCCTCTAAAGTGGTCACTGAAAATCAGCGTTGAGCGTTGCTGCGCTTTTCGTGTGTTCGACACAGGCTGAGTGACCATCTTTTTTGTAAAGGTACACAGCACACTGCCATACAGATATAGTTTTGTTTATTTATTATTGTTATCATTTATTATATTATATGTATATCTGTAAGCAGTAAGAATCATAAGTAAAATACCATCCAATCATTAATTCACCTGCATGCTTAAATATAATTATACCTTTACATAATACGATGATGTACTCAGTAGACTTTTATCAATTTACATACTCTATCAATTTACATCTATCAACAACCCCCACAATCGGTCTCACCGAGACTAGCTACCATGTGAAAGCTCTCGAAGATTTTTAATTATCATATATATATTTATACCACACATAGTGCAGGTATTAAGAGTATGGAATGGGAATACTGAGATATTTCATTAAAATATTCGGTAGGCCACATTTCAAAAACTTGCTGCAGACTCATGTATAAGCTATATTACTGTAAAGTTTCATCAAAATCCGTTCAGTAATTCTTGTGTGAAAAAATAACAAATATATATATCCATATTTGTTAGGATTCACAAAGTTTTTGTAATATTAAGTAGGATGAATGTGGGGGCGCACCTGGTGGAAGGAGTCGGGGCCGACGGCGAAGAAGGCGAGCGTGTTGTTGGCGGGGAAGACGCGGCGCCGCACGCGCGCCGCCGCGCCCTCCGCGTCGCGCGCGAACAGCTCCAGCGCGCCGCCCATGTGCGCGCGCCAGCCGCCGCCCTCCTGCACCACACGCACACCACGTTTTAACATATTATTAAGTAGTACCTGGGCGACCGAGCCTTGCTCGGAGTTTTTGGCCAAAAAAAACATTTAAAAAAACAAACTAAGAATTTGAATAAATACAAAAAAAAACAAAATTAAAAACTTTGTGTCCGACCGGGATACGAACCCAGACACCCGTAGTTGTCAAACATGCGCATTGGCTGCTTGACCATGATGCTTATATCTGAGCGTGCGAAATTATCGAACATAATATTTTGCGTGGAATTATTAATTATTAATTTATTGAAATAATGCAAAAGAAATCATAATAATAATAAAGCTCTATTTATTTATTCATTTATTTATTATAAAGGCTTACTAACTAAATTTACATAAAAACATTTATTTAACATTATAATTTTACCTATTTGAATTGCAAAATTTAATTTAAAAGTATGCACAGCTTTTTATAAAAGTATTCCATTAAAATTTTATTTGGTTAAGAGTATATAAGGAGCCATTTTAGTTGTACAATAAACAAAAGAAGAAAAAAAACTAATCTAAATGTTTAAATACACTTTCTTTTTAAATAAATTTAACTATCAGAAAAAATGTCTATATCACATTGCTGAAATATAAAATTATATAATTTAATGACTATTTATTAACTTATAATTTTTTAACTAATAATTTTGTAATCTGGAATTAAATTATTTTAAAAATCTTTAATATTATTTTATATTTGAGTATTGGTGAGAAGTGTTCTTATTATCCACAATAATTAGTTTGTCATATTTTAAGAAAGCTGTTTTGCCTAGGTCTTTTTCTTTATCTTCAGTTGGGCTTGTAACTCCTTGCGTTTGTTTAAGACTATTTTTTTCTCTAGTTCATGATAGGATTTTTCACCTTCTTCTACTCTGAACATAACCAAGTTCTTGCGCCTAATATGTCTTTCTAAATTATTTATTAAGGTACTTTGTTCCTGGATTTTTTTCTCAAGAACTTCAATTTTTATTTCTAATTGTTTAAATCTCTCATTTAAGTATATTATTGTTGATTGTATTTTTAATGTCTTTTTTCATTTCTAACATTTCTGTTTTCTGCTGTTTTATTTCTTGTTGCAAGTTTATTAACAACTTTTTTATGTCCTCAATCTTAAGTGTGAAGTTGGAAGTAGAAAAGCTGATTGAAAAAGAGCATCAATTATATATATACCTAGTTGAATATCAATTTTATACCGAGTATTAGTCTTTGAGGTTATAAACTTATGTTTTAATATTTTACGCTTGCACTTCACAAATTATTTTGTTTTATTGTCATCACACACAGAAAAGATGGTTTTGCACTGATACTATCTATAAGTTATGTTTGTCACTTTTGTATTTGTTTGGTAGGTGAATTTTTAAAAGCTCATTTGTTCTTCAACACATCAAGACTTGGTGATGTTTACATGATGCCCATAGGTTTTATCGATTAATATAATTTACCATTTTTATTTAGATTTTTTCCACTTAAATATTTTTTTACTTGATGTAAATACGGACACGATGTTGACAGTTGCACAGTGGCGCCTCCCACCCACCAGAAGTGACAACTGACAACTAACAATGCAAAAATTGTGAAAATGCAAAAGAAAATCGCATGAGAATTCGAAAACTCGCGTTTTCCCAGAAATAAGACTAATCTAGATCGATTTATCGCCCCCGAAACCTCCTACGTGCTAAATTTCATGAAAATCGTTGGAGCCGTTTCCGAGATTCAGATTATATATTGATATATATATATACAAGAATAGCTCGTTTAAATATATAAGATAAGATAATATGTATGCCGAATTAAAAAAATAAACAGGGTTAAATAAAACATAAATACCGAAGGTCTATATTTTGATGTCAAATGCATTTTTAATTTTTATCATTATTGTTAACCAAAGAATCACTACATAGTATAAAACAAAGTCCCGCTGTCTGTCTGTCCCTATGTGTGCTTAGATCTTTAAAACTACGCAATTTATAATACATGCATAATACAGTAGATAAACACTGATAATTTTAGAGGTCTCTAAAATTATGAGTGATGATGATTTTGTGTAATTCGGTGGCTGGCTATACTGTGGGAACACATGCAATGATATGAGGGAAATTTAATAAAATATCTATTAATATATAAATAAAACTATCTTTTCAGATTTTTTTGCAGATTTATTTTGATTTTTGGTTCCCGACGTTCCTGTGAAAAAATCCGAAAAATAGTTTTGTTTAAAATGTAAAATATTAATATTAAATTTGAATACATGTCACTGAGGAGAAAATAAAGTGTTCTTTATTACATTGGTTGATTCAGACAACTGATAATAATTAAGGAATTCTATGCTTCTTAAGCAATGTTGTCATGATAAATGTTTATAAAAATAATGTTTTTCTATTATTTATAAAGACAGATTTAATTTTTGTATGCATATTTTTTTTACATTTTTTTATTAACAGTGCACCCAAGTATAATTCTATTATGCTAGATGTCATACTTAACACTATAAGTGAAAAAGTCACTACTCAGTGACTTTTTACCTTTAATTCCTCTATAACATCAGTATCCTTTGATTCCTCTTTTACATTAGTGTCACCAGAACCGTTGTGTATGGCTTGGGGCTGAGGCCGCGGCGACCATGGCGCCAGGTACAAGATGAAGGCCACGCGCCGGTCGCCGAGCTGGTCGTCGTGCACCAGCAGGTGGTCGCCCGGGCCGTACAGGGAACAGGATGCAGAAACTGATGTTAGCTCTAAATTGGTTACTTGTGAAACCTGGAACAGAGTATAACTAATTACATTGGGAAAAATTAGTTACATAAATGCTTCCTCACTCAATATACTTTATCAAAAATATAACTTTAAATGTACCAATGTTTAAAATAAATTGTATGCGAAACCAAAGATTTACTTATTATAATGCACTAGCGGCTCACCCTCATTTCGCTCGGGTTCAACTCTAGAAAAACAAAAACAAATATATCCCACGGGAACCTTACTTTTTCTGGGATAAAAAGTAACCTTTTTGTTATTCCACGATATAATTTATCTCTATACCAAATTTTATCCAGATCCGTTCAGCTGTTCTGACGTGAAAGAGTAACAAACATCCACACTCACATTCACAATTTATAATATTAGTATAGATTTAAAATTAGTATTTACAAATTAAACTTTTTTTAGATTGTTAATGAATTAGACTCTTTGATATTTTAATATTTACAAAAAAGTTGAGAGCTATCCCAAAACTTAAAAAGTAGGTAGGCATTATAGTTTCAAAAATAAAAGCACTCACCCAAGTCATAATTTCAGTCTTCAATAATTCATAAATTCCTCTAATACTACGCTGCCAAGTTAAATTAGCTAAATCTGTTGTCTGATGAAACTCATAGAGGTCCATTTTTTTTCGACTCCAGTCTAATGTGTTCATGTCATCTACAATGTTGTTTATAATTTCAGGATTCTCTAATAACCCATGTAACCTACATAACCGGAAAGGATTGCATGTCAATGTTACTTCATCACTTGTATGATCCTTTTCTTCATGCCAATTGGCTTTTATTTTCTCTATTAATTCTTGTGACTGTAAAATATAACTTAAACATAAATAAATCTTCTATATATTTTTTTTATATATTTTTCTATATATTTTATTACTACTATATATTTTAATATAAATTTAAAGTAAGCATATTTAAAAAAAACCTTACCTTTAAAGCAGAATTTAACTTGGGATCATCCATTCTATTAGCTCTAGGATTAAGCTGTGCTCTGACAGCTTTTACAGCTATTTTGTCTTCTATTACTACAGAATCATCCTCCCAAGGAGATTCTGAGTCAGAGCTGTATTCTGATGATGAAGATGATGATGAATATTCTGTAATAATACAAGTTAAATGAGTATACACATTATATATTTTGCAACACAAACATAAGTAAATTAAGAAATAAAAATAAACAATTTAATATGAAGTTCCCGCGCAAATTTACCTCCACGATACAAAATAATTGTAAACATTAAAATTAAACTGACCTCGTCGAATTCTTTTCACCTCATCTGCAGAAGCTTGGTATGAATTTACGGCACAAACGTCTGAATCGTCACTCTCTGTATCAGATATTTCAATAACTGGAGTAATATGCCGCTTGGCGGGCGGTCGCTGGTTAGATGTGTTTGCGTCGCCACTGCCGCCCGCAGTAGTCGATTCTTCTGCATTGCTGGAAGAAGATTCTTCGTTTTCTTTAATCGGTGAACTCATTTTATACACTCAACACTACATAATACACGAAAAAAACACAACCAAACCAAAATGATGCGACGCCTAACCTCAAAATTTATTATTATGTTGACGTTCCCATAAACATTACCAGTGAGAAGATTATAGTTTTATAATTAAATTACGTAAATAATACCAAAAAAATAATAAGTCCATATAACCTTTTTAGATATTCTTGCAATTTTTGCTTGTCAACATAACTTTTTTTTTTAAATCATTAAAATTAAAAATCTTAATATTTTTACGTTCAATAAATTATTATTTTGTGTCTCCGCTGTGATGACTGAATGACCAGTTATGAACAGGCAGTAAGAAGCCGCGAAAGAAGAAAGATAGATAAAAGCGAAAATATTTATTATATCGAATTTGTATTTCAGTATTATTTATTATCTAAAATTTATACATAGCATAATGTGGTTAAGAAAATAGTAATATTAAAATGATGACAGATGATTAGTTGTTTGACTTTTGTAATCTGTAGTAATAATAAGTTTATCCATTATTAATTATTATTAACCTTAAATTCAAATTTGAAAGTTGACACATACTCATAGTAATTAGTAAACAAAAAATACAATACGTAAACATTTTTTTCTGTATACGTAATAGTATGAATAATTTTGCAGTTATCCCAGAAATTCACTCAAACAGTCCACAATGTCAATATTTTGTTGAGAGAAAGAAGCGATTATGCAGAATGACTGTTCGCCCGGGGAGACATTATTGCGGAGAGCATGAGCCACAACCAAGAAGTTGTGATGGAAAAGTATACGATTTTTCATTTGTTTTGCATCTTAACTGTGATTTATCGATATAAAATGGGTAATAAAATAATATTTATAAGTCTTTAGTTGATTTTCTTTAATTACAATTTTTAAGACTAATACATTAAATTTAAGTTTCAGTATTTAATTATATAAACATATGTACTTCAAAAATTTCTTAATTACAGAACGACGACACACGCGTACCTTGCCCGAATGATCCGAAACAGTAAGTTTCAAATGGAGCTATTTGAATTGTTCGAATAGTAAACATATAATATTTAATTGTAATTTTATACATGAATAATTCCAACCTCTTTGTTAACTTGTGTGCCTACTATTTCTTGGTCTATTTAAAATTGTCATGTTCCATGTCACTGTAAAAAGTATTACTGGGCAATAAACATTGTTAAATTTTCTCTTTTATTATAATTGATTTTCTACATGAATAATTCTAATTAATATTTTTAATTATTATATATTTTTTAGTACATGTTATGCCAGCAAACTTGAAAAGCATTTGTCTATTTGTAATGCACGAAAACAGGAACAACCAAGCTACATAATACAAAATATTAATGCTCCAACACAGCTAGATGAATGTGCACGACTGCCTCTCAACCAAATCCCTTTGGATACTATACTAAAATGTATTGAGAAAGTCAACCTACTGTATGATGGTAAATCATTTTTATTTTATGGATTATAAATTATTAATTATTGTATTCAGCCCTTTTTGATGTCTGGCCTCCCTTCAATACGAGGGGGATCAGGCCATAGTCCACCACGCTGGCCAAGTGCGGGGTTGGCGGACTTCACATGTCTTTCGAAAACTTGCTAGGTTTTCTCACACATGCAGGTTTCGTCACAATGTTTTCCAATGTATTAACATCTAGATTCAAATTAAAAATAAAATACATACACCAACATGGCAGGTGTAAAAATGTCATTATAAAATATATTATCATGTAAAAATATTCATTGCAGTTTAGTTATTATTGATTATATCCAAGATTGGGAAATGGCAGCACAAGACCTATTTTTATGTATACATATTATATACTGCAATTTATTCAAAAATGGTTAAACTTAAAAATCTTTTGTAAAAGAGGTTAGTTATATGAAGTAGATCTAATCTAATCACATGTCTATAGCCTGTGCAAAGATTATTAAATGGGATATTCGTTACATGTAAAATATTTGTTTTCTTTATTTTTAGGACATCTCAAAGATAAAATTAAAACATTACCAGAAAAACCTATACATGCATGTGTAAGGGAAGAGTTCAATGAAGTAGGCAGAACTGAAAGTTCTTTAAGGCATTTAAGACAAGCATCCCAATTATTGCATTTACTGGAGGAGGAACAGCTTGTGGCAAAGAATACTTGCTATGTAGAGTTGGGTGCCGGCAAAGGTAAGAATTACAAATATATATATATAATCTTTCTTGAACCTGACGAATACATTTTTTGTAATTTATGGTTATTTATTATTCCAATCTGTAAAATATTAATGATTAAAAAATCATGTCAATCCAGAGCTGTGTAACCAACAAATATATTTTCACATTATGTTACTTTGATTTTTGTCATCGAAATTAAATATACCGCACGCTTGTCGCTCGATACATAATATTATTATTTTTATTATAACATACATATCCAGGTCATCTATCGTATTACGCATGGAAGGCGTGGTGTCAGGACGGCGACAGCGCGGTGCTGCTGGTGGACCGCGCGTCGCTGCGCCACAAGCGCGACAACAAGCTACGCGGCGTCGGCGGCGTGCAGCGCCTGCGCGCCGACCTGGCGCACCTGGCGCTGGCCCGCGTGCCCGCCGTGCGCCGCCGCGCCGCCGTCGTGGCCTACGCCAAGCATCTGTGCGGAGTCGCCATGGGTACGATACTGTACTCATTGTTTAGTTGATGTTATGGACGGAACTTGACTACTGGCCAAGGCTAGAGATTAGAGATGTACCGACTAGTGGCATATCTATAGTCGGCCAGAAGCACCAACTAGTCAGGCAATTACTTTATTCATATTAATATTTTAAAAAAAGGGGAATTATTACTATTGAAAAATATTATTTACATTAAATTTCATTTTGTAATTTTGTGCAGGCACTGTCTGTAACAACAGTATATAATGCCTTTCAGGTGTCTAAAACCTTAGTCTCTCCCGTGACCATGATTGCTGTAAAGTATTTGAAACGTAGGGAACCAAAAATCAAAATAAATCTGCAAAAAACCCGAAAAGATTTAAACCAGCGAGTTACTCTTGCTTCGCTCGGGTGCGTCCCTAGCTACGATTTTGCTCACAATTTCAATTGAGTTTTAATTTTGTTGTGAATCCTATCTTTTTCTAAAGTAAAAGTAGCCTAAGTAACTTCTTATAACATCAGCTATTTGCCAGTGAAAGCTCTGTTAAAATCGGTCCTGCCATTTTTAGAGATAAGCTGGAACAAAAAAAAATACAGACACAAAAATTTGAAAAAAATATTTATATTTATACCGTATATAATTTCATATGCATCTATTAAAAAACTGTTATTTTGACATTACAAACAGGTACTTCAATTTTATTTATCTGTTTAGATGCCTAATATTCGCCTAAATCTAAGAAAATATGATATAACTTATTTCAATTAAGTAGGTACTTTCACTATAATATAAACTGTCTTAGCTATATAATTCACAGATTTTTGTTTTATTTTCCAAAAGAAAAAAACAAACAACACAATTCAAAGGAAACAAAAATCTATTCATACATGTCCGCATGTAGCGTAATCGGTTTGGCCGATTAGTCGGCCTTTTTCCAACCGACTAGTCGGCAGAACTCATAGCCCATCTCTACTAGATATACATATATGGAGCAATCTATGTATAGAATAGGACGCCTATTACTTTAACAGGGGTTTCATTCGATCGACTGTACAATTTATTTCTAACACAAATTTTCTTATAACTCTGAGTAACTAAGTTTTATTTTGTTTACTTAATACTAATATGTAAGTTAGGATTGGAAATAAATAAAAAGCATTAATATAAGACTTTTATGGGACGATGACTTAACCAGAATTTATCAAAAAAATGAGTGTTTCCTGTGTTATAATGTACATATTATATGACCCGCGCAGACTACGCGTTGCGGTGCGTGGCGAGCGCGGGGAGCGGCGCGGCGCTGGCCACGTGCTGCCACCACCGCTGCGCGCGCGCCGCCGCCGTGGCCGCGCCGCCGCTGCAGGTCACATCAGCGGAGAGCCATTATTATATTGAAAAACAAAAATAATTCAGAGCAAATATTTCCTTCTGGATTCCAACTTTGGAATATTTGCTTTGAATTTGATAGTAAAAATAAAGTACTTATAATCCTTAAAATATTATTCCAGGACATACTATTCTAAACATCCGAATCCATCCAGCCGTTTCAACATGTAACACACAAACATTCAAATTTTTGTATTAAAAATAGTAATGCAATAAAACCCGTGAACTGATATTCCTCCTTGAATGTTAACATTCAAATCGAATTAAAATATACATTATTTAGATAGACTTTAACAAAAACATAAAATTTTCCATTCTTATTAAACAATATGTTAGTTTGAATTAAAACTCAATACTAATACACTACAGGAGCTGGGCATAAACGACGAGGACTTCAACGTGATGTTGGGCGTGGTGTCGTGGGCGACGTGCGGCGACGGCCGCAGCCGCCGGCGCCGCGCCGCCGCCGCCGCCGACGTGGGCGCGCCCATAGTGGGCACTAAGAACCTAAACCTCGACCGAGCACAACGCGAACAGATCGGAAGACGGGCTAAGGCTTTACTTGACTGGGGAAGAGTCCTATACCTAAAGGAGCACGGGTTCGACGCTCGGCTAGTGTACTACGTGCCCACCAGTGTATCTCTAGAGAATGTTTGTATTATAGCTAAAAAAATTAGTTAGTGTATATTTATAACATGAATATATGAATAAAACATCAAATGTGCAGATACCTTTTTATTATATCAATAATATATAATAATTATTCTAAAAATTATTTTATTTCTATACAATAGTTCAGATAACAGCTAAACAAATGCCAAAACTTGCACCCCGCATACAAAGCTGTAATACAAACTCACCGCACCAAAGTGCTTCGTGCAACAAACAGCCCGTGACTCCTCATCTGTCACTTTTTATAAAATAAAGTTTTACCGTAAGAAAAAACAGGAAAATGTTTTTGTCATAATTATGTAAATAAAATGGACCCTGACTTGATCAGTTCTCAATAACACATTTAAATATCAGAAGCAAGCAATAAAGGATAAAATTTTAACGAGCGAACACGTCCACGCCGGGCTCACGCGGACATGTATGAATAATACTAATATTTCTATTATATATATATTTGTTTTACATTAATATTAAATATTTATGTTTGCCTAACATGATACATGATCGTCCAGAAACCTCGTACATGTAGCCTGTAGATACATTGTACAGTGAGATAAACAGTATGATATGACTGTGCTCGAGTGAATATAGCATTATATAAAAGTGTGCCTTTCATTAGAACATATGTGAATTTTGATTTATTTACAGCAAAGGACAAAATGTACAATTATTGTCTGTACTTATATGTTACGGTTAATAGAAAGTTATTAGCATTATATCTACTTGAAGCAAATTTACAATACACAAATGACCCGGACTTCTTCAGCTGAATAATAGCACTTTCACTCACTTTTTAGAGAAGTGTAGAGCAATATTATTATTTTTTACAAAAATATTATTCCGGTACACGCATTTGTGTACGAAACTAAAAGAAAGTTAATGGATATGCAACATCTAAAATTTACATATGACCAAATCAATATGAACTCATTAAAAAAATATTTTTGATATTCTAACGCTATTGTATTTATGCTAATTTATTAACAAAAAGACTTGTGTGTAGATACAATATTTTAAGGAAGTCCCAAAATCCCCTCTTGGGCTCCCCTACTATAACCAAAAGGCTACAAAGTCGAATAACGTTTACTGCAGCTTCTCATAAGTTCTGGATTATACACATACTATGTGCGACTGTACTCCACTACTTCGTAACAACATCTATATTACAATATGTACACATTCACAACTATGCTTTTATATAAATGGCTGTTTACAACAATAATTTCGCCAATGTTATTGTAGTGTATAGAATACGACTACAAATGTTCGTTTGTTCATACAGCTTCATATCTACGCATTTATAAGCTATGGCTTTTTTCGTTTCATAAATGGTTATATCCTACAGATCTACATTAGACCTGTATATGACACACGGGATTGAATAAATTTTATTTATTTTATACTGATAGTGAAAACAGTGTGATAATAGAAAAACAAGGTTCAATGGAGAAGTTTTTCATTACTTTTTGTATCTAATATTTAAAAAAAATAGTAAAATATAAAAAAAATATTTATTTATCTCAACAAATGAAAAAAAATAAAACTAAAGTTGCGCTTGTAAGAATAATTGCGTGACGTCACACGAACTGAATGACTGGAATTTATATTAATTTCTCATTTATTGAGAATTTTGACCTATGTTACAATTCCATTGTGTTAAATATTATATTAACAACATCATGAAACTTCTCCATTACAAATGGACAGGTCTCGATCGTGGAATGTAAGCTACACAGACGTAGTGCAATGAAGACGATTTACTCATATCATTTTATTACCAATATGGAGTGCGTAAATTTCGAAAATATTATAATTATTGTAAGATGATAAATAGATAAGGACACCAAGTGTAATGAATACGATTTCACTATAAAAATCACAAATTATGTCAGGTTTGACTTTACGTTAAAACAATTTTAAAACTAACAGAAAATATTTCCCATAACTGTCGTTTGTTGTTTTTTTTTTCATTTTCTCACAAAATAAGTAATAAATACAAAGATGCCGCGTATCCATAGAACGTGTGGTAGTGTGTAGTGTGTGGTAGTGTTCAGTATCCGTATCGCTCCTGTATGGAGGAGACGACGCCGTTGGCCAGCGAGGAGAGGCGGCCGGCCACGCGCGTGACGCCGGCGCGCACGGACTCGCGCACGTCGTCCAGGTCGGGCGCCGCCACCTGGAAGGCGGGCGCGGCGCGCGGCGCGCCGAACAGCTCCGCCGACGAGATGCTGCTGCTGCCCTCGAAGCGCGCCAGGCTGCCGTCCCCCGACCCGCGCCGCCGCTCCGTACTCTGAGTGACACGCGAATGTATCACGAAATATATTATTCCATTGTTGTGTTTAACATTCACGAAATCAATAAAACCCTAAAAACATTTGCATAAATATTTGTAATATATAATTTTATTGTTAATATTATAAATGTGAAAGTTTGTGAGTATGGATATTTGTTACTCTTTCACGCCAGAACGGCTTAACCGATCTGAATGAAATTTGGCACAGAGATAGATTATAGTCTGGAATAACACATAGGTAACTTTTTATCCCGGAAAAATGTACACTTCCCGTGGGATAGGTTTGTTTTTGTTGTACTAGAGGCGAACTGAAGCGAAGCGAGGGTGAGCCGCTAGTATACAATATTTGATTAGAACCATATCACTTTCTCTATTACAAATTATTACAATTGAACAATGGAGTTACAACCTAACACTAGAGTATGTAATAGTACAATACATCTAACACACTACATACATGCAAACTAGTTACCTGATCTCCAAAGAACTGCGCTGAACTGATCGACTTGGCGGAGCCGAACTTCTTCACAGCAGAATCATCCTCAGGCTCCTGCTTTCTAGCGGCGCGTGGGCGTGCGGCCGTGGGGGCGGTGGCGGCGCCCTGCGCGGGCGCGTCGCTAAACATGGTGCGCACGTGGCGCTGCGGCTCCGGCTCGATGGTGTCCCACGAGTTGTCCAGCTTACGGCTGGGCGCGTCATTCAGGAGCGAGTCCAGCCCGCGGTTGCTGCTGTACGGCTCATTCCTACCAAACATGAACAAATATTGTAGGATTGTTAAGGCAACTATTTTCATTGGAATTACTCTATCTAGAGCCAAGCCATCAACTATCTGAACTTTAAGAGTTTTATATGCTCTTTAAAGCCTATGATAATGGATGTAAGGTTAGGTTAGGTTAGGACCTGATCATGACGAAGACATTGTTGAAGTCGTCGAGGTCGTCGAGCGCGCGCGGCGCCGGCGCGTCCTCCTGCTCGATGGCCGTCATGTCGGATGCGGCCGAGTGCGACACGCTTCTATAACACCATATACACACTTTAATAGGTTTCATACATTTAAGTAGCCACTTTATTGTTATTTATAATGAAGTATAATAATTAAATATTGGGGATAAAATTTCTATTAATTTTAATTGTGCAAACTATATCATAGCATATAATAAGCGACACTTTATAAAAAAATGTCGACTGAACCTTTCATTTTCAGTGTTTGTAACAATTATAATTGGAAAGTTATTGTAATTTTTTATAAAATGTTTGGTAGCATTTCCATTTTGTACTGACTGCGCTTGACGAGCGTGCGCGCGCGTGGCGCCGGCTATGCCGAGGCGCTCGGCGTCGCGCGCGCGCGGCGCGTACGCCAGCCGCAGCGACGCCACCTCCGCCTGCACGCTCTCCAGCGTGGCGCCCTCCGCGCCGCCCGCGCCCGCCGCCCCCGCCGCCGCCGCCGCCTGACACATACAAACATTCGATAAAACTGTCTGTCGTAGATTACAACGCTGGCCGAGTACGCTTTTGCCACAAAAAATATTTCGATATAAATTACTACAATTTTTATTCAACACCACGAGTGTACCCATTCGAAACGAATAAACCTCAGTTCTGAGAAGAATCTCATCAGGAGTAAAAAATATTTATTTGAAACTAACTTTATATAAGTTATTAAAAGTGTACTATTAAAATATCATTTATTGTATAATATTATGTAATAATATTAAGTACACAAACATTTTTTAACTACTTTTTGTATTTAGCTATAGAAGCTTTTTAAATGTTTTTTTGGAAAAAACCTGGATAACACTGTGATTGTGATAACACTATGACAGTCACCTACCACAGTTACCACAGTTGTGCACGTGTCGCGATACCGGCTGTCATATTTATGTTTCTATGAGACTTGGCTCTTTTAGGATTGATAGATATAACTACGTCTATTTTTGTAAAACCGATTGCCATGAAAATCTACACTTTATACAACCCAGCATTCCTGTTAAAATCAACCATCGCCTACTGTATGGATTATTATATTGTGCATTTATTTTAATCACAAAATAAACAAAATATCAAATTATTTTTGGTTACTTTGATAATAAAATTATTTTACTTTAGACATTGGTACAAGCTGTCCAATACCGCTTTTGGTAATACAATAATTTATCAATTAAGTAGAATATAATTTTCATAGTCAATACCTCCATTTTCAGTTTTTCTGCCATTATTGCCTCTCTTTCGATATCTTCAAAATTGGTGGCCACCTTGGTTGCTCCCAGCCCACCTTTCCGTGCACCCAGCTACAAATAAATAGCCATCAAAATGAAGGTTATATGAAAATTATTGTTAACTTAAACACAATATGATAAAATGTAGACTAAAACATACTCAAAATAAATAACCAAGAACCTCAAACTTCTGGCAAACTTAAAAACTAATAAATAGTATTATAAAAAAATTTGCATCAAAATAAACTATGATGACACTATCTTAATAATAATATTTTTGAAGTTATATTTGTATTCCTTTATATGAAACAATGTTTTGGTAAAGTAAAAATTTTAAGTATACTTACTCCTGATCTTCTAGCAGAAGGTCGTGCAGTGGAAGTAGATTTTTGTGCAGAGCCCCACAGGCGTGCTTCTGAACTGAGAGATTCACCTCCACCAGGACCACCGGTATTTAAACATGCCTGTAGAAGATAGTGTATGATGAGTATAGGAACTATAAAAATTATTTGGAAATACCTTTATTATTCAAATAAAACAGATGGACATGGACATGTAATAAAATAACAATCACTTCTACCTAATCTTTAATCTTATAAAAATTTTTCATCTCATGATCAACATGATGAAAGAATATGAAACGACAAAAGGGATTAATATCAATGATTCAACAACACAAAGTGGCAAAAACACCTGGCCTGCTCAAGTCAGTACTGGCAGTATGGTTACCTGCTGTGCAATGTTATTAGCATTAGTGTCAGACACGTCTTCTCCATGCTCAGCAAACCAGTCTACCTCTTGCTTCTTGTTCTCTTTAACCTCTGCAGGGACCGGGTCCAGGTGTAACTGTTAGTTCAATACAATTTAAGTAAAGTCAAATTTAAAATCAAATAAAATTAATGTATAAAATTTTACATGTATATACTTTTTAAAAAGCACTGTTTAATTATCTTTTTACTATCTTATTAATCATCTTATATTTGCAATTCTCTTTTTTTTTTGTTCATCACAAAAATACTAACATTTTATTATAAAATGTATTCTATCATTATATTATAATGAAGTTTTATTACAAAAAGTTCTCAATTAAATATATCTATGATAATAATATTATATTTGCAAATACCTTAGTTCCATAAGTCTTCATTGCCTGTTCTGACATAGCACTTAATTTATCCCGATATAACTGTGCAACACGAGAGCTGTACTTTTGTCGAGCATCTTCAGTTGCTAGTCCATGACTCCGGAAGTATTGTGTCTGCATAAAGCACAAATAACATTGACATAAAATACTACTATTTTAGAATAAAAGCTTTACTCTATTACATATTAGTGTCTGCCTTTATGGTGTATTATTACTATTTTGTATAACTTTATAACTAAAAATCGAAATTTTGATACTGATGAAATCGCTCAAAATATCTTACAGCATTTATGTTGCCACCAAGCTGCATGTTTCTTAATTGTTTCCATGTCCAATTGGTGTCAAGTTGAGTCGAACGCACAAAAGTTAGATGTACACCCAGACTACGGTGGACTGCTGAGCAGTCCAAGCAGATGAATACACCGTACGTCACCGACGACCACGTAGGATTCTTTGCGTTGCAATCGAAACATACCTGCACAAACGAAATTTGGTTAAGATAACATCAATTTAATAACAATTTGTAATTTAAATCATACGCACTTTATTTGCGGGAATTGATCGTAATCTTTGAAAAATAGCTTCAATATCGTTTTTACTAGGCCCAGAATCAGCCATTTTCAACAATTTTGACGTGTCTGTTGTCACGAATCACGATGTCACCAATCGACACCGCATTCTTTTGACAATAACTATGAAGTTTATTAATTTAATAAGATTTGATAATATATATAAATATTTGATTAATGTTTTTTTCAAGGGATATTTTTAATGCTTATTTTCAAATTTAGATTACTATTAAAAATAATGCAGCCTAGAAAATTAACTACAACTAATACTCTAACGTAAACTGATAGATGTATACATATATACAATACAATTTCAAAATATTTTGGCATATGTAGCATAAAGAGGTGTAGATAGTGCAAAAAGGTTTTATTAAAGTAAGATACTTTTAGTAAAATAACTACATTAAATATTCTGGCTGTAAAATTGGTCATAATTTTGTCTATAAAACATAATGGCAAATCCATAACTGACATAAAAGTCTGCATTGTCTATAGGTCGTTGGCAAATGCCAATGTAGATCTGAAAGGACGCATGTTTGATGGTGATATTTTTGTTTAAAATAAATTTAAAAAATAAATAAAATCTATTTTACTTGTCAGGTGTAAAAATGTTATAAATATATGATTATTTATATGAATTATAGTGCAACAGTTCGTTGGCTCTATAAATAAGCTATAGAACCCGTTTCAGTGAAGCCTCGTCTTGCAATAAGTGCTCAATTAATAATGTTGACGTGCGCGAGCGTCGAGGTTCAGGTGTAAGTGAAAGTTCTGGATTAACTTTTCCTTGGTGAAAATGAGACTTAAACAACTATAGTCAATTAGATAGTGTTGAGCAGCACATCGTGAATGGAGAACGTAAATTTTTCCCCTAGTGGGGAATGTGGTGAGGAAATCGAACGCGCTCTAATGGATCTGGGCCCTTTGCTTGGTGTCACAATCAAGGAGGAAGTACCTGATGAGCTGCCAGATAGAGCGACATCTCAAGGAAATGTATGAATAAGCTTATTCTAATGAATGTTGTATTCAATTTGCCTTCTTAATATTTTCTTTATATCTCCTCTATATTTTCCTACTTTAACAGTTACGAGTGTAAATATTATAAAAAACAGATGCAATGAGCTTAGAAATAAATTTTTATTTTCATAAATAGTAAAAACATAACCATGCTATAAAAACAAAATTACATTATATGTATGCAGCATTAAAGAAGGTCTTGAAAGATTCTTTGTAACTGACTGATAGGTTATCGGGATCAGCTAAGAAGGTTCAAATAATAATAAGATATACTCAGTGAGTCAATGTAAATAATGTTAGCTACAATAATTATCGAGAAAACAGAAATGGAAGTTAATTTTAATTTAAAGAAGTAAGCATTTTATAACAAAATAATTACCTTTACTTTATGAATTGTGTTGGAATATTATCTAAAAATATCTCGTGATACTCCAATGACAATGAACATTAATACAAATGCAAGGCAATTACAAAAATCATTTTTAAGTCGACCATTACAAATTAATTATGTAATTGTTTCTTATTACTTTTAGCCATTATCTAACAACATATTATTTAGACTGACTGATAAGGTATGAAGTGTATTTTTTATATGTTATTAGAAAAAAAAAAACATTAAGTAATGTATGTTTTAGAGTTTTTGATAAATAGAGTTTTGTATTAGATTGTATTTAAGCTTTGATCGTGCATACTTATTTTTTTATATTTGTTTACTGTTCGACTAGACTTTCTAATTGCTTGCATTGTCTGCAATAGGTTCATACTTAATGGTGTTAATATTTAATATATTTTATACATACAATAATACAATTTTCTTGTTTGCTTCAAAACATGCCGCTTGCTAGCAAGTTGCTTGTTTGTTGTTGGCTTCTAAACATGCCAGTTAAGTACAGATTACTTTGTCAATGTTGGTAAAATAAGATTATTATACAAAATTAAATTATACACTGGAGTGCAAAAAAATCGGGCCACCTAGAGAAAATGGACAAACTTAAGATATGATATTTTTTTATTAATTTTGTTATTATATATGGGTAGCTGTATACCCTAGGTACCTAAACCAATAATCGTTGAATAATTTAAATAAAAATTATTGCTCGAAAATAGAGGAAAATCAAATTTAATAATTTTTCGCGAGTTTGGTATAAAAATGTAAGCCACAAATTAATAGGAAAATTAAAAGATTTCGATTGGTTTTATGATTTTTAATAATGCGTATTACCGCCTCTATTTTTAATTACAGCTTTTAATAGGTTTTTCAGAGATTTGACACACTTTTTTTAGATAATCTTGTGTAATAGACTCCCATTCTTCCAATAAGGCGCTTTTTAATTCTTGAATGTTGCTCGGGACTACTACGCGACTTCTAACTTTTCTTTTGAGATGGTCCCATACATGCTCAATCGGATTGAGGTCAGGGCTTCGCGCTGGCCAGGCAATAGTAGACACTCCAACCTCTTGAAGATACTGCCTTACTGATGTAACAGTGTGTGGGCGAGCATTATCTTGTAGAAGAAAAAATCTTCTCCAATGAGCCCAGTAAAAGGCATCACATGATCTTCTAAAACCTCCTTTATATACCTAGCGGCTGTAAGGGATCCATTTTCTATGAATATAAGCTCGATTTTCGCTTCGTAACAGAATCCTGCCCAAAACATATGACACTGTTTCCCGCATAGTGCATGGTGCATATCTTTCACCTGGTCGCCGGTAAACAAAATACCGGCCGTCAGCACCATGCAAACACATTCTGCTTTCGTCAGTAATAAGAACCTTCTTCCACTGCTCTAAATTCCAATTCACGTGATCTCGGGCAAAAAGTAATCTTGCAATTCGATGTGCAGGGGTGTGTTTGGGGCCAGTTGCAGACTTGCGTGGCGTCAGGGAAGCGGCTCTAAGTCGGCGCCTTACTGTCCATTCGCTAACATTAACACCTCTCACTTCTCTCAGGAGATTTCGAACGTCAACCCCTGTGCGATGACGATTTCTTAGAGCTGATGACACAATAAATCGATCATCACGCTCTGATGTGGCTCTTCGTCGGCCGGAACCATGTCGTCGTACAAAGCCACCAGTCTCTATGTAACGTTTGTACACTCTCTGGACCGTAGAACGGCTCACAGAAAAAGTTTGAGCCACTTGACGTTGACTTTGTCCAGTTTCAAGCAAAGTCACAATTCGAGATGATTCAGCCTCGGTCAGATCCATCTTGCAGTATTTCTAATAATCGCAGATCAAAGTAGAAGTGTCTTGTTCAATAATTGGAACTCAACTAAGCTTCTAAAATAACAAAAAACAGTATTTTTGGCTTCAATCCATATTATGCAAATATTCACTAATTACTGCTAATTGACTATAATTAAGCGCACACGTGCATTTCCAGGAGTTTTATGACTTTTTTGAAGGAAACAAAGGCGTCTAATCTCCTTAATTACCTTTGCGGTATTTTTTTTACCAAACAATTGTCAACAAAAAATTATGCTTAAAATTAAGGGTGGCCCGATTTTTTTGCACGCCAGTGTAGTATGTAAAAAAGGAAATATTGGATGTTTTCCATGTGATTAGTCCACGTTCTCATCACATATCATCACGAATCTTTTGCAAAATAATCTCTAGGTGAACAGGAGTGTAAGCATGCCCAGGGTGCAGACTAGAAAGGGTAGATATGACCCAACATTCTGTATGTTTTACATAATGTTTTAGTACATATTTTTTATGTTAGTGCTTAATGTAATAAGTGAAATCAAATATTGTTATAAAATAATTTATTGATTTCTGCAGTTTACTACAGAAAAGTGGCACAAGTAATGCCATTTTTTATGCAATTTTCAGGTTAGTGGTACTAGTGATATCGCTGGCACAAGCAGCGCAGTGGAAAGTGGCTCCATCAACAAGACGGAGGGCGAAGGTGCTGACTCGCTGGCGTCTCCCACCGGGCGCTCGACCTTCTTAACGATGCGCTGTGTGTTCTGCCAACAATGTCTATCACAAACCGAGGGGACGCCTAAGCTTATGGAGTGCCTGCATTCAGCGTGTGAACCCTGCATCAAGACTAAGATCGAGGAGAAACTATCTGGAAGTAGAGACTTTTTAGGTATATTTTAAAATAGTATTAATTTTAATTTTGCTTATGTGTAAACAAATTTAGTAATTTTATTTTTACTTATTTCTTAGTGTTGTAATGTCTTGCACTTGGCAAAAGTACGTGTATAAAGTGTATTGACAATGCAAATAATAACTTGAAAAGTAAAGTAAAACTATGTATCCTTAAAACATTTTAGATTAATTTGATGGACAAGCACATTAAGAACTGACAAGATTAGTTAGCATTATAATGTATTGAACGAGGATGCATACTATTGACATTGTTTTTATTAATTACATATAATATCATCACCTTGTTGATGATTAAGCAATGAATGAAGTAACCTATTGAACCTAATGAAGCTAACATGTATGTGTATTCTGCAGGAGCGGGGCGGGTCACCATCCTGTGCGCGGCGTGCCGGCTGCATTGCCAGCCCAACAATATGATTGACCAAAGATTCGTTCTCGAAAAAATGGCTATGGAACAAGCCGGTAACAATACTGAATTCAGTCTCAATAGTTGAAGTATGAACAAAAGTAAAATCATAACTTTAATTGTATGTGTGTATGATGAGGTGTGTTGGTACTTGCGCAGGCGGCGCAGGCGCGGGCGCCGCGGGCGAGCAGCAGTGCAACAGCTGCGAGGAGTCCGAGCCCGCCGCCAGCTACTGCGTGGACTGCGCCGAGTTCATCTGCGACAACTGCGTGCTCGCGCACCAGAGGTGCTCTCCCTCCCATACCCCTTACCGCCGTTCTTCATTTATTTAGTGCTTGTTTCTTAACCTTTTTTCATTAATAAAATCGTAAATAAATTATAACGGGGTAATGTGCTTTGGATTCAATGTCTCGGAAAGTTGCACAAATTAACAAAAGTATAATATTTTATATGCATACAATTTGAAGGCTAAAGATCACGAAGGACCACACGATCAAGTCGAAAGAGGAGGCGGTGTCGGAGCTGCAGGCGGCGGCGGGCGCCGGCCACGCGCACGACATGTTCTGCCGCGACCACCCCGCCGAGCGCCTGGCGCTCTTCTGCGAGACCTGCGACCGCCTCACGTGCCGCGACTGCCAGCTGCAGCACCACCGCGACCACAAGTACCAGTTCAGCTCCGAGATGGCGGCGCAGGCGCGCGCCGGCCTCGCCGCGCTGCTCTCCGAGGTCAGCTACAAGCGCGTGCTGCTCGGCTCCGCCATGAAGGTCATCCGCGACCGCCAGGCGCTCATCGCCGACAAGAAGCGCGCGCTCGTGCACGACATCACGCAGACCGTGGTCAAGCTGACCAACGCCGTCAACACTCGCGGCAAGCAGCTCGTGCTGCGCCTCAACGAGGTGTGCGACGCCAAGCAGCGCACGCTCGGCGAGAAGAAGGACGCGCTGCAGCAGCTGGCCGCCATCACCGACCACTGCGTGCGCTTCGTGGGCGCGGCGCTGCAGCACGGCAGCGACACCGCAGTGCTGCACAGCAAGCGCACCGTGGCCGCGCACCTGCAGCGCATCAAGAGCCGGCGCGCCGACATCCCCAACCCCGAGATCCCCGTGCGCATCGCGCTCGCGCTCGACAAGCTGCCCGACCTCGTGCGCGTGCTGTCCACCATCGGCGCCATCGTGGTGGACGGCAAGGTGGACGGTGCCGCGCCCGCCGCCGCCGCCGCGCCCGCCGCGCCCTCCGCCAGCCCCGGCGCGCCCGCCGCCGCGCCGCCCTACCACGCCGCCGCCGGCCCGCCGCACTCGGCCGTGGCGGCGCTGCAGCACGTCGCAATGCACCAGGTACTACAATATATATATCTATATAAAATCTTTAATTTCATATGGCATACGACTGCTTTTTTTCAAATTTTAATAATAATTAACATGATAAATATTAGATTAGATAAAGTAGTGCATGAAACGTATTACACATTATGTACACATAGTATCACTCATTTTGTATGTTATGTTTCATGTCTTAAGACTTTGGCGCGATATCAGGTTGGTCAGTTGAAAATACTACAATCTGTCTATATTTTATTTCGATGTAAATATGCTGCTGTGTTGTTGCTCATAATATATGTTAATGGTTAAAAAGATATTAAAACAGTTCGTGCTTGGTTCTGTTGCGGGTACAGCGGGGAAACGTAGTGACCTTCGTCAGTGCTCCTTCGCCCTTTACGGGGAGACATGCACACGCGTTTATTATAACACTAACCGTTACATTTTGGGAACTGCAGTCGTACGTGCAAGCGGTGTCGGGCGCCACGGGCGGCGTGGTGTCCTCGGGCGCCGCCATGCTGGGCGGCATGGCGGGCGGCGTGGGCGGCATGGCGGGCGGCGTGGGCGGAATGGCGGGCGGCGTGGGCGGAATGGCGGGCGGCGTAAGCGGAATGGCGGGCGGCGTGAGCGGAATGGCGGGCGGCGTGAGCGGAATGGCGGGCGGCGTGGGTTACATGGTGATGCCGCGCACGCGCGCGCACACGCCGTTGCGCCACCCGCACGTCACCTCCACCACGCACCCGCACCATCTGCACGGTACACACATACACACATTAAACGTCATTTATTTATGCGTCATAGGATTACAGATAAATGTTTATTTTATTTTTTTGGTTATATCACTTTAAAACTTAAAAAAGAAGAGAACACTCTTGTCACTCTCTAAAGAATCATTTTACTCAAATATAAATTGTAATAAGTTTGAATTAAAATATATACTTGAAATTAAAAAACCTAACTCGAAAGAAGCGGCATTCGTTCTTCATCTTCAATATTTTCGAAAGTGATGACCTAACATTGTGAAGAGTAACCGATTTGTCGGATGGTTTCCCAGGCATGAGCGAGATGAACCTGCGCGGGCTGCTGAACGCGTCGGGGTCGCGCCGCACGCCCGCGCCGCACGCCGCGTTGCCCGCGCACGGCGCCGTACAGCACGCCTACCACCAGAGTGAGTGCGCGCCGCCACCTCGCTCCCTCCCTCCCTCTCTATCGGACCTCCACGGACCCCTGAGGTAACGGACTGTTAACGTTCCAGTGATGGGCGCGTACAACAACGCGTACGGTGGCGCGGGCGCGGGCGCGGTCGCGGGGGCGGGCGGTGCCAGCGGGCGGCGCAGCGGCGGGCCGCGCACGCCGTCGCCGGCGCCGCTGCACGCGCACGCCGCGCACGCGCCGCACGCCGCCAAGTGGCACATCCCGCAGCACGCGCTCTCCAATGGTTCGCAATCATATATATATACACTACGTAAATAATAATTAACGATTACGTAAATTAATTTGAATTAGATTATAGATTTTATCGATCACATTCCATCCATGTTTTCTACTGTACTCTTTATTTATGAAAATGAAATGCTATTCAATTTATCACATGAGAACGGCCAGACCGTAGTAAGGTTTTTAGGACAAATAAATTAAATGTGGCACTCGGAGACTGCCGCGGTAAAGCTATTGCATAGCATTTTTTATCAACTTATGCAATTATAATTATTTATTTATTTTATTAATGCAGTATTTTTTTTCCTTGACTTTCTTCATTAATAAATGCACTTTGTTTATTCATATTTAAAACACTTTGTACACAAATTATACGAGTACAGATATTCACTGTTGTACATAGATGATAAATATCTATACACCTATATACTTTCTCACAAACAGCTGATTACGGTAGTTTTCCAATACAACCATGCCACCTAAAGGCGGGTTGCTGAACTAAAGAGACAAGCGTGATATTTCAAAAAGTCATTAAAAGTTCTGGTATTTTAGAATTTTCGAATGAATCCTAAGATCACAAACGGTTAATTTTATTAGATACTAGCGACTCGCTCTCGCTTCACTCGCTTCTATAACTTTTTTATCTATGAACCGAATGAAATAAAACAAATACCAAATGGTAAAAGAAGTTTACCACAATACATTAATGAAAATCGCACCCAAATCGGTTAAGTCGTTTCTGAGATTAGCGCGCACAAACGTGCGGACAAATCGACTGACAAAAATTCTAAAAATCATTGTTTCCCCCAGTAATAGTTTTTCTCAAATATCTTCTACGCATAGATAACGATCAGTTTCATCTATGTATAACTGATCGTAACTGAGTGTTAATAATAATGAATGAATAATGTACAGTCGGTACAGTAATAGATGTCGGCAGGCGGCGCGGAGGCGGGCGGCGGCGCGGCGGGCGGCGCGGCGGCGGGCGGCGCCGACTACAAGATCACGCTGGGGCGCGCGCGCGCCTCCTCCGCCGTCACCTCCACCAACCCCAAGACGCCCAGCCCCAGCCTCAACGTACTCGCCTCATCTGTCCTAACACACTTATAGCCCCCTCGAATTAAGATTTGACATTTTAAAATTTTTTAACAACAATTTTCCTTTGGAATTCTTTGACGGGGGTCACTAGAAGTCTAAATTTAAATTCTCGGGGTACCAGACCCGTTGCGTCATCAACCATCTTATTACATTTTATTACAAAAGTTGTTTGAAATTAAATTTCCTACAATTTTGGTTCTTATCATTTTTTTCCTAGGATCGAAATTTTCGATTTATACCCGAAAAGAGGGGGGGAATTATTGTTTATGTTCAAGAAAATTCGATTTTAAATAACTTCGTTCATCACCATTTTTCGCAGAAAATTGAAAATTAATGAGTTGTTTTTTAAACAAAAATCAATCCTTAAATTCAAGATGACGGATGGCGCAACGAGTCTAGTACTCCGAGAATCTACATTTAGACTTTTAGTGAATTCCGAAGGAAAATTGCCGTTTTTGAACTAATTCCACTGGGCTATTTGGCTGGCTCGATATGGTGTTATGTCTAGTTGTCAATTTTGCCCTATTTTAAAGTTTCAGTTTAAAAGTTTAATTGAGTCAAGTTATTGCGGAACATAAACTTCGACACTGTAAAACAGACATTTTGACATATCGACCGACGTAACCAAACATGATAATTAAATCTCCACCTTTTGTGACGGTGCTGAGCTGGTAGTGACGTGGTGTGTGCCGCAGGGCGGCGGCGCGGGCGCGGCGGGCGGCGCCTCCGAGCTGGACAAGGTGTGCGCGGAGTCCGTGCAGGACCTCATGGCCACCATCGCCAAGCTCGACTCCAACGGCGTGCAGGTACGCACCCCCACTCCCACTCCTGGATAACGTATGCATTCCATTTAATTTGCAAAATAAAAATATTCAATAATATAGTCACTGTGACGTTCGGAAGATATATCGCACCCCTTATTTATTTAAGAATAATAAATGGGTTAGTGAAATGGTGTTCGTTATATGTAACGTACACATACTTACATACTTATTATGTTCTCCACGGAACATATTCAAATTTCGAATATTACGAGCGTATTACGAGTATATTATACATGTCGCACGTGTCGACACGCCCAGCGGGCTGAGTGTGCAGAGTGTGCGCAGGTGGTGGCGGAGCAGAGCTCGGACGCGCCGTCGCCCGCGCTCGTGCACTCGTCCACGGACGGCGGCGAGGCCGAGGGCGGCGCCGAGCCCGAGGGCGGCGCGGAGGGCGGCGAGGGCGGCGCGCGCGAGGCGCGGCGCGGCGCGGACCCCAACGAGGACTGGTGCGCCGTGTGCATGGACGGCGGCGAGCTCATGTGCTGCGACAAGTGCCCCAAGGTCTTCCACCAGTACTGCCACATACCCACCATCGAGAAGCTGCCCGAGTCAGTAATTTCGAATTTATATGAGTACCGTCTAACTAACAATAATTTAGTAAATAAGTGTAATGCTACAATGAACAACAAGTAAGCGAGCTCGCGTGTCGCAGTGAGATGGAGTCGTGGCAGTGCCTGCTGTGCGTGAACTTCGCGGAGGAGGGCGGGGAGGAGGAGGCGGCGGCGGCGGGCGGCGCGCTGGCGGGGCGCGCGCGGCGCGTGGTGGAGCGCATCACGCTGGAGCTGTACTGCCAATACGAGCTGTCGCTGCCCTTCCGCGAGCCCGTGCCGGAGACCAACCGACACTACCACTCCAAGGTACTCCCGCCACTTCCACATGCACACAGAATGGCACTTCGCCACACTGAACTTAACACCCAAACAATTGTTAGTTTTTGCCTGCGTCTATTTATATTTTAAACGACTGAACCGAGTTTTTATTGGACTTTTCCTGCAGGCTAAAGAATAAAAATAAATCGTTTATAGTTTTTACTGGCATTTTACTTAAAAAGGATTTTGTCGCATGTGACGATCTCTAAATGTATACTCGCTGCGGGCTGGATATAGAAGTTCAATAACTACAAGACGTGTATGTGTGTGTGTGTGTGCGCGCAGATCTCGCAGCCGATGTGCCTGGACATGATCCGGCTGCGGCTGCAGCCCGGCGCCGACGCGCGCTATGCGACCGCCGCGCAGTTCGTGGCCGACGTGCGTCTGCTCTTCCGCAACGCCTACCGCTACAACCCGGTACCTGTACAACATTTTTAAAATACATTCAAATCATTTTAAAAATAATATATTCCAAATATGTGATAATATATAGTTTACTATGAATTAGAAATCAATTTTAAATTTATTTGATCAACGATGTTTTACAGAATCAATGTGATATCTATTCTAATAGACACTTGTATGTAGTATAATTATTTATATCGTAAACTTAACGAGCGCCCTCCCCCCTCCCGCCGCAGCCGGACTCGCAGCTGTACAAGGACGCCAAGAAGCTGGAGGAGTTCTTCGACGCGCAGCTGCTGAAGTGGCTGCCGGAGTACGCGCAGTGGCGCGGCGACGGCGAGCCGCCTGCCAAGCGCGCGCGCTGCGACTGACGCGGCACGCCACCAGCACTCGGTACAAACATTACGAGATACGATACTACGAGTCGAGTAGTTGGTGTTTAAAAATATATTTGTTTACCGTCATATTTCCCACAGTTGTAATAAAAATTAAATAATCTTGAATTGTAAGTTAGAATTTTAAACCCCGTAATATGTTATGTAAAATATAATATTAAGAAGTTCCTTTTGAGTTGTGTGCGTGCGCGAGCGACGTTGTGCTCGCTGCCGCTGCAGATACTTTTATAAGACATTATCATTCATTGCATTACTGTACACGCAGAACATATTTTATCAAATATTATTTAACCTGTGAAGACTTCCCACTAGAATTATATAAAATGTCTTATTTTATATGTAAATGGAGGCCTAAGGGTTTTACACGTCGCGCCTTTACGTTTTTCGTTCAGGGGCGCTTTGACCCTCATACGTTGTATATTTCAAACCATAATATTGTTTAACTGTGATAAGATTACTTAGCAGTATGTTGAATGCTATTTTATTTTGTCTTCTGGCGAATATTTTATTTTTTCTTCTTCACTGTGAATGCCGAATGTAGCAAAACGTGAAGACTTAAATATTTACATTTCTATATTTAAGTCTTCTTGCGGCACGCTTATAAATTCTACACAATGATCGTTATCGTTCGATTAGTTTGTGGACTTTAATATAGTAGTTTCGCTAATTTGGTCTAAAATGATATTAGCACAAAAATACACGTTACTTTTAAGTTAGTTATTAGAAGGCATACTTAGTATCATTCGCGCCACCTAGACTGAGTTACCTGGCGAGTGGCGGTGCGGCGACGCGGCGGGCGCGGAGTTATGTGTTCAGGAGAGTGAGGATTGCAACAGGTCTCCTTATTTTTTGTGTATTGATTTGATGTTTAATTATTTTTTAATTTAATTACTGTCCGATGCACTTCATTAAAATTTAATATATTTTGCTAAATTTGTCTTATATTGTGGCTATAAAATGTGCTCTCTGTTATAAAATTTGAAATTAGCGATATGAAGATATGGGAAGCGAGTCAGACTGTAGGTTTACGTTGTTGATGTTGGCCGTATGTTGCTACATTAGATTTTATGTCGTTTGTATTTTAGATAATCTCGTCGTAACTACTATTACTACTTAGAAAATAAACACATTTACTGGAATTAAGAGTTTTATTTTAATTTAGAATTCTAAGCCTCCCATAATTCTTATCACATGAAGTTGCGTCAACATAATCACGTAATTTATAAACGGCTGAACTTTTTAGTTTTAGAGAAGGGCAACATTTTAGTCTGTCAATGTCAATTGTACTAACCTGACGTATCTAAATCCCAATGAAGTATATCAATGTAGCAATTTTCGTCTACTTCCGTCCAATCGTGTCAAGTGTCACCGTTGACGAACCCAAGGTTGGTCGGCGTTCGAACTCGTATTCTCACGATTGGTTAAAGTTACTAATAAACCCGTGTGCCAACTGTCAACTAATAATCGTTTATCAGCGGCCCGCTGTGTTGTGTTCTGCTCAGTGCTTATCGTCTATCAGAAACAAAGCAGTATTGCGGCGGCGACAGTGCGGAGTGACTGCATAGTAATTTATCTTCTAAATTTGATAGTTGGTAAAATAATTATAATTGCCACCACAGCAAAGGCAGTTTCGCAAGAGTCAACGGGTTTTTAAGGTTAGTGACCTCAAAAGTTTATTGACTCCGAAAATATAATATACCTTCTTCAAAGTTCTATTTAATTTTTGATTCTTTTTATATTTTAATTTTTTTTGTATTTACTTTTTCAAAAATAAATTTTTATTTATTTCTCTAATTTTAACGTTAATCGATATCAACAATAATTGTCGATAATGTCTCAATATACCTAGTAGTATATAGGAGCAAACGTCTATTTGATTAAATTTGCAAAAATTAGTAGACTTAATTTAACGTTAAAACATCGACGGGTGTTCAAATATATGTATTTTACATTATAACATCGTCCTGCAGCCACTTTACATTAGGTACATGTCCAAAACCAGTAAACTTGACCCCTGTGTTATAAGGGTAGTGTATAGACAGAGATTAAGCTGTTTTTAATAGTCGAATAAAAAAATCCAATTTCTTCGCAAACTATACTTAATGTGTTCTTTATTTAAGTTTTTTTTTAATAATAATCTACTATTCGCCCTTAAAGCTCAGGGCGAGTGTGCGTCAAGCCATTGTCGACCTTATTGTAGGACTGAAGAACCCTGTCTGTGCCCTCTGCCCACCGCTCACTGCACTTGTCGCTCTTGATATTTAGGGCAACGACTCCTTATCTGCGCTTCTTACTAAATAATGTTTGCGAACATTATTCACATCAGTTGAGAAATAAATATAATTACATATTTACGAAATGGAAAGGGTCAAAACAATCAACTGTGGCTTACAAAGATAATTATTTTAATCACATTATAGGTATCCAAGCACGCACGCAATTACTAACTACAGTTTCTTTCAAAAGATTTTCGACGCCGAGTTAAATGTAAAATGTGTAGTTGATTTATGATATTTCTAGGCGGTAGAGCAAGGGACAGAGCGAGGTGCAGCGATGCGGCTGATCATCCTGGAGGACGCGTCGGTGGTGGCGGACTGGGCGGCGCGCTTCGTGCTGCAGCGCGTGTCGGAGTTCGCGCCCGGGCCCGGCCGCTACTTCGTGCTGGGGCTGCCCACGGGCGGCACGCCGCTGGGCATGTACCGCCGCCTTATCGACTTCTACAAGGAGGGCCGTCTCTCCTTCAAATACGTCAAAACGTTCAACATGGATGAGTACGTCGGTCGGTATCTGCGGCTCGCCACTTCCATCTTTGATAATTTTTCGCAGTAACCGGCTCACGCTTCGTTTACGCCCACTTAATAATTATTATAAATATATTAAGGGGTCGATTTAATTACCAATAATTACCACTACATATTTACCTTTTTATATTTCGTTAATAAGTATAGTAGTTATATACATAGTTGGGCTTAATTATGATTATTATATAATTTGAGTAATATGCAAATATTTAACAATAAGTCTATTAAAAATAATTACAATTAGTTTGGCATTACTGATTGGATTAAGATGATACATAAACGAGACACCTGTATGTACTCTTTTAAATAAATGCATTATAATAATATGAAATCCAGAGTGACCACTCGGCGAGACTTTATCGAGAGTTGACCTACTACTTACATATAATAAAATTATTATTATAAAAATAAAAAACCCGACTGCATAAAAGCTAACTAAAAAGATGACAACAAGTTGACGAAGGAATATAGTATTAAGGCTTCTGCATACAGTGCCGGCGGCACAGACGTCAGCGGCACTGTCTGTAGGAGGTTTAACACAGATGGAGATATACAAGTTTCATCCTTGCCGCGAGAAGTATATAATTCTATGTATGTCTCTGACTGCAAAATATAAATAACATAAATAATAATAAAATGCATAATATAAGATAAAATATTGTATCGGTCGGTAACGGCGCATGCTTGTAGGTCTGCCGCGCGATCACCCCGAGTCGTACCACTACTACATGTGGAACGAGTTCTTCAAGCACATCGACATCGAGCCGGCGAATGCGCACGTGCTGGACGGCAACGCGCCCGACCTCGTGGCCGAGTGCCGGCGCTTCGAGCGCCTCATCGAGGAGGCCGGCGGCATACACCTCTTCGTAGGAGGTAGGTGAGCTGTCCCTGTCCCTGTCCCCGCCCCCGGCGAGCTGCAGAGTGTACGTGTGTGTGCGTGTCGCAGGCATCGGGCCGGACGGGCACATCGCGTTCAACGAGCCGGGCTCGTCGCTGGTGTCGCGCACGCGCGTCAAGACGCTGGCGTACGACACGCTGGAGGCTAACAAGCGCTTCTTCGGCAACGACATCAGCAAAGTGCCGCGCCAGGCGCTGACCGTGGGCGTGGGCACGGTGATGGACGCGCGCGAGGTCATGATCCTCATCACGGGCGCGCACAAGGCGCTGGCGCTGGCCAAGGCGGTGGAGGAGGGCGTCAACCACATGTGGACCGTGTCCGCCTTCCAGCAGCACGCGCAGGCGCTGTTCGTGTGCGACGAGGACGCCACGCTGGAGCTGCGCGTCAAGACCGTCAAGTACTTCAAGGTAATGTGCCGCAGTTGTAGTGTACTCGCCTGCTCCGCCGCCGCGCCCGCGCCTAGATCATACACCTCAGGCTTTTTTGTATATATGGATTATTTCCTAACGTAGATTAAAGCAAGCGCATGAATGTTAAACAAGATGAACTTCACGTGGGTATAATCTGTATTCTGTAACTGCAATGCAAGCTGCAACTGCAAAAGCGAAAAATAAAATGCTTATTGGAGTCATGGGAAAAATAAAATACTTTTTGGAGTCATTTTGGGAAAAACTGAAACCTTTGTTAATTAAGAGGATACTAACATGACATTTCTGCCATTTAACGACGGATTTAAATACCTTTCGACTTCTTCTTCCTCTTCCTTGATGCATGACGTAATTAATGGATAATACCTAAATTGTATATATAGATATTTTACCTTGATCTTGATTGATGATGTTGAAAAAATAACATGTAAAATATATTTTGATAAGGGAAAAAAGGTGAAGGTCTCTTTTTAACAATTTTTTTAAATATCAAAGGAATCGAGCGCAATATTAACCTAGAAATTGATCATAAAAGATAAAAAGTCTATATATCAAAAAATGAGGTGTGACGTGTGACAGGCGCTCAGCGACGAACACCAGAAGATGATCTCGGGAGTGTCCGTGGCGGAGCAGCGCGTGCTGCACTGACGCCGCGCGACGTGACGTGACGCGCGTGACGTGACGTGACGCGGCGTGATGTGACGTGACGCGGCGTGACGTGACGCATGTTGCAGGGCCTCATGATCGAGCACAACGAGCTGATCGCGGCGGCGCGATGACCGCCGGGCGTCCCGCACCTGACCACGCTATGTTTATGTCACAGCCAGCTAGTTTAAATAGCCGTCCAATTAACAGCCTAGCCTTTTTACTAATCGACGCCGTTCAACTAGCAGTCTGAATGATACTCAGCCGTAGCGCCTAATACAAAATATAATGAACTGGTTGGCATATAACATATTATTGCTATTTGGTAATCATGAGAACTAATAGCGTAACCAACGTAATAACAAAGTACACATTAACAAAGTAGTAAGGAATAAAAATATTATTTGTTAAACATGTTTGGAAGTTTAACTTCCATGGCTTCTGGATCCGCAAACAACCTTGCAGTTTAGTATATGGGACGAGGCCTCTGGAGTATGGGGTATTTGGATAGGGAGTCCAAGTATATAAAAAATATTTTGAGTCAAAAGTTACATTTCCATACATTATGACATTTGTTGTCATTTGACACTTCCAATTATTCTTCTCCTACTGCTCGACGCTTATAATTTTCGAGTCAAAAATATCTTATGATATTGGGGATTCTGGATTTGAAATTAACAAAGACCTAACGAGAAGTCTTCTTTAAGAAATCCAGCCATGTGCGGGGCGTGCGGGACTCCCCACTAAAACCACCACGGTGATCCCGATCGCAATCGACAGGCCGCGGGATCGCTTGCGCACTCGATCGCGATACTTGTCTACGGCGTCCGATGTCGAACTCACTATGCAAAATTTGATTTGTGATTTTAATTTTGGGCCTATCACATAATCGAAAATTAAAATTTACTTACAAATAAATGATCTACTTAAATTTCAGAAATACTCTAATAGAATACTCTAGTCACATAAACTCTTAAGGTTAAGTTAATTAGTAACTACCCACCAAAAAAGCTACAAAATATTCACAGATAACTAAAAATTTGTAATTTTACATAACAAAAGTCTTCATTTGTATTTTTCACAATATAGTATTTGCTGATCCAGCAATAATCCATGGCCGTCCTTCGCTGTCCAGAACTCATGGTCACCTGAGCTGTTTTATGTCGTTTATAACCTCGCAAAATTATTTACGATGTCCTAGCTTTTCCATTAGATCCTAGAAAAATAAAACACAAATTACAGTAATTATATACCCTTAGTTGTATTTATACAATTCACAGAACAAACAATAATTACGAATAAAAACCCACAACAAACCTACCTTGATGCTGTTCGTCATATTCATTAAAATTTTCTTGTAATTCAATTCTCTTGTTTATGAATTCAAAGTGTGATATTTTCTTTAAAATTCAAACTGTTCAAGTCGGTCACAGCATAATTCACCTCGCTTGCAGACTTCATAAATTTTACAGTGTAAGTTTCAGCGCCAGGTGGTAGAAAGTGGAACTAAATTTTAAATAACTAGGCTAGGCAAGTAGTTTAACGTTATCGATCCAACTCATTTGCCTAGCTGTTTGAATGACTGATGATATCATTCCGGCCGCTAGTTAAACGGCGCCGTTTAATAAAGAGGCTAGGCTGTTTATTGAATGGCTAACTAAGCTAGTCGGCTGTGACATTTATTTGATTACCAATAGAATCTTTAAGTAATAAATGAACAATAAATTTTATATTTTCTATATTTGGTTTTCTTTTTATATTATATGAACAATGAATAACAATACTCAATACAAAACAATAACTGCAGAGATTATAATTTATATTTAAAGGAAGGTTGGAATATCAGAATCAGAATTGTTTATCTCAAAGCACTTCTTAAGGGTTATTTTACTAGCAACTGTTTCTTGTTGTATTTGTCACTTACTTTTAACCTTAGGAACAAAATGTAACTTTAAAGATTACTACTATTTTTTATCTTATTAACAATTTCCCTAGGTATGATTTAAAAGGAATAAAAATACCTTTAGAATTATAAATATGTAATTGGGTTTAGCCCTCGTATATTACAAGACACTAGACGGAGCCGCCCGTCGCCGTCGATGTCACCAGTCGTCGTCGTCGTGGGCGTGGGCGTGGGCGGCGGCGCGGCAGGCGCGCGCTAGCAGCGCGGCCAGCTGCAGCGGCGAGGCCAGGCCGGCCGCCACGCGCAGGTGCGCGCGGCCCGCCTCGCGCAGCAGCGCCAGGCGCAGCGCCTCGTCGGCCTCCAGCGCCTTGCCCACGCGGAACACGTTGCTCACGATGTCCTCCGCCGCGTAGCCCAGCTTCACCAGCTTCGCTATCACCTGCCACACCGATACCGACCACCGACGACACATCATTACTATATATAATACTTCCATTTATTTTGTTTATTAAAAATTTATATATTTTTATATTTAGGAATAATTAAATCCTAAACAACTGAATATAGTCAAAAATTTTCAAACTTATGATATCAAGAAGATTTAAAAATACAAGTAAGGATAATTTTTTATGAACCAACTCCAAAAAGGAGGAGGTTCTCAATTCGGCGGAATCTTTCTCGAAGACGCCTGAACCAATTTGGAAACGTTTTTTTTTGTGTCAAAGGGTATACTTCCCAGGTGGTCCCATATAAATTTTATTGAAATCGGTCAAGCCGTTTTTAAAAAAATCAACAATAAATATTTTTTTAATAAATTGTTTGAGTAAATATGTTATTAAAAAACTTTCTTCTTACAAATTACCCGCTTATTACGTCTACACTAAAAATAGAATAATAAAAAAAAAAAAAAAACCAACTCCAGGCACTAGCATGTAAAGAATAACTAAAAGTGGGTTTTCATTTAGAATAGATACCAGATAATCAGATGTTTTCGAAGTCGGTGCCAGCCTATAATATTTTAAGATATGAATATCTAATAGGTAAATATGTATTTTACATATCGAAATATATTAGATTTGCTTTGCATCGGCTGGCACCAATTAGGAAATATCTGTTTAAGTATCTATTCTAAATGAATACCCTCGTTTAGTTATTTTTAAAATTTTAATGCCTGGAAGTCGGTTTTTTTTTTAAGTTTTTAGAAAACACAGTTTAGATTTAGGCTTAAGTAGCTTGAATGGTCGTTATCCTGTTGGCACAAATAAAATCCACCGTTAATTTAAATTGGTCTCAAATTATGAAACCTACAAATCAAAATTGTGCAGAGTTTTCTCTCAAAAACTACTTTTTATTTCTGTATATAAATGATGTAATGAAAATGAAATATTCGCTATTTTAACAAATATTACATGCCTTATATGCTTCATGAATATCTCCTCTAATGCATGCCTCAAGCATGTTACGCACAAGCATGGGGTGAGGCTCGTCACAGACTTTAAATACATGGTCAGGGCTGACATGAGAGAAGCCCTGCGCGGTGGCCTGCAAGTTGTTGAGCGCCGCGCGCAAGTCGCCCTGCGCCGTGAACACCACTGCACTTACACCATCCTCTGTATATGACAAATTCTCTGCTTTGCATACTTCAATAACCTGCATATTAAAATGAAGTATTTTTATAAATTTATTTTTTATTTCATTTACATGGTAGTTGAGTAAAGATTTGTCAATTTTCACTAAATCTCACCGTTGTCCAAATTATGAGAAAATGGCTCACAAAATAATTAATGACTGCCCTCCTACAACCTATGTTTGACATTTCATGTAGAATGAAAAGGAGATATTGAAAACTTATGTTAACATATATAATATATAACCTCTTTCTTTTGGTAGGGGAGCCCAAGAGGGGATTTTTGCAGTGAGCTGGCCTTGCACTCTGTTGGGTACCTCCACCATAATATAAGTCCTCTATACAAGGGCGCGCGTCTAGGGCAGCCCATCAAAAAATATTAAAATATTTTGATAAGATAGGAATACTTGAAACCGTCAGATTAAGGTATGGTGGGCAAATTACATCCTGAAAAGTGTGCAATTCAATAATTTGCCGATTTGCACAAGCCGAAGAGGCTAAAATCGACTATAAAGTTTATGTAGATTTTTGCCTTTTTTTGATTTATTAATTAGTGAATGTACAAATTAAAAAAAAACTAATTTCAAAATAGGAGATAAGCCTCTAATTAAGAAAGTTAATTAAGTTTAGCTAAATTCAGAAATTTTATTTATGGAATAATTTATATAATGTAATTGCAAAGAAGCACAAATTTATTTATATATATACTATATTTTACACCACAGTAATGACATAAATACAGGAAAATAATGCATCTAAAACATAAAAGTTAAGTGTGCACAAAAGGCAGTCTTATCACTAATTAGCTATTTCTTACAGACAACCTTTGGGTTGGGAAATATAGAAAGAACTATACAGGGTGCACAATGTCGACTTCTCATTTAGAGAAATGATCTAAAAGAAAAATTACATATTTTTTAAATATGTTTTATATGAACAAGCAACTATTCCAGTGTTTGGTTGCTTGTACAGAATAAGAGTGCTCGAAGAACTACTTCAATTTACAGATTCTTAGCATCAATTTCTCTGAAGATCTTAATCTATATGTATACATAACTGAAATATACAAAAGCAAAAAACTAATATTCATGTTTTTTGGTTTAATTAAAACATGTATATTGAACTATACCTTAGCTAGTATTTGTGCATCTGTTAGCCTTGTGTACCGTAAAACTGCACAGCGAGACTGTATGGGCTCTATGATCTTCTCACTATTGTTGGCAGCAAGAGCAAATCGTGTTGTACTTGAGTACAACTCCATGGTGCGACGAAGTGCCTGCTGAGCACCATCAGTCATACTGTCAGCTTCATCTAATATCACTATTTTATGTCGCCCAGCGGGTAATGTTACCTAAAATTATATGCAAAACTTAATTAGTCCATATTTCGTAGTGGGTAAATTGTGCCACGTCTCGTTATAATAAATAATTAAGGAATATACCTTTTGTTGAGCAAACATTTTTATTTTATTGCGAACGACGTCGATTCCACGATCATTAGAAGCGTTGAGCTCAAGAACAGCATCTTTAAAAGAGGTTCCTAAAAGAGCCCGAGCTAAACAAAGTATGGTTGTTGTCTTCCCTACACCCGGTGGACCAGCTATTATTATATTGGGAGCGTTGCCTGTACGAGCAAACACAGCCAACCGTGATACTGTATCTTCGTTCCCTACAATATCTGCAAATGTTTGAGGTCGGTATTTTTCTATCCAAGGTAGATGGGAATTTGATTTGTTTGATGCAGAAGGTTTTGTAGGTTTCGGATCTATTTCATCAACATCCATTATCACGTCATTGTCACTCATTTTATTGTTGGTAATGATAATGCTATGGATAGTCGATAGATGATAACCATCAATAAATTATAAATATTTAAATTTTCAAAATAAAGTGCAACAACATTTGTTCGACTTCGCGCCAAACAGATAATAACATAGAGCATGGATGACAAACAAAAACATAGAGTAATGAGTTTATATATGTAGCAATATACTCTATGGTAATGAGTATATTGCTATGTACATATCCCCTCAACTGTCGATAAAGATAATAATTATTAATTAATAACCCATAGGGCATAGAGTATATGGCTACTTTTATTACTCATCCATGATAATCCATGTTAACCACTTGAACCCCGCTGGTGCCTATAGGCACCACTTCCGGCGTTACAGTTAAACCCCACTGGTGCCTATAGGCACCACCTCGCCCGTTGCACTTTTAATTTTATCACATAATACAAAAGGAAATAAGTGTATTTTAAACACTAAGCACACCGACTTCGAAAATATTTGATTAGGTATGTATAGTAAATGAAAACTACCAATTAGTTATTTTTTACTTTTTACTGCTTTTGTTTGAAGTCGGTTTTTATTTTATTGTTAAAAACTTTTTATTACCACAGAGATTATCTCGTTACTACGGGAAAACAAGTTATATCTATTCCACGCCTGAGCGAAGCGAGGGTGAGTCGCTAGTCTGAAATAAAATAAGCGTTCCTTGACTGTCTCGTCGGACTAATAATAGGGTAAAAAGCTATTGAAGTAGTGTATATTATTGAGTTGTTTTACTAGAAGATACTCAATAATAATAGTTAAGGAAAGTGTGTCTACCATTTGAGAGGTTTTAAATATTGTACTTATAGCGTTTTTCACAATGTTTAACTCTAGAAGAAACTAAAACTATAAGAGCTATATTATTAAAATTCTCATTCTAAAATTATTATTTTAAAATTAAAAATATAGGGGTATATAAAACTACATGAAACTAATATAGTGAAAAATAATACCATATAAACGGTATAAATATTTAAATTGAGATATATATTTCTCTTTTTATATACTTTTAACGTTAATTATTATTTGAAGATATGTAAGTAATTTTTGTGATATGGTATATTTTTATCTACGGGCAGTTGTTACATACAAAAATTGTCTCTATTTGTCATAGAAATGCAATAAAATACTAATTTAGTTATACTACTCATGAAAAGAGTATTGTAGATGAATAAACAATATATCAAGTATTTTTTTTTGTAATATATCGCATAATGTATTAAAATACATAATTTATTTTTTTCATGCTACGAAAACTAGCTAACTTGCGTGCCAAAACTTGAACTCTTGCATTTATTAGATTTTTTATAATAATAATCCTATTTATATCCTATTTTTATAAAAATAGCACTTTATTTAATAATTTGGAATCTAATTTGTCCAAAAATTACATTATTTTATTGCACCTATTTTGATTTTTTAAATACTTACTTTTTTATTGTTATAAACAAATATAAAAATTGTAATTGTGTTATTGTGTGTTTAGCCGTTCATAAAAATAATCGATAATTTGTGTTGTGGGGTACTGGGTGCATGGGTGCATCACTACGCATCTAAATATTATTAGTAAATTATTTTAGTCAACTTCACATGTTTGAATGTTTAGTTTTTTGAATGAAACGTGTTAAGTTTTCATATATTGATAATGCTTAGCTTGTTCTTTTATAATTTAAGCTAAATTTATATACAGAAACGTTAATTTTAAATTAAATTTAAATGATAAAGTATAGAGGATCATAGTGAATGCGACATCTTGAGGGAGAAATGGAAAAAAATACTTTCTCTCTGCGCTATTTGAAGTTTCTTTTGAAGTTTGACAATTTAAGTTAGACATTGATACGTGACACTGACGTAGAAAATGAAGTTTCTTTCTCATATAGTGTAAACAATTGTTAATCGTAGTTTCATAAATTGTGTTTTACGGTGATAACTATTGTTGTAAATATTTTGAAATATCTAGTATATGTTTTTTTACAAATACAATAATTTTTAGATAGAGTTAAATTATATGGATTGTAGTAAAAATTGTTATAGTGATTGGTGAATCATCACTCTAAAAGTGCCGTCTTTTTTACATCTTTGGAACTCCCAGGTGATTGTCACAAATAATAATTTATCTTATAAATTAATTATAACGATAGATGTTTTCTTCGTGACATTGGCAAAGTAATCTGTGCTCATCTAGCACGCTTTGAAGCCATTATCAAGAGGATTGAATTGAACGATAGATGTTCTACAAAAATAACATAATTTTTATGCTTCCACAATTACCCATATTTCAATCTATGTATATTTATTCAACAGAATAGAAGTAGTATTTTTACATGACAGTCATAGTTGGTAATTAAAATTGTACACAATGGCTCCAACATGTCTGATAATCAATGTTTTATTGATAATTAGTGACTCACCCTCGATTCGCTCGGCTTCGTCCCTAGGTTGCTTATTTTCACCCCTTAAGAGATGACTTCCAGGATAAAACTATCCTATGTCCTTCCCAGGGTTTCAAACTATGTTCTTAGCAAATATCATCCAAATTGCTTCTATCGTTTCGGATAAGAGTAATAATAAATTTGTAGAATATAAATATTAATAAAAATATTTTATGTATTGTGATTGTGTTAGAAGTTAGAACATTATTGGCTAAATCTTTATAATTACTTCATAATAATTAATTAATAACATTTAATACAAAATGATAATGGCCATACTTGCATAATCTTATTAAGACCATATTTGCATAATTTTATTCAGCTGAAAATAAAAATTATGCATTTTAGGGTAAACTTTAAGAAATGGAGTGGTTATTTGGACACCGCATGACACCTGATGAGATGTTACGTAAAAACCAGCGAGCACTCAACAAGGCTATGCGTGATCTAGATCGTGAGAGACTCAAGATGGAGCAACAAGAAAAGAAAGTTATTGCTGATATAAAGAAACTGGCTAAGGATGGCCAGATGGTATGATAAGTATCATTAAAATAATTATATTTAAAAGCCAATACCAAAATAATATTATAAGCTAACAACAAGCTTTGACATTAATTGTCACATATTCTCATTTTCTGAACAAACAACTACAGGATGCAGTGAAAATAATGGCGAAGGACCTTGTGCGCACGCGCCGCTACGTGCGCAAGTTCATGATCATGAAGGCCAACATCCAGGCCGTGTCGCTAAAGATACAGACGCTCAAGTCGCAGAGCAGCATGGCACAGGCCATGCGCGGCGTCACGCGCGCCATGGCCTCCATGAACCGCCAGCTCAACGTGCCGCAGATACAGAAGATATTGCAGGTGACCACCCCACCTCGCCCCTCCACCCCTCCACCCACACATCACACACTTCATGCATAGCATATAAACCTCATATCCATGCAACAGATACTTTTTTAGGGTTAAGTTAAACAGACGGGAAACGCGCACGTGTGAGAGCCTCTTATTATTGAGTGGCCATTAATTGTGTAGTCTATCAAAATTGATGTTATTATGAAACTCTCTAAAGTACAGTTTAATCTCACACAGTAATATTCACCACATTCATTGCAGGAGTTTGAAAAGCAGTCAGAAATAATGGACATGAAGGAAGAGATGATGAACGACTCTATCGACGAGGCCATGGAGGCCGACGACGACGAGGAGGAGAGGTATTGTCAATGCGTAGTGTGCGAGAGAACACACTCGCAACAAATAAGTTATAAACTATCCATATGAATAAATCACAAATGCCCGATTTCACCAACAACCCATAAGCTACCACCTACAAATGGGATCCCTAGCTTAAAAGTCCCCTAAACTAGACCCTAAATTAAATTTCGTTTTACGATCGTCTTTAAGCCCTTATTTCGAGCACCTAAATTTAGGGGGCCTTTTAATATTTAGGTGACCCCTAACTGTCGGTGAATACAGAAACTGTCCCCTAACAGCCCCTTAACCATGCTTAGGGGATCCCTTAAACTTAGGTGATGTTGGTGAAATCGTGCAAAAGAGCCTCGAACTTGTATACAATATACTTTTCCCGAAGAGGAACCGTCTGCAGCGTGTGTGTGTATGTGTTGCAGCGACGCGGTGGTGTCGCAGATCCTTGACGAGCTGGGGCTGCAGCTCAACGACCAGCTGTCGGGGCTGCCGCAGGCCACCGGCTCGCTATCCGTCACCAGTAAGTATATTATTGATTTTAAATGTAAATATATATCGGTGTTTCTATGTAAACTGGGCAACTTGTGTACCAAAAGTGTCTTAGTCACTTTTTGCTTGTATTTTGAAGAAAGTTATTAAGTAAATAAATATCTAAATAGTTAACAATAAAGCAGAAGAACCAAAAATAGTTCCAATATTATAGAAAACATTGAGCTTTTTCTAAAAAAGCTGATCCATGATGGCAGGTTGGGGATAATATTTCTCACATGTAAGAGAGACTTACATTTCTTTAAACTCTTGACATTATTTACTGCTGTATTTTTCCCTTTTTTGCTTCTCAGTGTCCTTGTGGGGTTATATTTTCAACAAGTTTCATTTTTTGTCATAAAATGTCTTACTTTAAGAGATTTTTTGTTGGTGTTACATTAAAAGGATATGCGTATACTTTAAATACAGAAATATATATATTTATGTAGGCCTTTGGAGGCGGAAATAGTCCTCTATCTAGGTGGGACACAGGGGACTGTTTAATTTGACTTTATAGGAAAGTAGCACAAAGTATTACAAAGATTTTTTTTATTTTGTTATATATAACGTGGATAATAACAAAATAAATAACCAATATAACAAAATACCAAATATTAACCAATATTAGAATATTAACCGATTTATCAAAATGAATACTCGTAAATATAAAAATAAAAATAATTTACCCCAGGTGAGGTTAAGGTATAGAGTACTTGCAGTGTCATTCAAAATATGGACAGGTGGAGTGTTCTCAAAATGCTGAGACCGAATTCAATTTTTTACAAGCATGTAATAAAACGTGGAATAGGTCTAGCTAAAGAAAATCGACATTTTAGATATATGAAATATAATTTTATATTTAATCGACCCTAAAGTAAAAATCCTGCATTTGTGACATATTATGGGAGTCTTTTTTTTGCATTTCATAACATAAACCTTTTTCTTTATTTTTTTATTTATTTATTCAGCTAAAAACAGTCGTATACAAAAAATCTAAAACAGTCAGAATACAATTAGACCTATATTACCCTAAATTATTACAAATGAACTGATTTGTCATCAAAAGTAACGGATGCTAAATAAGTATGTTTACAAAAATCATCAGTGAAACTAATTGAATAAAAATATTAAATAAAACTAAATTGAAGTTACTAAAAAAGAAACAAAAATACATATGTTTTGTACAACATTTCCGAAAAACTTTAACATTGATTGGTTTGTACCTACTGGCAAAATATAGAAAACAGTTATACTAATAGTAACAAATAAATGTTAATAATATTATCATAGTACAAACAATAAAAGTAATACTTAGTTTACACGAAAAAATATCAACAACAGTTAAATTATTATTATTGAGAAAGGTATTTTTTGCATACCTAGTATGTTAAGAAGATATATGAAATGTATCTTTGGAACGATAATTTTTAATATAATGAAATTAATTTCTACGGATATTGTGCATTGGCCACAGGTAGTTGAGGGAATCCTTTTTTAAAATTCATTATATTGTATTCAGTCCTTCTGACGTCCCACTGCGGGGCACTGGCCTTCCTCCAATATATACATACATGCATAGTGCCATACATATGTATGTATCCATAGGCCATAGTCTACCACGCTGGCCAAGTGCAGGTTGTCGGACTTCACATGTCTTTTGAAAACTTGCTAGGTTCTCTCAGACATGCTGGTTTTTTCACGATGTTTTCCTTCACCGTTAAGACAAGTTGTGATCATGTTGGAAATGATTCGTACATGAATATATCAGAGGTGTGAGACCCGGGATTTGAACCCGCTTCACTCGGTTTCCCAAGCGAGCGAGTTACCACTGGGCTACCACTGTCTTAAAATTCATTACATAGTATATAATATATAGTTGTATGTGATGTCCATCCGAGACAGAGAGTTGCTCAGTTTACATAGAAACTCCCATATATGTGATGAAGTAGCTCATATCGTCAAAAGAATTAAAATGCTAGTTCCATCAGATTGGGGTCGAACAGTGTTAGCAGTTTTGCAATCACGTACTCGTACTAATGCACAATGATGTCTCCCGCGTATTGCACAGTTATCGCACGCGTAGTGTGGACTGTGGGCCGCGTGTAACTTGTGACTTGCTGTTGCAGCGAAGACGCCGGCGGCGGCGCTGGCGGGCGCGGGGGGAGCGGGGGGCGCCGGTGCGGGTGGCGCGGGGGGTGCGGGCGGCGCGCTCAGCGACGCCGACGCCGAGCTGCAGGCGCGCCTCGACAACCTGCGCCGCGAGTGACACCCCCACCCTCCACCGCCACTCCCCCTCGCCGCTCGCACACGCGCAGGGAACAAAGTTATAGCTCTATTATTGGCAACATAACAATAAAACCTTACCGAGTACCGTTCTAATGGCCCTAGTTGTAAACGAGCACAACACCGAGGTGCAATGTTGTTCCTTGCGAATCATCAGTACTGTGAGAGCACACCGACACTATGATACGAGCGCTCTAGCCTTTTTTTTTTCTTTATTCGAATTTTCCTTATTCGGAAATCGATAATTATCCTACCTTCGTTTAAAATATTTTTTTAATTTTTTTTTGAATGTGACGTTCTGAAACTACTTAGCCAATTTCTCGATTCATTTATCTTTGATTATTCTTCCGACTTAAATGTTTATAATTTTAAAGACTAATTGTATTAATAAAAAGTCCCTTTGAAGTTATGAAAAAATAAAATTATTTTTTTATGTGTATAAAAAAATTAAGTATAAATGAAATTTACTTTTGCTTTCAATTGTTACCTACACTAGGGATCTGAACTACGATTGTGATGTATATACATACTGTGAATTACTTCATAATTGTATTGAATTGTTGCTTTACATTTGTAAATATATGCTTATGTAAATTGAAACCACCTAAAAATATTTTATTTTTTTACCTCTAAAATAACATCGTATTATATAAGTGAAACGTGATCCCCAAACCTGCAGGGACACTATTGAATGCATAAATACTAAGGTTTTGTTGTTGTTTTATTCCACACACGTTCCCACGCGTGCGCACACGCACAGCTCGTACACAAAGCATACAAAGAAAACAAACGAGTTTGTCAGTAGTTTCATTTATTGTGTACAGAATTAAGACACGCTACATGACAGCTCATAGACAATAACAATAAAATATTACACAAAATAACATTTAATAATAATAACGGATCTTAAAAATACACATAGGTAGGTCACGACTATGACAGACATACGAAACGAGCGCGACTGTACTCGCCACTCGCTACACACTTAATAACTAAAATATTTTTACAAAATACATTGGTATCCGATATCCCATTCCATTATTATTTCTAGATATGTTTCAATGTTATACTGTACCACATACCGATGTGTGAGAGTTACCTAAGAGATAAAATATTAAAAATATGTCTCTCCGGGGTCTATTCTGTGACCGCTGACCACGACGCCAGCTCCAATGGAGGAACTCTGCATCACCAAATAGTTACGACCATAAAGTTAAATGTCTCAAAGGAATGACACAAAGTATTTAATATGTTCATAACAAAGTAGCCATGGCTATGGGGTAGGTATCTGTCGCATACACGATAGGTATACGTCATACATATACACACCTATCCGTATTAACTGCCCTTACTACAACAGAAAACAGGAAATTGCAGGTCTAAAGAGAAACGCCTCACGTTTGTTATGCCATAATGCCACTTTGGTATAACATATTTTCCTGACGATGTTAAAAATGTCCTATCGACAACGTTATAAAATGTAAGATTGTTTCAAAATGCCGTACTAACGGCGAGTCGGAGAGTTCGGCCGACTAACTAAAGTAAAGACAGTGTACAAAAATATAGTGTTTCAGTCTTATCGTCCGCAGACGCGAGGCCTCGCCGTCGCCGAGCAAACCTTCGAAAGCCTAGTAGATATTTCAAGTCACAAACAATGGTTCTTACATGGAATTGTTGCCGGCCTACTACGTCGTGCATACATACAGTTGGTTTGCTCATAAACTGACTTTACACACGGTCAATTATTTTCCCCTTGCGAGAAATATTAGAGGATGGACTAATTTTAGGTTTCGCCATAAAAATCTAGTCATACATTCAGTCGCTGCTTGGTGCGTGACCAATCCTACACAGGCGGCCTGCGCGTCCCCGGTAGACGCGAGATGTGACACTCGTATTTTGACCCGCGCCGCCAGACATCTGCTCGTACTGTAGCCACGGGATGCCTTCTCACGCGCGGTGAACGAGACCAAGGAAGACTCGGTGGGAAAGCTTATACATAAAACGTATGTCCAAAGCTTGTCCTAATATAAAAATAAAATTGTCAATATATCGACTCAGATAAAATTTTGGAAAGATAAAAAATAGACAAAGCGCAAGACAGGGTTTCTCGCGGAGATTGACATTGGCCACTTTTAAATAGGTATATAAGTTTTGTATAATATTAAATACATTTTATCACATTATACTTTCAAGTTGCTATTTCTAGTTGACCATAATTTATAAAAATAGCATATTTAAAGTATATAGGTTGGAAAATTCGAGAGATCGCGATGTGGTCGGACAGCGCCCCGTTCGCCGCCGACGCTTCACGCCCGGTGCCACGCACGAGGACGACTACTTTAAATGAATGTAAATCATATCACAGACGCATTCACCTCGATCACAATCGTGCTCGTTCAACTGTACACTAAAGCTAACACCGAAGATGTAACAGAATCATCTACGATAAATATAAGTAAGACAGCTTCGAGAGCCGTAAGGAAGATCCAAATCCGAGAGGAATGAGTGCGGGTGCCGGGGCGGGGCGGGTGCGGGGCCGGGCGGCTAGCGCGCGCGCGGCTTCAGCGCGCTGACCGCGATGCCGAGCTGTCCCAGGTAGTACGTCGACATCACCAGCGTCTGCAACGAGCCCGACTCGTGTCACTTGCACGTAACAAACTAACTAACTTACTAACTAACTTTTACTAAAGAGACTACTCACGAGAAGCGTGCACAACATTTTTATATGAGACCTTAAGTGACCAGCTATCTTAAAAAAATATCAATAACATTCTACAATATCAATACGTATCTAAGCGTAATCTACGATTACGCTTGGATACGTAATTTTTTTATAAAATAAATATAGCATATACCTACTACATCCTATATACATATAATATACGTACGTACGTACATATTATATGTTTGTATGGCTGCAGTTTATACATATATATGGGACGCGGCCTCTGGAGGATAGGGTGGTATTTTCGGATAAGGAGTCCAAATATATAAAATGTATTTTGAAGAAACGAAAAAATCAAAAGTTATTGAGACTTTCTATAATGGCCTATAGTTGCGTTAACAGTAAAAAGTATCCTATATGTTGACCCGGATAACCAGCTATCACCATAGCAAATTTCATCAAAATCGCTCCAACGGTTTTTCTGTGAAGCGGTAACAGACAGACAGACAGTCAAAAATTCTAAAAACTATAGATTCGGCCTCTGTATCGATAATAATGTTTATTTCAATAAGATTTTTCTAAAAATATTTAATGTACAGATTCGGCTTAGTTACAATTTTATTATATGTATAGATATGTATGTATTTTAAAATATATATGTGTAGTGTATTAACTATCCGGTATCCATAACACAAGCCTCGTAGCTTACCATGGATCTAGATGGTGCAGTGTGTTAATATCCCAACATATTATTATTAATTTACATAAATCAAATAAAAATTAAAAACTCGTAAATGCATGCATGAATTGAAAATAACATATTTATTTTTTTAAATCGTTTAATATTTCGACAGCTCACATATGCCAGTCTATGAAAAATATGTTTTTATCTCACAATATGAAGACGATTTTGTTTTGTATACATCAAATAAGAACTTGACTATCGCTACCAATGATTTACAATCAGCTTTGAGCATTTTCACTGCATTGCTTGATGAATTAGGTTTACGGATTTCTCCTTTCAAAAGTAAAATATGCATATTTAACAGAGCTCACATTACTAAATCTTCAAATAGACAGTGTTTCTTTAGAAATAGTAGAAAATGTAAAATATCTAGGGGTTGTGGTTGAATACAAAATTAAAATGGGGAACTCATGTAAGTAGTGTAAGAGATAAAGTGTCGAAGTTTTTAAATTTATTTAAAGTTTCAGCCAGTTCCGGCGGGTATCCATCCAAAGTATTTAAGAATGCTATACATTTCTATAATAAGAAGTAGATTTGAATACGCGAGTTTTTTGTTCGATGACGGCCCGCGCTCACATTTGTCGAAATTAGATCAAATTCAAAACCAATGTATGAGACTTATCGGTGGGTTTGTAAGAACAACTCCTATACATATGATGGAGAGTGAATTAAGTTTACCGCCTTTAGCTATTCGTAGACGCTACTTATGCGGAAAATATTTGTTAAAAGCAAAATCTTTAGAAAAAAACAGTATTAATATTTCTTTACTTAGTGACTATGCACCTCAATTTGAAAATTCATATTGGAACAGAAGGAAAAAGCCTTTATTAATTATGTTATTTATAATGAAATTCAAAATATATCAGTTAATAGAAGCAAACAACTATAAATGTTTAATTTAAATGTTTGGACTTCAAAAATTGGCTTGGATCTACATATGAAGATACATATACCTCACATTAAGAAAGCAAAACGCTCGTATAATTCTCTTGATATTAAAATAAAATGTTCAAATTATTTAAATTCACAATATCCTAACTATTATAAATTATTTACTGATGCATCTTTGGATAACAATGAAACGGGAATTGCTTTTTATGATCCCCAAACAGAAACTAATATGAGATTTAAAAATAATTACAAAATTTCAATAATGTACTCAGAACTTATTGCTCTGGCTGAAGTATTATCTTATATTGAGACAATTAATTTTATTAAATTTATTATTCTCACTGATTCAAAAAGTTCATTACAACACTAGGCTCGTTGCACCTCGACTTTTCGAGGAACACCGACAGCCAATACTATCACTGAATTGATTCTTTGAAATGAAGTTCTTGGAAAAATCTGTTGTTTTGCAGTGGATTCCTTCTCATATTGGAATTATTGGTAACGAGACTAAGTCGATCAGTTTACCAAACAGGCCTGCACTGATGGAGATATAATTCATAATATGTCACCTTTCTATACAGACTGTATTTGATAAAAGAAAATGTGTAGATGCTTGAAAAGAGTATTTTGACTTGAGGTCTAAAAAAAGGCATATAGTACAAAACGATTCAACCACAACCTTGTTATTATTCTTGGATAGATATGTTGTAATTTTAAACGTAAAGATATTGTGATGGCTTTGAGACTGCGCTCCGTTAAGTAAGTTTCGACAGTGACAAGTAAATTCCATTAAATAAATTTGGGTATTTAATGAAGAAAGTTCTTTCTCCTAATTGTCTCGATTGCGGAGTTATAGAGGATGTGTACCATATTTTAATGGAATGTGCTCGAAGCGAACCCCTTTTATCACAATTAGTAGATAGATCAATTGAAATGTGTAATATTTATGTTGCAAATCCTACTTCAGTGTTAGCCAAAATTATGTATAATATAGATAAACATAATATAAGTACGCGAAACTAGGTAATATTATAACTAATGTATAAGAATATTTATTTAACCTACCAGAGCAACATAGTCGCCCAAGTGACTCAGCTCTTTAAATGAGAATAAAAAAAAATATAGTAATCTGATGACAATTTTCATTTTCAATATGCATAACTCTTAACTAATTATTAAACGAGTACCTGGGCTACCGGGCTTCGCTCGGAGTTTTGGCCAAAAAACATTCAAAAAAAATAAACTAAAAATTTAAATAAATACACATATACATTTAAACAAAAGTAAGAACTTTGTATCCGACCGAGATACGAACCTAGACACCTGTGGTTATCAAACTTGCACCTTGGGCGCTTAACCACGATGCTTATGTCCTAGCGTGCAAATTAGCGAACATATTCTGCGTGCGAAACAAAACCGCATGAAAACTCGAAAACACATGTTTTCCCAGACATAAAACTAATCTAGATTGATTTATCGCCCCCGAAACCCCTTGTATACTAAATTTCATGAAAATCGTTGGAGCCGTTTCCGAGATTCAGATTATATAGATATCTATACATATAATAAAATTGTAACTAAGTTGAATCTGTACATTAAATATTTTTTGGAAAATCTAATTGAAATAGACATTATTATTGATACAGAGGCCGAATCTATAGTTTTTAGATTTTTGTGTCTGTCTATCTGTTACAGCATAATAGAGAAACTACCTACAATGCTATTTATTTATTATTATATTTGCCAAATTTCATGAAAATCGGTTTAGCCGTTTATTTTACGCGTGATTAACAAACAAACTTACAATCATTCACGTATTTTAGACTATTAGTAGGATTATAATTAACTATGTATATTATGTAGTTCGATAATTGTAGCATTGCATCTCTTTGATTCTTTTCGGATTGTATCGCTCGTAGGCAGTAAACTTATGTGGCGTATTCTTTGATCGATGTTCTGGTATAGTGCGCGGATTGTTTGATGTTGTCTTGCGGGGTGCGCGGGTGCCGCGCGCTAATACCCGCCCAAACACTCAAGGCGATTGAGGACTCGAATAGCCTTAAAGTCAAAAATTTTTTTTTTTATTTTTCCTGAAAAATGGTGATTTTGCAGTTATCATTTTATTCTCCGGGGGCGGCGATATGACCAATAAACATGACCTAGCGATTTAAATTATTTTTTTTAATATAAAAAACTACTTTTTGTGAATTAAATATAAAAGTTAGACATGCTGTCGGTGACTTCTTTGTAGGCATTATTAAGCTCTACAACTTTTCTCTAGAACATAATCATATATATCTCATATCGTTAAGGCAGCGTTCGTAAGAAACGTTTTCGTTCGACCGTTTTTTCTCCGACTTACTTTGCAAATTCGACTACCATGAAAAAAATCTTTTCATTCTTCGGGTTAATATTTATAGCCTATGACACTCAGAAAGAACGTGGTTATCTATTGGTAAAAGAACGTTGAAAATCGGTTCTGTAGATCCAGAGATGACCCCCTACAACATCACAAACTCATAAACTCACAATATTACAAACTTTACCTCTGTATAATATTAGTAATAGATAAAGCCTTAATTGTTGTGAAAACGTGGATTTTAAACGAAAAAGGATGCTTCTTATTCGTTAAAGGTATGTTTATCTTTTGTAATGATTATAGAAATGTTCTAACTTTAAGTGCCCATAACTTTTGACTCCTTCCGTTTCCTCAAAATATTTTGCTATATATTTGAACTCCCTATCACCTCCCCTATCCAAATATACCACTCACTTCTCCAGGGGCCGCGTCCCATATACTAAACTTGTGCCAAAATATAATATACTTAGATATTCTACATGAACACAACCTGTTTCTCTAGTTGCTCAGAATTTAAAACAACAAACGAAGGTTCCATACCGAGTGATGTGAACTGGGTAGGTACTTACGTGCGTGTAGGGCACCGAGCCGGCGAAGAGGCTGTAGCCGAGGATGGCGTCGGAGAGCAGAAAGAGCAGTGCGCCGTAGCGCTGGTAGCCGGCGGAGGCGGCGCCGCGCCATGCCATGGTGACCAGCAGCAGCGCGTAGGCGGGCACGAGCACGGACAGTTCGCCCGGCGCGGGCACGGCGCGCACGTACAACAGCGCGCCGGCGTACAGCGTGGCGCCGGCGCGCGCGGCGGTCGGCTGCAGCCCGAAGGCGCGGATGTAGGCTACGTGCGCCGCCGCGAACGCGCCCATGCCCTCCACCAGGTGCTGCGGCCACACCAGCAGCGCGTCGCCCACCACCGATAGCGCCAGCCCCGTCGCCACGCGCCGCGCATACTCGCACCTGAAACGCAACGTCAAAGTGTTCGCACAGGGGTTCTACCACTGACATCACCAATGGGTAGGTAATTCACAAAATTTTAAATCTTTTCGAATTTTTTCGCGGATTTATTTAGATTTTTTTGTTCTCGACAATTCGAATGCTTTATAGCAATTATGGTCAAGGGAACGACTAAGGTTTTAGAAGTCTCAATGGCATTATATACACTGCCGTGCAAAAAAATCGGGCCACCCTTAATTTTAAGCATAATTTTTAGTTGACAATTATTAGGTGAAAAAAAATGCCGCAAAGATAATTAAGGAGATTAAACGTCTTTGTTTCCTTTAAAAAAGTCATAAAAAATTCTGGAAATGCGCGTGTGCGCGTTAATAATAGTCAATAAGCAGAAAAAAGTGAGCATTCGCATAATATGGCTTTAAGCCACAAATAATGTTTCTTGTTATTTTAGAAGCTTAATTGAGTTACAATTATTGAACGAGACACTTCTACCTTTATCTGCGACTATCAGCAATACTACAAGATGGATCTGACTGAGGCTAAATCATCTCGAATTGTGACATAGCTTGAAACAAGACAAAGTCAACAACAAGGCTCGAACTTTCTCTGTGACAGGATTTCTATTTTGAATTGTTTGATATATTTTAGCATCAGCTGTAATTTCTTAAAATCGTTATTGCACAAGGGTTGACGTTCGAAATCTCCTGAGAGAATTGAGAGGTGTTAATGTCAGCGAGTGGACAGTAAGGCGCCGACTTAGAGCCTCTTTTCTAATGCCGCGCAGGCCCCAACTCATCCCCCCCCCCCAACGTGCGTTCACCTTGTCGTGGTGGGGGGGCTCAGTAGTGCCCGGCAATCCAACCGGGCGCGAAGCTAAGAAACGCACAGGGAGGTTGCCCACTTCGGTGGGCGGTGGGAGGTGGCCCTCTTCGGGGGGCGGTGTACCATGCGGGTTGCTCCTGGTACTTCTCTGATAGCAGAGTGGACTGTGGAGCAACCCCATGGTTGTGGTAGTCTGCTTCGGCAGACCTGCCGTCGGGGCGTCGTAGTTGAATGCGTAAGCGATCCTGCGACGCCCCATTAAGACGGGGGAAGGTTTTGTTGGGTTTTAGTGGGTAGTACTGGCTGTATTACGCCGGTGAGTCCCACACGTCGTGCGTAAATGCATTTCCCAACGTTAAAAAAAAAGGCCCCAACTCACCCCGGCACATCGAGTTGCAATTAGCCTGATTATTAGAAGATTACAATTTGCCTGAGATCACATGAATTGGAGTTTGGAGCAATGGAACTTCTTCACAAATTCTTTTACGGTAAAAGCCGCTCAATTATGGAATTCTATTCCTTTAAGCATTCGGTGTGCTAAAAGCCTTGATAAATTTAAAAGTTTATTAAAAGATTACTATTTATCTCTTTAAGCCTTTCTCCTTAGTATTTCCCCTTTCTCTCTTTAGTCCTTTCCCCTAATATCATTATTATTATTTCCTCTGTTATGTTTTAGTAGATATTATTCTATATAATATTTGGTTGTTTTGTTGAATGAACATGTATGTAAGTATGTATATATGTATGTATGTATGTATGGATTGGTATATGTATCTATTTATCTATAAGTATTTATATACATAAACGTGTCAATGCAAGTACACCGCCTACTGTTTTATGAAAATTTACTCCTCCTCCTCAAGGTTGCCTGGAAAAGATCGCTTCCAGGCCTGCTGTGCATCTTTTCTTTGTGTTTTTTTTTGCTTTGTATTTTAGTTTTCGGTGTGCAATAAAGAATATTATTATTATTCTTATTACTAATGAAAGCAGAATGTGTTTACATGGTGCCGAAGGCCATAATTTTTTTTACCGGCGACCAGGAGAAAGATATGCACCGTGCACTATGCGGGAAACTGTCATATGGAAGGGGCTCAATTATATTATGGGCAGGATTCTGTTACGAAGTGAAAACCGAGCTTATATTAATAGTAAAAGGAACCCTCACTGCCGCTAGGTATAAAACGGAGGGTTTAGATGATCATGTGATGCAGCAGCAGATTTCGCAGGGTTCATTGGAGAAGATTTTCTACTTCTACCTAGACATTGCTGCATCAGTAAGGCAAGGCAGTATCTTCAAGAAATCGGAGTGTCTACCATTACCTGTCCTGTCCGAAGCCCTGGCCTCATTCCGATAGACCATGGGACCATCTCAAAAGAAAAGTTAGAAGTCGCGCAGTAGTGCCGAGCTCCCTTCAAGAATTAAAAAGCACCGTATTGGAAAAAAGGGAGTCTATTACACAAGATTAACTAAAAAAGCTCGTCAAATCTCTGAAACACCAATTAAAAGCTGTAATCTATACTAATACTATAGAGGTAAAGTTTGTGAGATTGTGAGTTTGTGGCGTTGTAGGGGGTAATCTCTAGATCTACTGAACCTATTTAGATGACATTTGGTAAGAAGATAGTTTGAGACCTTGGAAAGGACATAGGATACTTTTTATCCCGGAAATCGTCCCTTAAGGGAGTGAAAATGGGGATGAAAGTTTGTATGGGGAATCAAGCTGAGGACGAATGAGTCGCTAGTTAAAAATAGAGGTGAAAATACGCATTATTAAAAATAATAAAACCAATCGAAATCTTTAATTTTCCCATTAATTTACGGTTTATATTTTTACACTAAACTGGCGAAAAATCATTAACTCGTCTTTCCTTTATTTTCGATCGATCATATTTATTTAAATTATCCAACAATTATTGATTTAGGTACTTGGTGCTGCCTACATACAAAAAAAATGTCATACCTTAAGTTTGTCCATTTTGTCTGAGTGGTCGATTTTTTTGCACGCCAGTGTAGTTGTTACAGATAGCCTACCCACAAAATTACAACATTTTGAAAATCATATGACTAGACAGGTCTTGGCCATTAAGGAAGGCAGGAGAGGCAGAGGACGCCCACTGACTACCTGCATAAGAACAATCCACAATGATATGTTGACGATGGGTTTAACGCCAGAAATGACGCAAAATCAGTTTTACTTGAATTTTGTTAATTGCAGTTACAGACTGCAGATGTTGTATTGCGACGGTACTTCACATCAGCTACGAGTATGTGTTGTTCTTCTATTAGTTCAAGTATGTATAATTATGTTGACTCTAGTCCTAATGGATTTCTTTGTTTGTCCGATGAAGGAGAGCTACAATCACAATCAAGCTTTGTTTTTTACATTGATTCTTTGGATCTCCTGTGAGAATGGATATTCCGCAAGAATCTATTCTGCTCCATTTATATTTCTAGTTTATATAATAAGTAAATGGACTCAATACTTACTCTAATAAAATTTGTGGTTTTGTTCTCTTCGCTGATGATATTTAAATAAATTAATAAAAAATAAAAAGAAATTACCAAAAATAAAATTAAAATAAAGTGGAATAATTTTGATGTTATTTCAAATATTCAACACCAAAAAAAAAAATAACTAATAGGTTTAAAAATGCAGAATTATGGATTATGATACTCGATCTTAAAAATAACAGAGTAATTTTATTCAACTGCGGCGAAGCCCAAAGCCCAAAGGTCGTGTTTCACCTGCAGGCTGTATGTACAGTATCTTAATTACTTAACGGCTTAAGCGATTTTAACGATTCAACTTGTAAAGAACAAGTTGGGGCTTTAGAAATGAAACTTGTAATTAGTAGAATCCGTAGAATTGAGTAGAAAGGTTTAATGAAAAAATGTGTCTCCTTTTATACAAAAATTAAACAAAACTCATAACCAATGCAAATGTGTACATTAAAATATTTACAACCTTAAAATTCGGTTAACAAATAAAAATCTTATTTTTATTTAAAATATGATTGGTCGTAAATATGAATGAGATAAAAATAGCGCGAATCTTCTGCTGTCTTGAATTCTGGGAAATCGCGCGGTCGCGTGTTCTAGCGCGAGACGCTAAAGTTATAAATATAACTATAGTCCATTCGCGTTAATAAAATAGTGAGTCATCAAGTGCAACGGCAGGTAAAGGTGTATACAGGGTGTATACAAAGTGGAAGTAAAAATTCAATATAAATTTAATATTTCAAAAGAAAGTTTAATGGATAAAAATCAACTTAATTATCTTACTTATCTCAAATCTTGATTTAAGATGATAATGACTTTATTTTGTTTTGAGGTAATTAATGATCATAATTTTCTCAAATCAAAATAAAGTCATTAATAATATATTTTTAAATCTGCCTTTAACTGGTCATTGTGAAATGTGACTTTATAATTTTATGCAATCTAATTGGTCGGGGGCATAGCTAGGCCACGGTAATATTACATACAGTATTTCATCTTCGACTACACGTTTGGCTCAGTTTGTAGTGACCCTACTTGCCGTTGCCAGCGGTCGCGGGTTCCACTTCCGCTGGGGGCATTCATTTGTTTGATGACGAATGTTTGTACTCCAGTCATGGGTGTTTATATATTTTTTTTTATTTATTTATTCAGGTAAAAACAGTCGTAAACATAAAATCTAAAACAGTAAGAATACAATTAGACCTATATTACCCTAAATTATTACAAATGAACTGATTTGTCATCAAAAGTAACGGATGCTAAATAAGTATGTTTACCAAAATAAGTGAAACTAATTAAATAAAAAAAATATTAAATAAAACTAAATTGAAGCTACTAAAAAGAAACAAAAATACATATGTCTTATACAATATTTAGAAATAAATAAGTTTATACAAAATTTCCGAAAAACTAAAACATTGATTGGTTTGTACCTACTGGCAAAATATAGGAAGCAATTATAGTAATAGTAACAAATAAATTTTAATAATATTATCATAGTACAAACTATAAACAATAAAACCCATAGTTAGAATATTATACGAAACACTTGCTTTTTATACATACTTAGTTTAAACGAAAAAATATCAACAACAGTTAAATTATTATTATAGAATGAACAAGAACGCCTGAGAAAGGTATTTTTTGCATACCTAGTATGATATGAAGGTATGTGAAATGTATCTTTGGAACGTATATGAACGGAATATGTATGTATTTAAAGTTATATATGTGTAGTATATCAACTATCTGGTATCCATAACACAGGCCTCGTAGCTTACCGTGGAACTAGATGGTGCTGTGTGTAATGTCACAAAATATTTATGTCACAAAATATTTATTTATATTTATCTTCATACAAACGGTCGGAAATCGAGTTATACCTACGCGCGTCGCGTTCGGTATACACTCGGTAGACAACCGCGCGGGGCTGCCAGATCGTATAGTTGGATACGAAAATTGTAAAAATAAGGTGGTTATGCTATGTAACTTTTATAATTTGATATGGACTAAGATCCCACTGCAAGATTGCTACGTTCATTGCGTATTTAATCGAAATCATTTTTTTATATACAATAATAAAAGGGACAATATGTTTTGACCGGGGTGCCTATTCAAATGTGCCCGCTAGTATGTTTAATTAACTAAATAATAGTTGACTTTTTGGAATAAAAACGATGCATTTGTTATTACAATGAATTATACTCCACTTCACAGAACTATACGTAGAGATCTTGAAAAATTATAGCTGCCGTTGCGCATTTGGCCGCAACCTCTTCGCAGCCAGGTATAAGCGGGTCATATTTTGGTATGTTTATGCGTTCATAGCGTACATGCATCATTTATATATCAAATTAATGCTAATTTTTTTCTGTACCTGATAAACTACGTCTGCCTATGTAAAAGTGGCCGCAAAAGTGGTTGCGAGTCATTAAAAATGTTTTTGTTACATTTATACGTTCATGACGTATATTCATCATTTATATATCAAATTATAGCTATTTTTTTCTGTGCATGATAAAATACCTCCCAAAGGAAAGAAAAGAAGGAAAGAATATAATATATAGAAGGAAGAATATAAAAAAGGAAAGAATATAATAAAACTATAATAACTTATACAGCTTAGTACACAAAAACTACTAATTGGATTTTAATAAAACTTTACGCTAATATAGTTCATACATGACAATAACAAATCGGCTACTTTTCATCCCGGAAAATTAAAGGGTTCCCGTGGGACAGTTAAAAAACTATAGTAACTTATACAGCTTAGTACACAAAAACTACTGATTGGATTTTGATGAAACTTTACAATAATATAGAATATACATCAGAATAACAAATAGGTTACTTTTCATCCCGGAAAAATGTACGGTTCCCGTGGGATAGATGTTTTCGTTTATTTGTAACATATTATGTACACAACATAGACCCCAAAACAATAGTTATTAAAAAAATTGTCTGTTTGTCTGTTTGCCTGTATGTCTGTTTGTCTGTTTTTGTATGCGCGTTTCACGCGAAAAGTAATAAACCGTTTTCAACGAAATTTGGTGAAATGATAACTTATTCATTTCCACGGAAAAACACAATAACTGGTTCTATCGAATTTTCCTTAGAAATTTATATGGCTAACGCTGGCTCAACCTTACGAGATAGATCAAAACAATGTACAAGAAAATTGTAACTCTTAAAAAGGTCGATAGAAAAGTTCTCAATAGTATATGTCTATCTCCTAAAGTACAGTCGCTATAACTATTTTCATTATTATATATTACTGTTTTATAATACGTTATTTATTCTATCTATAAATATAATAAAACTGTAGAGGTCGAATGTCTGTACATAGAAAAAAAATTGCTAAGAACCGAGTCAGTTATCTTCTTACATGCCGTAAGAAGAAAAATAGAACAAATCCAGATTTCTTTCAATTTTTTGTTTCTCTGTCTGTTTGTACGGGCTTATCTCCGAAGCTATTTAAATGAAATTTTGCATGGTCGTACCTTATATCCCCGGTCAACATGTAAGATACTTTTCATTCCGGAAAATTAAAGAGTTCCCGTGGAATAGTTAAAAAACTATAGTAACATATATAGCTTAGTACACAATAACTTATGCGCCTAATTTAGTGAAATTTGGCATGCTGATGCCTTATGTTGCCGGTCAAACAACAGGATTCTTTTCATCCCGGAAAAATAAACGGTTTTCGTGGTATAGATCTGTTTTTGTTTGTTTGTAACGTATTATGTACACAATATATACATCCCAAAAGAAAATTGTTATTAAAAAAAATGTCTGTGTCTGTTTGTCAGTTTTGTATGTTTGTACGGGCTAATCTCCGTAACTATTGGACCGATTTAAATGAAACTTTGCATGGTGGTACCTTATATCCCCGGTCAACATCTTAGATACTTTTCATCCAAGAAAATTAAAGAGTTCCCGTGGGATAGTTGAAAAACTATAGTATCTTATCCAGCTTAGTACACAACAACTTATGCACTTAATTTAGTAAAATTTAACATTCTGATACCTTATATTGCCGGTCAAACAACAGGTTACTTTTCATCCCTGAAAAATGAACGGTTCCCGTGGGAACTAATAGATCCCTATTAAGGTTTTTCTATTACGACCGGAACCGAAACGAGGGTGACCCGCTAGTACATATAATAAAATTGTGAGTTGATTCTGTATATTAAATATTTTTTGGAGAATCTTATTGAAATAGTCATTATTATCGATAGACAGGCCGAATTTATAGTTTTTAGAGATTTTGTTTGTCTGGGAACGCATCACGAGAAAATGACTGGACAGACTTTGATGAAATTTGGTATGATTATAGCTAGTTATCCGGGTCATCATAGAGGATACTTTTTACTGCAGGAAAATAACTAATTTCTGAGAAATATATATGAAACCTTAATTATATATTAAATATATAAATTATAGGTACGTAGATATGTGAATTTAATCTATATTATAGTTTCAAGTACATACTGTGGGTGCGGTGCGTCGTACGCCCGTACCATTACGCACAGCAGCAGGAACAGCACGGGCGTGCACTTGATCGCCGCGATTGAGAGCGACGGTGCGCCGCCAACAGCCATGAAATAAACGCACACAGACTTGAAGAAGGGCACCAGCATGAACACTTGCCTCAACGCCTTTATCTGTCGACCGAACGTACTATATCGAACAAAGTACAAAACTTTATAGTGTTCATTATACTTTGTCCAACATGACAACATCATAACTTATATAATATCTTCTATGTATGCAGACCCACTGTAGCACCACCGAACGTGCATTAAGGCGAGCATTAGCATAGCACATTGAGGGGCTAGCAAGTAGACTCAATTTTGCAGCGTCAGCGGAAAAAAAGTCTTATTAATGACGTAGATATGGCTCGTATTGTATATTTTAGTTATTTCCATAGTATTGTCATTAGACATGTATACGCTTTTACAACAGGGTTCCAGAAAACGTTCAAAAAGCTTCTATCGCCAAGGGGCCCTTCATAAAATACGTCACGCTAAAATCAGCTTTTATAACAAACATAATAGTAATCTATATATATAAAAGAAAGTCGTGTTAGTTACTTCGCTTATAACTCAAGAACGGCTGAACCGATTTAGCTGAAAATTGGCAGGGAGGTAGTTTAGAGCCAGGAGAAGGACATAGGATACTTTTTATCCCGTTCGACCGCGTTCCAATTTTTATGATATTTTAATTTTTGGATTTCTCTTAGTCCGGAATAGGTAAGTATTAAAACATATAATTAAAATGTGAGAAAGAAAGATTTTTTCTTTTTATATCTATTTAAAACGTACCTAGCGACGAACCCGAGCGAAGCGAGGGTGAGCCGCTAGTAAATAATATTTCTATCAATCAGAAGTCCAAGGATTAAGGATTAAGACCGCTAGAGCGCTCATGTCGAAAAATAATGAACGGCATACGTCATGTTGTCCTAACGGGCGCGTCCCCAGGTGGCGGATCGCGGAATGCCACCTGCTGTCCCCCAGCGACGGGTGGTACTGGAGAAATCCGGCACGAACCAACTGGTTTCATGGTGGGCCCGTTCGTCTAGGCCTCGAGCCGAAAGGTTTGGCCGAAGATGTTGCGACCAGCGGTGGTGAGACCGCTTTAGCGGTCCCGCGATCGGATGGGGGGTGCCGGTTGCGTAACTGTGGTGGCAGGCTCGCAACCGGCGGAGGGGTAGGCCGCGGCGGGAGAGAAATGCCGGTATTTCGGTGCGCCATTCTCCCTTTCTTCCGCGGCCTAGACGAGGCCGCCACCGTTTGATGCCGGACGCGGTGAGGGCTGCAGGAGAAGAGGAGTGTCGGTGTGTCGTTGCCGCTCTTCCTGCCCTCTGCAGCCGGATGAAAGTGGCCCACTTCGGTGAGGTTTAATGGGGCTGCTCCGGGTACGCCTCTGACATAGTAGAGTGGACTGTAGAGCAGCCCCATTGGTTCGGTGGTCTGCCTAATGTTTAGGCAGACCTGCCGCCAGGGCGCCGTAGTAGTTATGCGCAAGCGAACCTGCGGCGTTCTATTAAGGCGGAGGGGAATGTCGGGTTTTAGTGGGTAGTACCGGCTCTTCTAGCCGGTGCACCCCACATCACCACTTCTTCTTTCCGAAGTGGTAGTGGACTCGTGATGACAAGTTAAAATTGTATCTAGTAATTTAATGCTGAATAAAATATTTTGAATTTGAATCTTCATCATATATTTTTTATATACTTAGTATAATATGTACATGTAGGTATAGTTATTGTTTTTTTTTTCAGGAGAAATTCTCAGTAGCAGGCTTGAGTTGATAAGTTGACAGTATTATTATATAACAGTACTTCGGAGAGCATGTCAAGACATTTGTCCTATGGTTTTAAGTGACTACAAGAAATGGCAGAAATCTACGGCCGAAATAAATTAATGCGGTGGGCCATACGTCTATAGCTATGCACCTTGTGTTTAAAGGCTGAAGATATCCTAGATTAGTGGTTCCCAAATAGTGTTAACCATAACCAAAACACTAGGGTTCCATGGAAGGGTCACAGAGGTTCCAAGTCCCATCCGAAAGTTAAATAAAATGTTGTCAGTTATCACATTAAATAGTTAAGTTACATGTTTGGTATAATAAATATTATTATAAGTACCTACTAATAATTTTCATTTATGATCTGTCATTTCAAGTCAAACAAGAAATACAACACAATCAGATTAATTATTATTGTCAAAATGGGGATTTGTAATACGTTTAATATGATCAATTAGGGTTCCGTGGCCAACAAAAAATATTGGAATTTGGAAACCGCTGGCCTAAATCATTAGCGGCGCGCTGTCATTATAGCTATGTATAAAGTCAAAGGTTCACAGGACACACATGAACAGCTAGAGAACTACACTAACCACTGATCATCTAGGTAGTAGTGTATAGGCAGAAATGGAATACATTTGTATAAAAAGTGCAAGCGAGGTTAGAAAGTTATAGGCAGCATGAGGAAATTGGTACAAGGAGGTTTCAGACCTGAAGAGGATATATGTATGTCTGAATCCAATTTTTTCCATCTACATAATCGCTGAAAAGGTTTTAGCTGTTAACCCGAACTCCGAAGATTTTTGATCATGATCTGATAAAATAATTGTAAGTAAAGAGAAGAAAAAGGAAGTGATAAAAGGTGACTCTCTGAAAAATTTATTACGTCGGAGAGCATCATCGGCGCGAGTTGCAAACACTAATCTCCATCACGAATGATTCCGAATGTGAGGATAAAGATTTGCACTTAGTTGTCTAAGTTCTAACTAACTATTCATTTAGAATAGGTAGTTCCCATTCGAAATAGAAGCACAAAAGGCACAATGTAAGAATTGAGTGGATGAGGAGTTTCTACAAAAATTAAATGTAACAATGTATTTGTGAATGATGTTTAGCGGAAATGGAAGATGCGAAGAATGTCGACCATAAATGTTTCTAATAATAATACCGTTATTACATATAATTATTTGTACTAATATGTATCTACTTCTTTATATCTACATAATATTTATAAGAAGATAATGATCAAAAATAGGTAAAAACTGTACAGAAGATGCAATAAACTAAAAAATGAGTTTTGCACAATAAGTATTTGTTTTTGACAATTTCTAAAATCCTTATTGAATATTTATAAATTTAGTTTAAGTCTGAAACAAATATTTCTTATTACACTAGTACCTAATGTAATTGTTTCATATTGTAAAAATGTTTTAAGATCGTAAAGCATGAATCATTTCACAAATAGACTCAGAGATCCCCTGCGAGCGGGTTGCGTCCGCATTAAATTGCGGAGGGAAACGGAATTCAACCATAAACTAACTTACGACAATACAACCAAGCTGTGGCTTGCTCGCGGAAATCGTTATTTTGATGGTCTTTTATTACAAATATATCTTCATTTTATGATAAGATCCTGTGTACAATTAGTATTTTAGTACTAGCAAAAAACGTAGGTCGAATTATTAAGCGAATTTAATTATCACGTAATTCGTATTTCTTGTTGAATTAATCGTTTTTTAATCTGTTTTCGTTCAGCATCTAGTAGATTCCCGCGACTTTCAATTACCGCTTAGACCTTCCCACAAGCCTTAGGGGAAAAGTGCTATGAAAAGAACAAGTTTAGAATGGGACAACTTAAATTTACGGCACTAGGAACCAAGTAGTACATTTTTGTTTTCTACATTCTTACAATATTTATTCAGTAACAATATTAACGTAAATATCATTTGGTTCTCAAAACAAAGAAATTGGCGAAGCGTGATTTAATTATTTCCGATGCGCTTAAACGTTGGGAAATGCATTTATGTGTACTACCACCCACCTGTATATACATACATACAGGTGGGTGGTGGTTATGTGGGACTCACCGGCTAGAGAAGCCACTACTAAAACCCAACAGAACCTCCCCGGTCTTAATGGGTCTAAGTCCTGCCTCAACTACTTATTTGTCCATTTCAAGGCCTATTTAGTTGTCCCTTTCAAGACTTTCATACTATTTTAAAAATATCCTTACAGCAAAAACATTTTCGAATAACTTTGTATTATTGTGCACTCATCTTTTAAGTAGTTAAGCCAATAGTCAGTTAGCGGTACAATAACTATCAAATATTATTTAAATGATCTAATAAATAAAGTTCACAAACAACGAATAAATTACTTTTACTCACGAAATAATTAAATCACGCATTTCTATATGCGGTCGACGCTCTGTTGCAAGAATCATTCAACAAACGGCAAGTGTTGCTTTCAACATGTTGCTTTCCGTTTCCTTAAAATCGCCTGTTGTTGAATAGATGTAAATGCACCTTTAAGTGTATACCGTTACGCACTTAATTATTTAAATAAAAAATATTCATTCATTATATAATCGATTAGAAGTGTTTAAAGGAAAAAAATTAATTTCTAGTAAAGAGTTTGCATAGGTACAATTTAATATTATAATCATTAAAGTTACGAGCAGAACATAATATCTAGCTATCTATGTACTTACCAAATTAGAAAACGATATCATATTAATTAATAAAGCAGGATAAACTCTCAATATAACGTCGCGGAACTGCGTTTGTTTGAGAAAAATAATATTCGCTTAATTTGCTCCTATACAAACGTCAACAAAGCGCCAGCGGCCAGATCAATGTTGAATGTACTCACTTCACACTTGACACTGTGCGCCAGTGTTGAATAAACAAAAATAGCATGACCCGGCTACAAAATCTATAAACATAACACTGCTCTTTACTTTGTATGTATTCGTTCAGAAATATAATGATAGTATATTAAGTATTAACTATTGTGCATTCCTCGCCTTGTCCGGACAAATGGCGAGAGCGATTGCTGAATTTGAGTGTAAATAAGAATTTTTACGGCTGGCAACCACCTTCATTTATCCCTCCTGAGCTTCCGTATTATGATTATAGTTGCATTTTATCAACTTCCTGTTTCACCTACCTTCCTTATCAGGTAGGAGCAGGCTTGTCTCCTAAAAATTACACTAAAAATTCTGGCTCTAAAATCCGATTCTAACGTGCTAGGCTTGTCAAATCAAACGAAATAAGCCCAAACTCAAAGTATCTACTATTAGCTGTTGAAGAGTTCCATCTATCCACCTTCTGGCCTTACCGTCAGATCTGGTCAACGATACTGAAACACTGCACTTTCAACGGAATACACACTTGCAAAGTTTCAAATCAATATGACAATTAGAAGTACGTTAAATTCATCATTAGCTATTTTTCCACCATTAGGGGTGGTATTTTTTTTTTAATTTAAATGGGACCAATTTGGAAGTAAGTATACACTTTCAAACAAAACAATTTTTTTTAAATAAAACTATCTTTTCGGATTATTTCGCGGAATTATTTTGATTTTTGGTTCCCGACGTTTCGAATGCTTTGCAGCAATCATGGTCACGGGAGAGACTGAGGTGTTTGATGTCTTGAAGGTATAATTTGTACAGACAGCTACCCACAAATAACAAAATGAAAAATCGCACAATAATCGAACAAAAATGTCAAAGAAAGTATTATGAAAACAAAAATTGTCTAAATCGGTTAATAAATGACGAGGTTCTGAGATCACAAACATAAAAAAAACATACATTCGAATTAGGAACCTCCTCCTTTTTGAGGAAGTCCGTTGAAAAGGTAACTGAAAACAAAGCTTCGACTTTCCATAAACATTATTGCAAGGAAATTATAAAGAATACTAATTCTAGTAGTAATCAAAATTTATCTAAATTATTTAATTCAATTTAATTAAACTACATGTGTATTTACCTATATGATTTTGTATTTTCTATTTAACTTACGTATATAAATAAATATTGTTATTATATTATGTACAATAGCTTATCTATATATTACTCGTAATACGTGAAGCAAAAACTTTGTACCCTTTTACGAAATTTCCCACACTAATAGTTTATATAGAGAAGGAGTGCTGAATTTTATTGAAACCATGCATAAAAAGTACATTAAACCAATAAAAAAACATTACACACACTACCATGTATTTGACACAGACACGCATATATACTCTTTTGTTTATTGTTAGTCTGTGGTCAAATTGAGATTTATGTAATAATATATGAAGCAAAAACTTTGTATCCCTTTTTAAGAAAATCACGCGGACTGAGGAATGTGAAATTTGACACAGTCTTCGAGCAACAATACTACTGTTGATCGAACGAAAAACACAGTTAAAGTTTATATGGAGATATAGTGTAGAAAGCTAATATTTTTATATAAAATACATTAGAAATACATTAAATTAATTATAATAAACAATTGACCGACCGAAATTTTGGTTTCGGCCAAAAATCTATTTTCGGCTTTAGTTTCGGTTTCGGCCACAATATAGCCGAAACTTTCGTCATAACACTATTAAACTGTATATAATATATTAATATATATGCAAATAAATGGTAAAAAAACATTAAATTTCAGTAGATAATCGTAATTTTAAATAATTTTTAATAAGTTTCGGCCGGAACAGGAGTAAGCCGAAAGTTCGGTTTCGGCTAAAAAAACAGTTTCGGTCGGACATTAAAATGAACATTTTGTTTGTGAACCGATCTGTTTATTTTTTGTTTTAGTTTAATAGCTAACTATATATAATAGAAAAAATCTATATATATATATATATATATATATATATATATATATATATATATATATAAAAATGAATCCCTATTTCCCTTGGTCTATTATATATGGGTAGCTGTATACCCGTATTTTTTTTCACCAAACAATTGTCAACAAAAAATTATGTTTAAAATTAAGGGTGGCCTGATTTTTTTGCACGCCAGTGTATATGGCTAATGCTGGCTAGTAACTATTTATATCTATTTAAAACGTACTTAGCGAGGAACCCGAGCGAAGCGAGGGTGAGCCGCTAGTCTATAATAATCATGGTCGAAGTTCGACCACTCGGCGAACTCTAGTTATTATTATTATTTCAGTTTATAGTTATTATGTGCATGGGTAATATTTATAAATAACATTTTAGAATGATAACAGCTCATTTAGAAAACTTCACCAGGACATAACATACACTTCTCACCATTTGCCCCGACAAGGCGAGGAATGCACAATGAATAGGTTTTACCTTACCAATAAAACCTGCATTGTGCTCCGAGCCTTATCCGGACACTTTTGACACTGGTGAGAATTAATGAAACAATAAATTTAGGAGACAAGCCTAATCCTACCTGGTGGGGAAAGAAGGTAAACTTAGAGTATACATTAGCTATAAAGCGCGCGCATCGCTCATTGTCCATTAAGCGAAACGTAAACAGATGTTCTATACACACCTATTGATACATACTCGTAGATGAAGCGGTTGAAAAGTGATGCGCCTAGTAAAACTTAAAGTATTTAATTAAAAATAAGTATATTAACATAAACTACATTTATTCACGCATTTAATAATAGACTTTATTATTTAAAATTACAGTATTTCAAATTAACATCTTTCATTTGTAGATGTATGTAGTAATAGTGTTGCTTAATATTTCTTTTTTTTTATTATCACCTCCAGGTAAATTTACTAAGAAATTAATTAAAATTCTAAGAAATCTATTGTTAATTGACACGCCAGCGTATCCGCGGTCGTGGGGGGAATAATAGCAAACTAAATTAAAATTATAAATTACGAGTATTCTTTTAAAATTTTTGCGCTCCATAATTATATAATAATTATACAGTACTTAAACGCAAACTACGGGAATTACAGGTGAAGTCACGTGTTGTGTCGACCCGCCCGCGCGCCTCCCACAACACCCGCTCACACCAGTGTAATTTTGTTAAAAATATCATCGTTTTCTGATTGAAATATTATTTACCGATGAAAAGAAATATCTATGTTCGTTTTAGTTTGCTTTCGTGAATCATTTTTTCAGCTTGGAACTGCACATTTCACCGTGATTACATAAATCCAAATAAATACTAACAAGAGAAACAATCAGCACGCGTGACTTTTCGTGACTAATAGCATTGCCCTTGCTACTTCGAGACTGTTCATACCTGTGCTTACAGTTCATACTTGCTAGTGCGTATTCACACTCAAATGCAGCAATAGCTCTCACCATTTGCCCGTATAAGGCCGCGCGCACTTTGGACACGAATTTTTATCGTACTTAAATGTATGATCCTGGTCGTACGAATTAAGTGCGTACATTGAATACGTTTTTCTCCGTCAAATAGGTAGTTTTCCGGTAATATCGCACTCGTGAAGTCCTCTTTGGAGCGCGATGAATAATCTGTATCTTCAAGATAATTCTCTTATAACTCGGAGACTGCGGCAGCGTCTTTGTATGGTATAGTCAGCGTATGGTAGAACCGAATGGGTGCGTAAAATATATTCAAAAAGACGTGAATTCGGTGAATTCCATCAAATTATGGGAGACTTATATGATGACCGCATACTGGTTCATGGTTATGCACATATGAAGAAACACACATTTATGTTCATAAACTAAGTTAATAAATTTTTCTACATCCAATTTTAATGTTTAACGCACGATAGCGTATTAAAATCCCAACAAGTTCGGATTGTATTCTGATGTCGGAACTACACGCACGTATATGTACGACTAACTCGCACGCAGTCTGCGCGCCCCCATAGTACTTACTTCAAAGGTGCGGATCATTCGTGTGTGTTCGTACGTGTTCGCACGAGTAAAATTTGGACGAAAACGTATCCAAAGTGTGCGCGGTCTAAAGCTCGGAGCACAATGCAGGTTTTATTGGTAAAGTAAAACCTATTCATTGTTTATTGTATTTTGTATAAATATAAATACCAATATATCTAAATATTATATATTCACTGTATTTCTTTTTTTACTATGGTGGAAAAATACAGACTAATATATCGACACGTTTTAGACAGATGGACAGATGATGTATTGTCTATTGAATAATGAGTAATAATCAATGATGGCATCACTGATCAAAAATTCAAAACTGTCAAAAGTGTCACTGTCAACCATCCATGGTTTCAACCACTAAACGAGTACCTATAAATTTTATTTTCCGTTGAGAATTAATATCTGCTATTTGGCAATCAACTTAAAGAGTGTGAGGATTAATATAGGAATTGAAAAAATCTGAATATAAAAAAATGCCTAAGAAAAAAACAGGACAACGCAAAAAAGCTGAAAAACAGAAACAGCGTCAAAAAGAAATTCGTAATGCAAAAGAGCACGTTGACTTAGCACAGCACCCTTGCAACCTTCCTATGGAATGCGATAAGTGTCAAAAGTAAATCTAAAATTATTATTTTTTTACATGATTATTAACTAAAGCTTTAATTAACAGTATAATAAATATAAATGCATAAATTTGTAACCTAAGAAGTAGACGAGTCTTATATTATACACTAGCGACGTGTCATCGCTTAGCCCTAGCCCTAGGCTAGGTCACCCGAGCACTTCTTACTGCTACTTAGATTCCAAACAGTAGACTATGTGTAACTCCAGGTAGTCTATCTATACTAAATTTTATTCAAATTTATCCAGTTTTTAATGTGAAGAATCAACTAACATATATATACACACACGCACACACACACATATATATCGCGCTAAAAGATAAAATTACGTTTTTATGCACCCGAGCACACACACTACTACTTAGATTCCAAACAGTAGACTATGTGTAACTCCAGGTAGTCTATCTATACTAAATTTCATTCAAATTTATCCAGTCTTTAATGTGAAGAATCAACAAACATATATATACAGGCATATACATATATATCGGCTAAAAGATAAAATTACGTTTTTATGAAAGGGCGGGGTCTCCTAATACAGGCAAATTATTTGCTTAAAAGGGGATGTCAACCACAAAATTTGAAATTTTGATTTGATTTGAAATAAATAAATTTTAAATTAATCAATTAATTATATGTTAATTTTTATTTCAAATGTAAATGTATATTGTTATCTAATTTATAGTTTTTATTGTTGTGTTATAATAAATAAATTATTATTATTATTATCAGATTTTACAAATAAATGATGAGATATACATACGAATTTTCACTGTTATAATAGTAGTCAGATAATACTTATGTGAATATGAATTGGAATTTTGTGTCCAATAACTTTTGATGTCTAGTTCATTATTTTATTAATCAAATATTGCTAATACATTAAAAGTTTCTTTTATGCTTTGTAGAAAACAGAAGAGCCGTGCATTCTGCTATTTTTGTTCTGCAGTCCAACGATTGCCTGCATGTGCTCAATGTGGTAAAGTTAAGTGCATGCTTAAATCTGGTGACTGTGTGGTCCGACATGCTGGAGTTTTTACAACTGGCTTAGGGATGGTGGTAAGTTTTTGTCATCTGACATATTAATATTAAGGCATAGTATACAAGTATGACTGGTAAGTGCTATATAATTGTGAATATTAAATTTTCTTGGTAAAAGCATGCCACAAACCAGTTGAGCACTGATAACTTCACCAATGTCTCTTAAAGTGAAGAACATGTAATAGTTAGTATAGTACACATTTTATTTGTGTATACTATTAAAAAGGATTCATACCCAACATAATAAGTATTTTTAATTTAGATTAGTGCTGTATAAAATCATAATGTTCTTCTTTCAAGTAAATTTCCGTAACATTAATTTAAGTTATGATTTAATCATAATGTTAATGTCCATATTTTTTTGTATAAATATTTAAGAATAATTGAATGTTAATTGGAAATGATATTAATTTTAAAAAATTAACAATGTTAAAAACAGTATGAAGCAATATTAATTTGATGATCTCATTTTTTAAGTATCTTTGTAGCTTTTATATCAGTTTTCCTTTTCATAGGGTGCAATTTGTGACTTCTGTGAAGCATGGGTGTGCCACGGACGCAAATGCCTTACTTCACATGCTTGCACATGCCCCTTAACTGATGCTGTTTGTCTAGAATGTGAAAGAGGTTTGTATGTAATAAATAATAACAATTAACATTACATTGCATGGAACAGTTACATATATATTTTTGTCGTCAAAAATTATGTATAATTAATAATAATAATAAATTTATAGAATAGTATTGTATTAAAAAATTATGTATAAAAAGAAGAAAATAAGGTATATTGTAAATTAAAATAATCTCTCACTACACTTATATTTTATAATATTATTATTGCACTTGATATAATCTTTAAAATATATAATACATGAAATTTTGGCAGGAGTTTGGGAGCATGGTGGTCGAGTGTTTCGATGTTGCTTCTGCCAAGGATTTCTGTGTGAAGATGACCAGTTTGAGCACCAAGCTTCTTGTCAGGTGCTAGAGTCAGAGACATACAAATGTAAGTTAATAGTTACTATAAAATCTGCTTCTTGTAAAGAAGTAGTGACTACCAGTTCAATTTAGAAGGCTTCTTCTTCGTTATCCGCACTTGAGCATTTTTGCCCGTTGTGCGTGAGCTTGTGCTGTGTGGTGTTAGTCTGTCCATCCCAAAGTGTCCCAGTATTCCAACAGGCTGCCGGTGTCCTAGAAGATTTCCGGGAGCCATCCTCTGGGACCAGGTTTCTCTATGTGTAGTTGTTCCAGTTCACTACATTCCATAAGGATGTGGGCTGCTGTTTCATTCCCTCGGAGGCATGCTCTGCTCAGGGGGCTGTCTGTGATACCTATATTGAAAAGATGTTTGTTGAGACGACAGTGACCTGTTATAAGCTCCACCACCGTTTTTAGTTTTGTTCTACTTAAGCGTGTTAGTGTAGTTGTTATTTGCTTATTTAGTTTGGGGAATGCTGCTTTGGATTGATGACAGTTATTGTTAGCATTCCAAAGTATATCTACTGTTTTGTTGGTTAGGTCGTGTAGCCACGATTTGTATTCAGTGAAGGGAATTGGAGTTAGTGGTGTAGGCCCTTGAACCTTTAGTTTTGATGCCTGTTTGGCCAAATTGTCCGCAGTTAAATTGCCTTCAATGTTGGCGTGACCCTTTACCCAAGAAAGCTTAACTTTATTGGTTAAAGAAAGATGTTCTAGAGTGTTATGACATTCTAGTATGTATTTTTATTTGGTAGTATTCTTTGTTAATGCATGCAATAGTGATTTACTATCGGTTTTAATATGTATTAAGGTGTTGTTTATTGATTTTGTTAGTATTTCTTGTGCACAAATTGTGATGCCGGATTGCCATTTTTTGAATTTTTGAAATCATTTTTGTAAAATAGTGGGTAGGCACTGTCCGTAATAAGTATATGTGTTTGAGACGTCTATAACCTTAGTCTCTCCCGTGACCATGATTGCTGTAAAGCATTCGAAACATCAGGAACCAAAAATCTAAATAAACCCGCGAAATAATCCGAAAAGATAGTTTTATTTAAAACATCAATTTTTATTTTCTTTAATCAACTATTTAAATTTATTTATTGCTCGGATAATGGACTCTCTTATGAATTTAGTGACACACCGACTGCAGCGCCACCTACCGGATCCATTTGTGAATTCAAACCTTGCAGGGGCACACTCAAACTTACACCAAAATATATAATATATTTTATATAATATATTTTGAAACCATCCAGGAACCCATTGAAATATACACACAATTTCATCCAAATCAGTCCATTCCTGTAGGAGGAGTAGGTTAACAAACACATACAGTAGAATTATATATATTAAGATAAAACATGGTATTTCTTTCATCAATCATTAGTCATAATTCATTATATTATTTCTTTCTTCTATAGAAAATTCAGTAATTGCCAGTCCAGAATGCACAACTAGAATAAATTATTTAATACTGATATAAAGTATATGAATTACAGGCCAATCGTGTAACCGCCTGGGGCAGTACTCGTGCCTGCGCTGCAAGACCTGCTTCTGCGAGGAGCACGTGCGGCGGCGCAGCGCGCGCACCACGCGCGGCGCGCCGCCCTGCCCGCGCTGCGGGTACGCCGTGCACGTCACCGCCGACCTCAGCATGTCCAGTGAGATATTGGTTGCTTTGTCTTACTTTACGTTGCCGCTGTCGAATGAGCTAATAGTAACTGTAAATGTAAAAAGTAAATAAAAACCACGTGAGTATAAGTAACACAATAAAATATAAATATTTATCTTTTTACACAGCGCGATCTCACCGCTACGGGCGGCAGGGCGCAGCGGTCGCCGAGGACGACGACTACGAAGGCTATGGACATTCTGGTAAAATAGTATAACATAAGTCTAGGGCTAAGGATAACACACACATATTCTTATGGGTCGAGATCTTTTTTTTGAAATATGGATTTAGGCAGACATAGTTTATCAGGTACAGAAAAAAATTAGCTTTAATTTGATATATAAATGATGAACATACGCGATGAATATAGGTAAACGTCCCAAAATATGACCCGCTTACACCTGGCTGCGAAGAGCTATCACTTTTCAAGATCTCCATGTATAGTTCTGTGAAGTGGAGTATAATTCATTGTAATAACAAATGCATCGTTTTTGTTCCAAAAAGTCGACTATTATTTAGTTAATTAAACATACTAGTGGGCACCTTTGAATAGGCACCCCGGTCAAAACTTATTGTCCCTTTTATTATTGCATATAAAAAATTGGTTTCGATTTAATACGTTATGAACGTAGCAATCTTGCAGCGCGATCTTAGTCCATTACACTTAGTATTTATAATATTAGTGTTATAAATAATTATATGATAATGAATGACAAAGCAAATTATTATTAGTTAAAAGTAAAGGTACAGATAATAATAGATATGTATTTTATAATTTAATATGGAAATATATCTTTTAGGGTATGGTGGAGATGGCGGTGATGGTGGCGATGGCGGCTTAGAGTGTGGTGATTATTCCTATTCTGAGTCAGACGATGACGAGGACGATGATGACGATGATGAAGAAGAATCTGATGAAGAAGAGTCTGGCGACGAAGATGAAATTGAATCTTCTGTCTCTCCAAACAAACCATCTTAGGAAGGAAATTTATTTGTATTTTGAAATTCATCACTGTTGCTGTATTCTAAAAAAATACCACAAAGCGTTATATGTATTATATTTTTTAGTTTTTTGTTCACGCAAATAATTAATAGTGTTAATTTAAAAAAAATATAACTTAATTTAATATTTTTCGAACGATGACTACCACACGGAAACGTAGAATGAAGTTAGGATAGGTATCATACAAAGGAGCGAGAAAAATTCAAGGAGGGTAGTTAAAAAAATAATTTGACTACTCTAAATATCCATAGATGGCTGTTGCGTGGGGGGTCGCTACAAACTAAAATAAATCGCGAAGAATAAAGCTGCGACATCTATACTAATATTATAAAAAGATAAAGTATGTGAGTTTGTGACGTTGTAGGGGGTAATCTCTGGATCTACTGAACCGATTCAGTTGAAATTTGGTAAGAAGATAGTTTGAAACCCTGGGAAGGACATAGAATACTTTTTATCCCGAAAATCATCCCTTAAGGGGTTGAAAATGGGGATGAAATTTTGTAATGGAAAGCAAGCTATATAAAATTATTTAACATTTTCAATATAAATAAATTTTATTTTAAGTTATGAAGTAATTTATTTATAATTTTTCCTTATTCTGGCAAACAAAATCAAATGTTAGGTAAATAAATATAAATGCTTATTTGTTAGTTTCTTTACAAATATGAAATAAATCTCTTACAATTTCTTTGTGTCATTATTTTCCTTTAAGTTCAATATATTTTAGTGAGAATGCTATTAAAGCGCAAGTAGTTTTCGTAGTTTTGTAAAGTCGCTGATTGAACAACCATCTATTAAGTTACTAGAAAAATACATTATTAAAGTATTAACTAAAGATAGGTTATTTTAATACGTTTTAAGCTGGGAAGTGGGAACTCGCTAGCAAGCTGTGACTAACCGAGCAGACACAGTTACGAGCTTTTATTGTGTACGAACAGATACAGTAACGAGGTTCTAGTGTTGGTATCACTGTTACCTTAACGAAAATCCGGATCGGCAGTGTTGGTGTGTAATCGCTCGTTGTCGGATGTAGTGTCTCTCCGCTTTCGCTTGTGCAGCATACATACTTATAGATGCTATATTCGACAATTATAAACGACCACGATCTACAAATCGGTGGTCATTACATTTTCATTTCATAACATTCCAAGGTTCAAGGAGTACACTGCTTTCTTTGTAGGCGTCTATCAGCAGAAGACATTTATCCTCTGACCATTCACCATCATGAATAATATGATAAAGGCATCATCATATTCAGACTGCTTTCGTCCACTGGACATAGGCCTCTACTGTGCTCGTTCTTCAGTTCTACGTATCCAACCGCTACCATCCCGTTTACGTATATTGTCGCTCCACCTTTTTTTTTAATGTTGGGAAATGCATTTACGCATGCCACCTGTATACAACAGGCTATTATGTGGAACTCACTGGCTACCTACTAAAACCCAACACAACCTCCCCCGTCTTAATGGGGCGTCGCAGGATCACTTAAGCACTCAACCTGTACGACGCCCCTACGGCAGGTCTGACGGAGCAGACCACAGCAGTCATGACTCATGGGGTTGCTCCAACGGTCCACTCTGCTATCTGAGAAGTACCAGGAGCAGCCCGCATGGCACACCACCCACCGAGGTGGGCCGCCTCCCGGTGCGTTTCTTGGCTTTGCGCCCGGCTGGAATGCTGGACGCTAATGAGCCCCCCACCACGACAAGGTGAACGCACGTAGGGGGGGATTGTCGCTCCACCTAGCTGGAGGGCGTCCTACACTACGTTTGCCCAGTCGTGGTCTCTACTCTAGATTTTTGGATTTTTATTTTTATAATATATTTATTTATTAAACTCTAGAATAGCACATACAGAACCGTTCATTTTTCCGAGATAAAAAGTAACCTTTTGTTTGACCGGCAATATAAGGTCACCATACCAAATTTTACTAAATTAGGTGCATAAGTTGTTTTGTACTAAGCTGTATAAGTTACTATAGTTTTTTAACTATCCCACGGGAACTCTTTAATTTGTCTTCTTACATCCCTCTGACTCGATTTTTAGCATTTTTTTTCTATGTACAGATAGTCGACCTCTACAGTTTTATTATAGTATAGATAATGTGCATTTTATAATCTATGCGTATAATAGTAATAAATATAAGTATGTATCGTAATTTTTTTGTTTAGTGAGTTTTTAGTTAACTATAAAATATGATAGGTCTTAAGCGTATCCCCCCCAACTTGCGTTCACCTTGTCGTGGTGGGGGGGCTCAGTAGTGCCCGGCAATCCAACGGGCGCGAAGCCAAGAAACGCACAGGGAGGTGGCCCACTTCGGTGGGCGGTGGAAGGTAGCCCTCTTCGGTGGGCGGTGTGCCATGCGGGTTGCTCCTGGTACTTCTCTGATAGCAGAGTGGACCTTGGAGCAACCCCATGGTTGTGGTAGTCTGCTTCGGCAGACCTGCCGTCGGGGCGTCATAGTTAAATGCGTAAGCGATCCTGCGACGCCCCATTAAGACGGGGGAACGTTTTGATCGGTTTTAGTGGGTAGTACTGGCTTTGCCGGTGAGTCCCACACCTCGTGCGTAAATGCATTTCGCAACGTTAAAAAAAAAGGTCTTAAGCGTATATTTTTTACTTTCCGCTTTTTCTCTTTTCTGATTTTCCTTGGACGCACATGGAAACACAAATCTACAGGTTTAAATTCAAGTTAGCAAAGACAACAGACTTTCAATTTTTACGATTATAAGCAATGTACTTAAAAAATTAAATTACCTACTAAAATAATAATACCTATTTCTTATTTGAAAAAAAAAATTGTAGTAAAAAAACATATTTATGGCAATATCACAGCACTAGTTATTAGGAGTGCTGCCAATTGGCGGGTAAATTACCCGAAAAGCGGGTAATTTTAGGCGATGTTTGATGGCGCCGTGGTGGGTAATTCTGACGGGTATTTGCATTGAGTGGGGTCAAAGCAGGTGTTTTAGTTTTTCCCCCCCAACGTGCGTTCACCTTGTCGTGGTGGGGGGGCTCAGTAGCAGTAGCGAAGCTAAGAAACGCACAGGGAGGTTGCCCACTTCGGTGGGCGGTGGGAGGTGGCCCTCTTTGGGGGGCGGTGTACCTTGCGGGTTGCTCCTGGTACTTCTCTGATAGCAGAGTGGACCTTGGAGCAACCCCATGGTTGTGGTGGTCTGCTTTGGCAGACCTGCCGTCGGGGCGTCGTAGTTGAATGCGTAAGCGATCCTGCGACGCCCCATTAAGACGGGGGAAGGTTTTGTTGGATTTTAGTGGGTAGTACTGGCTGTATTACGCCGGTGAGTCCCACACGTCGTGCGTAAATGCATTTCCCAACGTTAAAAAAAAAGAGGTGTTTTAGTTTAGCTGATTAATTTGATATTTTTTTTTTTTTTTATGTTTGATTTCACAATTTAAAGCTGTTTAATTGAGAACTGATTGCAATGAATTCTTTTTCTAATATTAGTACTTCCTTTTATTCTATATAAAACATGAATAAAGTACTAAAAAAATAAACTATTTTCGGGTATTCTGCTCATGGTAGGCGCCGTCCGGCGGAATTGACCCGGGTACATATTTTGAGGTTTTTGGTTGGGTAAATCAACGACTGTTATCTGGCAGCCCTGGTTATTAGGTAGTAAAATAGACAGTAGTGTACATTCAACTTTAGTGACAGTCACACTAATATTACCTACTTTACATATCAATTGCTATGAATGATATTGTGAATCGAATTGTTATTGATGACTTTGTATTACATTTAATTTAAGTGTAGTGAACGGTTTTTCAGGAGGTGCATTTGTTCTATCAACGATATTCCGTCCGTATAGTGCTGTGTTCAGTCGTGATGTTTTTGGAGGATCGGTGAAAGTGTTATTGGTGCCACCGTGAGGAAGGCGAGGCGCAGCAGACGCTGTGGGCGAGGATGGGCGTGGGCCTGCAGCCGCTTGAGTTCACCGAGTGCCTGGCGGATAGCCCGCATTTCCGGGAAAACCTCCAGCGTCATGAGAAAGAGCTCGAACGTACCAGTCAACAAATCAAAAGACTCATCAAAGAGGTCAAGGATGTCGTTCAGGCTGCTAAACGTAAGCGATTCTTTATTTTTTGAAACATACCTATATAAAATAATGTAGTTGATTGGTTGCTCTTCATTATATTTTATTATCTAGGGACTAGGTACCTAGATATGTGTACATATTTCATAAAATATTTTGTTAAACAAGCAAATTACTTGTTTTGTTATACATATTTTATATTACTGACTAATATTTTGTAGCATTAGCAATTTTGGGTATTAGTGAATTCATATGAACTTATTTGTATTTAAACTGAAATAAAACAAAAAAATAGTCTTTTACAAGTGAAATATATAATAGACGACTGATTATTTGTGTGTAACTATAGTATTTAAGAATAGTTTAATAATAGCTTGTTAAAACTAACATAATGAAAAACTAAAAACATAGCAAATCTACATTTATATACTATCTGCAGATGAAAATATTGATTGAAATTGTAGGAGTATAAGTAGCAAAGCCTTTGGAAGTGCATTGTCACCAAGTGCCTGCCCTTGATGACTCCAAATGACATAACCTTGTAGCACAATTGAAAGTATTGTTCTCATAATTATAACATTACTACACTATGTAGCAGCATCTTACATCTACATATTATGAAATATTTGTTGATATTCTGTGTTAATATTAAAAAGATTCGTTGTTGGTGATAACTAATGAAGTGTTAATAAATGATTTCCATAAAAAGTATGCATGGTAAAACTATTTTTCTTGTGTGTATGTTCCAATGTCCCTCTCTGCCAACAATTTCTCGTACTGCATTGTATATTATGCAGTTATTAGAGTCAATGACTTTCTTCATTAACTCCCAGCAAAAAGCTAGTAGTTGTCATCAACATAATTAAATTAAATATACATGTCTGTCATTGCATTAGTAGGAAAATATTCAACTAGCTTAAGTGGAAGAAACAATGCATCCCTTTATTTAATTAAAGTGCTCTTCTTTGTGTTTCAACTTGCAGACATTGTGGTGTATATGACACCTATGATTATGAATAAAACAAAATTTTATACTTCATATAAAATTTTGAAAATTGTTAATAAATAATATTAATAATTTAGTCTAAAATAATGTGAGAGTAAATAACTTTTGAAATGTAAAAATTTAAATGTGTTAAATTGGATATATTTTATTATACTACAATAATTTTAAGCGTCATTAATATTCTAATTCACCTAAACTGTAAGTGTGCTACTTTGTGACAATACATATTATGTAGATGTGCTGGATATTATGTCAGTACACTGAGTCAGTGTTGGTGGTCATCTGTGGCCATATGTGCCTCCAATGCAAATACTAAAATCAATAACAATAGTGTAATTAGCACTGCTTATCAAATTATCCATGCACACTCATTGACAGTCGTCATGAATGTTTGTTAATACCTATTAAATGTTATACTAGTATTTAAGGATATTTATGCTTTATGAATATGCTATTTGAAAGTAATAAGATTTCAGAATAAATGAAAATTAAGCTTAGAAATATGCTTAATTTATCTCAGCAAGCCGAGGTAGCCTAGGTTCCAGTTGGGGAATTTTGTAACTAAAAGCTAGCAGTTTTGTAATTTTCTGCCAAAATATAAAAGCATCAAATTTTAGGTTTTGGCACTAAATTAGCACTAATTTATGCACTTAGTTTTAAGCGATTATGCGCTCACTTTGCCTTGCTAGCTTTACATACATCTTGATTTTTCTGATATGGGAGTTACAGGAGTGACTGGTCGGTAGCGCAGATCCATGCTGTTCTGCACATGTCTTTGTAGGTACATCATTGTTTCACTCAAATATAATTAAATATAAAATACACAAGTTCCTTCCAATAAGTTTATTGTTAGAAAATGAAGAATTAATGAGATTGTGCTGTGCACAGTATATTTGTATTATTTCCCCTAATTTTAAATAAATAAATACGTTCGCAAATATAAATCGTCGGTTCTAAAATAAGATAGAATCGTAGAAGTTTTAGATAAATATTAGTCGATTCTAATTGCTAAACAAAATAGTTCTAATGTAATAATGGATGTCTTACTTCATTAGTGCAGAGTAAATTTGAAGTGTTCGCGTTCTTTCTTTATCTGATAGATAGGACATGCTTATCTTTATGTTTTCTAATCATGGCCTTGAAACGTGATTTCTTGCGTTAACATATTCCTATCGAATTACACCTAAATACGTTTTGTAATTGTGCAATAGTCGATGATATCGAATATAGCGAGAGAAAGCTCAAGTTAGCCAATATTTTAAGAAGTTAACGTGAAAGACATTTAGAATTTTAAATTTACTATAGTACCTAGATCAATTAAATAAATTTTAAGTAAATATTATAAAAACCTCGAACTACTTAGTATGAAGTTACACCTATCCTAGAAATATTGTAAAATTTAAAAACGCCCGGCGAGTCGAGAGTCCGAAATATATATTTTATCTTATCATATGGAACACTATTACAGTGCTGCAAAATATATTTTTTATCTTTATCAGCTAAATAGAGGCGTGTGGGCAATCAATCGTGGACTGGTACTATACTATGAGATGGCTTGAGATTGATCAGGGATCATTTATGAAAAGTGAATCATTATTATTGACTTTATTATACATGCAGTATGCACACGTAGTCTATTATTACATCTAGGGCGGCATCGCCGGTCAACTTTTGTTTAGAAATATGATGTATGTTTGAATCACGTACAAAAAAAATATGCACACTTAAGTAAACATAATTTAAATTGTGCAGTACTCTGAGCTATAGAAAGATACTCTAATGCCCGATTTCACCAACAACCCATAAGCTACCACCTACGTATGGGATCCCTAGCTTAAAAGTCCCTTAAACTAGCTCCTAAATTAAATTTCGTTTTACGATCGTCTTTAAGCCCATATTTCGAGCACCTAAGTTTAGGGGGCCTTTTATTATTTAGGTGACCCCTAACTGTCGGTGAAACAGAAACTGTCCCCTAACAGCCCCCTAACCATGCTTAGGGGATCCCTTAAACTTAGGTGACGTGGGTGAAATCGGGCATAAGTCTAGAAGGAAGATAATATTTTCTTTTTAGTATCAACTTTGCTTTATTTCTTTAAAATATTAAGAGGATTCTTCAAATTATTTTATTTAAATCAAAAACTCAGCTCTATACTAACTTATCAGTTATCAGAAAAGAAATGCAATTTCGTATCATCCGTTGGATTCGGCGTGAGAATGCCATAAGTCAAAATAACGAACAGTGCATGCCGATTAGCTCCTATCTTTACTGCCCGCGCTCCTCTCTTTACCTAAGATACGATCGTACTAGTGCCACCTTGGAGACATCTTTAAGTAGATTATTGAGTAGGAAGGCGTCGTCCCTCGCCCCCTCATTTCTACTGTATGTAAGCTAACTCGAGTAATAATTTCGATTGTCAGGTCGTATTATACCTATTTAAACTTAATAATTATATTTTTATATAGGTTTTGGTATGTTTGTTTCCCAACACCACACACACACACACTTACAAGGCACTTTTATAAATAATGTATGCACTTATGTAGTAAATGTATAAATAGATAGTATTGTTTAATAACATTGTTGGAACTGTTAGGTCTGGGCACGGCGCAGCTCGCGCTGGCGGCGAGTATGGAGCAGTTCGAGTTCGCGTGCATCGGCGCCTCCCTCACCGAGGACGAGCTGGTCATCGGGCGCTCGCTGCAACAGTTCGCGCAACTCATACGCACCATCGAGGACGAGAGGGACCGCATGGTATGCACGAGCCCCGCGCACCAACTGTTTATTACATCTAGCCTAAACTTTTTAAATACAAACCAATTAAGTTTTATACTACGATTTTTCCCTCATTGTGTACTTTTCGATGTGAAATTAATTCTCATGATATAATAATTTTAATTTAATCTAAAATCTTCACGTATTCGGTAACATTTTATGTAAAAATCAAGAAACTCAAAACATCAATAGTAATATTATCAAGCGAAGTTATACTACTTAGCCGTTGTAAAATTCTGAAAGTGAGAATGTTTAAAATGAATATTGAAAAGAAGCTGAGCGTTGCGGCATCGCTGCAGCAACAGGTGATGCCTTGCAGTCGCTCGTCGGTAGCGCGCAGTGAAAGCCGCCGCCCAGGTGGCAGGTCGCAGGGCCGATCACTCCCGGTTATGCTAATGAAACGCGCGCACTGAGCGCCCACTGCCCACTAGTCGGAGAATATACAATATATTTATTCATGGCGAGCCTCGCATAGATACTATAAATCATGGCAAACCTGTTGAAAATCAATAACCGTTTTGAATGTTAGATCTCTGTCGACGCCGGCCGACGCGTCTGCCCAGCGCTGAACTATCGGTAGTAACAGTGGCCAAGGTTCATGTTTTTTATCTAAGCTGGTATTGTAACAAGTAATAAGTAGTAACATAATCTTCTATTATTGCGTATAAATAATTTTTATTAAACAGTTTATTATTAAAAATAGCACTCGAATTCATAGCCTTTAATATATATGTATCTATGTGTCTTAAATACTAACTATACCGGCGACTTCGTATGCACGGATCTGCAATGGCCAATTATAAAGGAAGAGAAAGAAGCTTAATTATGTTTTATTATAATGAAAGAATTTAACGTGTACAAAGTTAGTTGGTAGTAGCGTTGATAAAACTTTGGTCCCCGTTTTCAGCCGACTTCCTCAAAAAGGAGGAGGATCTCAATCCGGCTATATGTTTTTTTTTATTTCTGTTACCTCAAAACTTCGTCATTTAGTAACCGATTTGGACAATTTTTGTTTTGTTTGAAAGTGTATACTTCCAATTTAGGCCCATTTAAATTTGAAAAAAAATACCACCCCTAAGGGTGGATAAATAGCTAATGAAAATTTTACCTACGAGTACTTCTAATTGTCATATTGACTTGAAACTTTGCAAGTGTTTCTATTTCTTTGATAGTGCAGTGGTTTGGTATCGTCGACCTGATGTGGTGCTAGCCGATACACAAAAAAGTACACCGACTTCGGAAATATCTGATTAGGTATCTATAGTAAATGAAAACTACCAATCAGTTAATTTTACTTTTGAGTGTTTTTTTAAGTCGGTTTTAATTTTTTTATTATCACTATCTAATCTATCTACATGCATTATGCATTTAGTTGCTTTTCGTTCATTTTAAAAGGTTTAATATCCTTTCTCTTTCTTCATCCTATAAAATTGAATTACTTTGAACCTAAAATAGCTAATTAATAATATAGTCCGGTCAATTTAAACATAAAAATAGTGGTCAAATAACAAAAATTCCCGGAAAGCCAAATATTGGTGGAGAGCTGGGGCTTACCATTACAAATAAAGTTTTAAAAGTCCCCATCGATCCCATGTGTGCTACAAAAGTTATTCGGGGTCAAAGGTCAAAATTTGAGGATTTTTGAATTTTTCTCGAAACGGTAAGTTTTATCAAAAAAACCTCAAACCAAAGTTGTAGATCTTAAAATTCTCTACAAAAAAGGTCCGTATGATTTTTCCTAAGAGTTACCATTCGTAAGATATCTTTTCGGATTTTTTCGCGGATTTATTTGGATTTTTGGTTCCCGACGTTTCGAATGCTTTACAGCATCCATGGTCACGGGAGAGACTGAGGTGTTACATGCCTTGAAGGTATAGTTGTTACAGACAGCCTACCCATAAATAACAAAATGAAAATTTCACCAATTACCTTACAATATTTTTTAACTTTAAACATTTTTATAATTTTAATTAGTTTTATAATTGAATATGGAATATTATTTATTTAATTTTGCTGCTATTATTATAATTATTACAATTTTAAAAATATTAATTAGTAATCTATATTTAGTGTTGCCATTATTATATTTATAACCATAAAGAAATACATGAAATATAGTATTAATTATTTAAGCCATATAATTGTTCTATGTGTAATTTAAAAAGTTAAAATTAATTAAGGATAATAATTTTAATTTAGTTTGCTATTATTTAAAAAGACAAATTACTAAGCAACACTATTACTATATACTTTTACAAATGAAAAATGAAAATATCAATCTGATATGCTGTCATTTTGATCCACACAGTAAGAACTTACTACATCTGCCTGTCTGCTATGTTTAGATTTATTATTTGATTTTATTATATTAATAATAGGATCCCATGACGGTGGTAGTACCCAGCCATTTTCCCTGTTGAAATTTGGATGATTTTTAATTTCTATGGCTTATCAAATCATTCTAGGGCAATATTGGTTTTCTTTCGCGAGGATTTGAGGTCTATCGAAACGAATATAATGGCTTGGGCGGTCCTGGCTATGTTTGCAAACAGCAGATGTTGTATTGCGACGATGCTTCACATCAGCTATGTGTTCTTTGACCCGGGTTCTAATGGATCGCTTTGTTTGTCCGATGTAAGAGAGCCCACAATCACAATCAAGCTTGTAAACTCCTGCATCTTGTAGAGGGATGTGGCACATGACAGGTGGTAAGAACTGACTAATTTTCTTTGGCGGCTTGAAGTAAGCTTTAATTGAAGCTCGCTTTAGAATATAGCCAATCTTGTCAGTGACGCCTCTCATGTAAGGTAGGACTGCAGGGACGCGCTCGGCTGTGGCTGGTTTCACTCGGTCCCTGTGACGTAGGTGCGGCACTTGCAGCTTGTTATCTCGCAGAATTTGCTTGACATGTTGCGGTTCTTCGGTTAGGTGTTGCTCGTTACAGATCCCGCGCGCTCTCTGAAACAAAGATTTTCCCACAGTAGCTAACTGTGAAGGGTGGTGGTGAGATTCATCATTCAAGTACCTATCTGTATGGGTCTTCTTTCGATACATCCAAATAAATTCGCGAAAAAACCCGAAAAGATAGTTTTATTTAAATGTCAAATATTCGCGTAAATCTAAGAAAGTACTATCTGTCAAATCATTTTATTTATTTACTGTTATTAAAAGAGAGATTTGTTTTGTTTGAGAAAACGTAAGTCATTAAATTATTTCCAGTATCATGGTATTGAACTTTTCGGACATTAATGCGATACGGACATGAATGTCAATCGTTTATACCAAATTTTGTTTTATTTTGATGCAAAAAACATGCTTTGGGCGCGCATTATGTTTGCATTTGCAAAAATCTTTATGTACAGACTCAAAGAGTTTACAATTTTGTGTAAAGTAATTTAAAGATTAATGTAAAGATTTATTAGTTATATAGCGATAATAAAATTAAAGTAAGATATCTTATATAGGTACCTATCTATTAAATAAGATAAGTATGTATTTTGTGTTGGAGTGTTAGAAGTCGCACAAAAGCTTTTTTGATGTGTAACATCTTTCCTTTCGCTTTCCTGCAAACTGGCAGTGATTTCGTGGAATAGGATGGAAGTGTGTAAGAGGAAGCCGGGGAAGCGCGCGCTATATGATTTGACCAATGAGCGTGCACAGTGATAGAGTGAAATTAAAGTTAAATAGTTTAATAAGACTAAAATAAACATAATAAGGTGAGATGTCCGATGTTACACATCATATGCGATTGTAAGGCCCGCTCGTTTTTTTACATTTTTTTTACCTTTATTATGGTCGTTTCAAAAATACAGTTTAGGCTTCTGTTTTGCGCTCTCCTTAGATATCACTTAAGATTATAGGCACCGCGATCACATTCAGTAGTCAGTATGTATTGATAATGTATATCAGTACAATGTACATGCAGCACTTAATAGCGCAGACACATTTTGCGCTGAACTCATAAAAGACAAGCAAATCAAAGCTAGAATTAAACAAAGCGAATGTACGAGCTGTACGCAGTTGCGGGAGCGAGGGGCAGCGAGACGTGAGTGTCACTGGTAACAGTTGTGTGCCGCGTGCCCGACCGCGGGAAGCGGGTCACCTTGCAGCAGCGGCCTCGAGTGCACTTTCGTGCCGCGAACACTTTTACTATCGCCGGGCGCACTCGCGCTGAGCGCCGCGCTGCGCATATCAATGAGCCGATGGACGACGCACGCTCTCTAGTCACGTCCTCTCGCGACCTGCGCAACAAAACAGCATCCATTGCCTTTCCTCGTCGAACGTGCTAATTCTGTTTGCGATCCATTCCTTTATGCACTGTTTGATTTGTCAAGAGTCGGGGACAGCTAGAAGTACTCTTGGTACGCGTTATATGTACATAGGTGTTATGTCACCAAAATTATTATGTGTAGATTTTATTTGATATCAATTTAATTAAGTCATATTAATAGTTTCTTAGATTAATTCGAGTATTTGTTTTTTTCGCTGTACATTTTGACCTAATTTTATTTTGAGAAGAAGCGATTAATTTTGAGACTTCCTTAGTTTTTTTTATGGTGTTCAGTGACAAACAAGCAGACAGACCACCTGATGGAAAGCAGTACCTGTCGCCCACAACACCTACGGTTCATGCACTTAGGTTTTATGTAACAAAAATGCAGAACCGCAGGTGCGTTGTCACTGTGAGGACTAACATAATATGCCTCTTGCCTGTAATTGCGCTGGCTACCTTATCCTTCAAACCGGAACACAACAATGTAATCATTGTTGCTTGGCGGAAGAAACAGATAAGGGGGTGGTACCCATCCAGTCGGACTCCTCAGGCTTGACAGAGTCCTACCACCGTAGTTTGCCCATGGTTATATTTAAAATGCGCCAAGTTAGTCTAAGTGATTCTATCATAGACTACTGAATAGTAATATTGTTAATTTTATTTATTCATTTCAATTTGGAGCAAAATGTTTTATGGTTTAAAAAATATACTTCGTCTGGAAAAAGTATGAGGGGTCCACCGTCCACCACTGCCACCACATAGATCAAGTATGACCGTGAACGTCCAATGTGTACAAAAGGATGGTGAATCATTGAGTTTTCTTCGTAGTTCGCACATATGAAACTGTATAAGATGTTTGAGGTTATGTTTTACATTGATTAGGCGGCGTCACAACTACAAGTCCATCAAACTATGGAAATTAATAACGTCCGTTCTTATTTGGTTAAAATAACTTATTTTTGGCTGTTGTAGATGGGCACAGGGTATATTTTACAAATTAATACAAATTCATTGACGTGAGCATTTGACACTTACTAAAGGTGAGTGTGTTATTGTAATTACTACTTTGCACGGAGGTGTATTGCTATTAATCAGTCACGGAAGGATTGCGTCACTGAAATGGAGTAGCATTACATTCAGTGACCAGTGTTGAGTGTGCACACTACACCGTCTCTATGCCTCGCACGCGGCGAAGCGTCTGCTGCGGAGGGCGGCGGGCGGCCCGGCTACATACTGCCTGAGCCTGGATGACATTTATTACTCAGTTTTGTATCGGTTATTAAAGGCTTATTTTGTATACAGTATTGAGAACTGAAAATAAATGTTTGAAATCACTTATTGTAATGAAACTTTGTACAACAGTTTAAGGCCGGCCTTGCCGTGACTCTCACAGTCAACAAACAAATATATACATAAAAACAATAATAAAATTTTTGTGTTTTGTATTCAACTCCATCCAACTAATATTTTAGCTAAATATTCACGCTAGAAACTCAGTGCTAGTCATAGTTTGTTACATTAAAATGTACTCTGAGTTATTATTCGCTGCGCGAAACCTATTACGAGATTTTCCTATGACGTATTGATTAGCGCCGGCGTAACATACAATTAGCATTCACAAAACGTTGTCACCACGTCGTCGTTGGCTGACTTGTAACATACGAGCTGCCCGCTGTCGGTGAGCCGCGTAATGCGGACGGATAGGAATGTCCCGCCAGGGCTTATCGCTCTTATTAGCATTATTGTAATAAATAAGGCCGTAGGTATAGTATGTCCAATATCCATTCATAATTTGTTATTTACTAATCACCTTTAATTACTTATATTATTATTAATCATAGATTTAACTAGCGCTGCCGAGGCCAAAACGTACAAACGGAACTCTTATAATTTCGTTATGTTCGTCCTGTCCATGCGTCGCCTCTACTTTACTTGGACTCTATTGGTTCTACGAAGTGGTAATTTCGAGATAAAATACCATTATCAGGTTATTTTATTTTGGAGATAATGCAATCAAAAAATCAAATCAAAATTATTAACGCTGCGACAGGACGATTTTATTCTATGATTATTATTTCCACAAGCAAATATTTCCAGCAAAAGTTTCAGTAATAATAACACAAGCAAATATATTTTGATATCGGAATTGTTCGAAGTAAGAAATCGAAAACAGAATGGTTAATAATTAACCGGTAAATTTGCAAAATTTCAGATTGCCAAAAGTATATTTTTGGGAATTTTAATAAAATATCTTTGGAGACGTCTGGTAATACTTTATAACCGACAAAAACGTCTGGGCTTCTTTGTTTTGAATTATATAAAAACTAAATTAAAAGATTAAAAAAAAACAAGTTGTCAAAATTTTTTTTTTGGATATTTGTTTTGCAAATGTTATATACTGAACAGTAACAAGATAACCGCATACGCTATCCCAGACTCGCGGGACTGGACGCCAATTGACGAAATTATATTTTTTCACAATTTCATCTTGCCAAAAAGACCTTCTCAAAATTCGTCGCTCGATCTTTGTGGCCTAAGAACTTGTGAACGCCAAACCTTCGTCATTTTATAAAAGCCTATTAATTGCCTTGCCTTGTAATAAATGCTATGCTAGCAGTCTGAAACATCATCTAATTATTACCCAAGTATTATATATAAAAATCAGCTTTTATACTATAACGTAAGTAGAATTATGATTTCATGAAAAGGGTGTCTGGCAAGGGTTTGCCACGATGTTAAGTGTCTGGCATTGAATGACGTGATTTTTAATAATATTCTGCAGATAATACCAAAAAATCACACTTTATTATTTGGCGAATTTAGATCGGTATTTTACACACCTTTAGTACCGTGTACCTGCCAAAGCCACCATAGCCTGAACTTCATAATGGTCCATCGTTCTTATCTGTGTTGGGAGCATGCGCTGACAAACTTTCAGCCTTTATAAAATTACGAAGGTCTGGCGTTCACGGGCTCTTCCTCTATTGGCTATTAACAGACAAATAATGTCACTCGTTTTACAGTGCCCCTTTACGAGGTTATCCGTTGCAGTTTTAAAATTAACAGTGCTGACATTAGAGTGTCCATACAAGTCGCAATAAAATAAATCACAGTAGAATGTCAATAGTCAATACAAGCCCATATTAATTCTTCTTCTTTCTGCCCATTTTCCAAATTACTTGGGGTCGGCGCAGTACGTCTACCATACTGCTGATCGGTATTGGCAAAATTTTTACGAACGGCCGCCTGCCTGACATCAACCCTCTTTAGGAATGCTGTTGTTTACCACCGTCGTGCAGAAGACCCTAGGTGTGTAACCAGTACAGGATCGTCTTCCCATATTAATTATATACATGTATTAAATAAATTGAAATTAACAAAATATACTTTATTCAAATAGACTTTTACATGAACATAAATTCCGCCTCTTAAGGCAGTCTGCTGATAAGAGCCGTAAATAATTGGTGACATTCGAGCAAAGTTTAATCGACTTAAAGTCGACTATCAATTATTAAGGTTTATAAAATAAAACTCGGTAGAATGGACGGCGTAAATATAGTAGTTGGATGATGAGAACGTACCAAAATAAATCCATTTAAGCAGATGAGCATCATTCGGTTAACATTTGAAAGAAATACAATGTCTAATACGTGTGACGTCTATTACAGGTGGGCCGAGCGCACGAGCAGATCATTCAGCCTTTAGAACGATTCCGCAAAGAACACATAGGTGCTGTTAAGGTAATGTCCTGTAAATTGACTTCTTTTTCTTTAAAATGAAACCAAAGTATAAAGTAATATACATAAATTGTCTAAATTTCGAACATAGTAATAAAATTTTCGATATCTAATTTCAGGAAGGTAAGAAGAAATTCGACAAGAAGACTGCTAAGTTCTGCCAGAGTCAGGAGCGAACACTCTCACTGTCTACGAAGAAGCCCGAGGCAGTGTTCCAGGAGGTGAGTAAGCCAGGCAGTGCGAGGCGTGTTGCGTCGGCGAGTAGAGCTGTATCGCGCGTGTTGTCGGCAGGCGGACGCGGCGATGGATATGGCTGAGCGCGACTTTTGCCAGGCGTCGCTGGAGTACGTGTTCCAGCTGCAGGCGGTGCAGGAGCGCAAGAAGTTCGAGCTGGTGGAGACGCTGCTGGGTTTCGTGTTCGGCTGGTGGACCTTCCACCACACCGCGCACGACGTGCACGCCGACGCCGAGCCGCTCGTACGCGACCTGCAGCTGCGCATACAGCGGGTACACCCCCGACACACACCACCACACCGTCACCACACCACACAAACTTTAGTGTTATAATTTGCAAGCAAACGATGTCCTAATGTCTAAGACCTACAGAATCTATTGTACTTTATTATAGAAAACACCTTAATACACTTATTTGGGCGGATTGAGAAGTATTATAATGAGTCACCAATAGTGAGAGATGCTGAGGATGGCCCGCGGCCCGCGGCCGCCGGCGCCGGGCGCCGCGGGGACGCGCCTCGCCAGGTGCGCTCGCGTGCTGTTAACATAGATACTAATAGTTTTTGCTTTATTTCAAATAACCGTGTGGTGTTCTTCTAATCAGAGTCTTTGTGCATTGCCTACGTCTGTTCTAACTGACCTGCAATAACTAGAAACTAGTGGCCGCCCGTCACAGTGTTCCCAGACGGCAGACGCATGCGGCGTGTGTGCGAGTGTGTGCGAGAGTGTGCGCCGACAGAGGCCCGAGCTGGGGAATGTATACTGGTGTTTATGTTTCAGACGAGAAACAATTTCGAAGAAACTAGCAAACAAACCGAGTCGCTCATGAAGAAAATGATGGAAGTGAGACAGATGGTAATAAAAAAACTATACGCCCTTTTTTATTTTACACAAAAAATTAAGCTTTTCATATAAATATAATTTTAAAGACTTATTCGATTGGATTACGTTGCATCCTGTTTTTATATATTTTTATGATGTTGTGTTTTATATAATATTTTTTTACAGACTAAAGAAGACGAAGGAACGGAGGATGGCTCGGGGGGAGTTTCCCGAGCTGGCTACTTGTTTCTGATGGAAAAAAGTTAGTATTACATGATATATTTTTCGATTCGCCGTTACTTTCTCTACAACGATGTAGCCATAAGCCATGGTAATAACCATAAGGCGTCGGTGTCCGCAGAGGCGTTCGGCACCACGTGGAGCAAGCAGTACTGCACGTACGAGAAGGCGTCGCGCACGCTCTCGCTCGTGCCCTACAACCAGATCAACGTGAAGACGGTGAGTAGATTAGGATAAATTGTTAGACGTTCTCAGTGGCAAGTCAGATATTATTTTCTTATATGACCGTAGTATTGCATTCACCGCAGTGACCGTTAATTGGCAGTCACCGTCAGTCACCACAAAAGCAAGTTAACACTTGATTATCCAAACCAGAACTCAAATGCGGTCTTACTATAATATATACTTGAATAATCTGCTAGCAACTTTTTTATTTAAGCACTATTTGCCTATTCTGAATTACATCCGTTAGCAAAGTTTAAAATTTATAAAACTTCTTCTACTAAGGTTTACATACATAAATACTTCACTCGTGTGGAGGTGAAACAAAAAGTGTTATACTATAGATATAGTTCCCGTCATGTAAAAGAACGTGGGCCGTTTACCTGAGCACTGAGCGATTTATAGACAAAATTGGTGGTATGAAAGGGGTGTGACTGTATGTCTGTGCGCGCACGCTGTAGGGAGTGAGAAAGATGACAATTATGCCATCTGCTGGGAAAAAATAAAACCAAAGTGGTGGTAAACAGTATTAGTTTTGCATTATAAGCGTTTTTAATTAATTATTTTTTGATAATTAAAGTCAGTGTTATGTCTTTATCAAAAGCATATTGCTGTATTCGTGGCTGTTCAAATTTGCCGTATAAAAATAATACGCAGTTGAAATTTTATTGTTTCACCGAAAGTAAAAAGGATTATATACTCTATGCCCAAAAGTTCATTGACACTGTGTGGATAACCTTCAAACGTCAAAAATGTATGTATAAATATATAAAAAATATGTATAGTATAGATTTTTAATATATTTATAATATATTTTTTATACATTTTGACATTTATTTCTTTAATAAATTTTTTTCATGGGGGTATACTCACGATAAAATAGTGAAGGCATTATGAATTCGATTTTGTCTTTTCAGATTATCAGTATGGATGAATCTGTTTGTATCATCTGCAATAAGGCAGATGATAAGCAAGTGTATAATTAAACTTTTTTTTTTGTTTTTTGCATTTTCTCAGAAGATTTACTATAGTAACATATATTTTTTTTCACCATCGGAAAGTAGAGATTTCAACGAACAGAAAACATACCAACTTATTGAAAAAAGCTGATATTTTGACGGGTGAATTTTCGATTGAAAATTAGGGTGCTTTTTCGATATTAATTCAAAATAAGGTGAAAAAATAAATATTTTTAATCAAATAAATTACAGCGTATTTGGGACATAAAAAGGTAAGTTTTCACCAAATTTCGTTAAAACAAAAACAGTTTGGTAAAAGATAAAAATAAAAAACCAAAAACTTGGTTTTTCGAATTTATCACATAAATTTTGAGGTTATGTGAAAAAAGTGTAAATACAAAAGTTTTAGATCTTTTTATTACCTACAACTTTGCCATTTGATTTTTTTCGATAGGACTTTTAGTTTTGCCGGAAATCGAGAAAAACCGTTTTTTACCTTAAAACCTCACCCCCATCCCCTTCCCGACCTCAGATCGCCCGTGAATTATTTTTCCTTTCATTTTTATAATATTCCCCTCCTTTTCTAATGGGTTTCATCCTACTATTATTTTTTTTGGTTTTAAAAATTATTGACCCTGGTCTATAACTAAGATATTTTATTACATTGCTTACACAACTATGGTTTTCTTATTTAACACCAAGGCGCTCTACTTTCGACAGAAGTGCTGCCCTCTATAGTTTGCGCACACTCCGACACGACGATGGTTTTACATAAGAAGGAATGAAAAATGATTTATAGTGTTTATTCTTGAAAGAAGTTGAGATAGGATCAGTTGATAATTTAAAATAATTTATGAAACGGAATGCAGAACTACGAACACTTCTGAGACTACAGTGAGACGTATTGTAAAAAATGCGAACAGTTCAGAATTTCTTGCTGTTTTTCGAAATCCCGGCAAAAACAAAAGGATAAAAAAGAAACATATAACTGGTCTTAGTTTAAGTTTTCTGATAACAACCTACTATAAAATTTAAGATCGAAATAAAAAATACCTAATGTTTTTACGTACCTTTACCGGGCATGTCAGTAACCAGGGAATTTTAGCCTAGGTCGTTTGTTTTTTGTGTCAGTCTCAAGCACTTACTTGTCTACAAAACATCTCCCAAAAATGACTAAATGTTCTGTTAAATGGTGTAAAAACTATAACGGCGGAAGCAGCATTATTTCTTTTCAGTTGTAAATACATTATTTTATTACAGTTATTGTTATTTATCACAAAATTTAATTAAATGTAAAATAAAATGTCATATTATCCAACTATGTTAAATATAGTCGATATTTCTATGTATTGTTGACATCTGACAACCATCATAAAATGGCTGGATTATACCATTCAGAACAAATGACAAAACTGTCGAGTGAGTCCATTTGACATCGACTAGTGCTTGACAATGTCGAAAAATATATCGATATTTGACGAAATAACTGAACGAATTGTGTTATTTGTACAGTACAATAACATAAAATACTTTTATCACAGTATCCTACAATCTGATGACAATAAATTTATAAAATTATTTTCTAAATCAAATAAAAATATAAATGCAAAAATTATAATTAGTATGTGTACTTAATTTTTTATTTTATTTTATACCACATTTATATACTTTGGAATATTATTCCATTGTAATAATAATAAAGATCATTTTATTTCAACACATAAATTACACAAAATCAAACAATAATGTTTTAGCACTAAACTTCTGGGTTGGCAATTTGTAATAAAACACTTTACCACTTACACTAATTATTTTACTTTCACGATCCGACACTCACTTTTTCACAATTTGCAATCACTTTTTCTTTTTCCTAATTTCACAAATGTTTATTAAAAACTGAGCAATATTAGGAAAGTGTCACATTTTTATAAGTACCCGAGACAATCAATTGCCAATTAAAATAGTTCAAAAACAGAATCAACAAAATCATTTTATTTAATTAAATTAGCTTAATATTTTTTTTAATCTTTACAAAATAATATTTATTATATATTAATGGAATATACACCCGATATTCATTTGTTCATTAACATTATTATAGGCCAACAGAATGTTGCTATCATTGCCATCGTATTTATATAAATCAAATTAAAAAATAATTATTATTTGACACATTATTATTGCCTCTTTAATTCATTTATTTTAATTTATTATAATAAATACAGATATTTTAAATTAAAAGTTGTAAAATATGATGACTATGCTTAGAAATGTCTAAAATGCCATTCATTGGTTCATCGATATATGTATTTTATCGATTACGTTCAAGCACTAGAAATATTGTATTGTGTATCAGTGTTTATAATAATGTAATAAAATCTTTGTGTGCGTTATGCGTCAACTTGGTTGAACTAGTTTTCATACATTTGAATTTTATGTCAGGTCCAGTCTCTAATTCGTCCATGATTCTACAATAAAACAATTACACTTATATTATAAAATAGTTTAGACTAGTACTTTAGGACGACTGTTCCCATGCGCAGACACATCCTCTCCACTGTCACCCAGCGTTCTGTTTACGTGATGAGACCTGTACCAAAACAAACTTTACTTGTATTCCCAAAATTTATTCCTAAATTTACCTTATTATATGTTTATTATATTTCCTATATTGAATGAGCTGATACTTTGTACCTATATGAAGAAATGTGTTATATATACATCAGTGGCGAAGGAAGGGTGATACCAGAGGTAAGCCGTTCCAAAAAAAAAACAAACAAAAAAACGTTGATGTATGTACAATTTTTATATATCAATGCAAAAACAATAAGAAATGTTGTTGTGAAGATTTTTTTTAATAAAGCTATTATGGTTTTTTTTCAAATGTATGCAAAATATTCTAGCAAAATACATACACTTAATAAAATAATAAAACCTCATAAAATATTAATAACGCCATTTATGAAAAATCATTACGCATCACTTATTAAGTGAAAGTATGGTTTGATTTAAGAACGCATTATTTTATTTTTGTTTATTATTAGTATATTTTAAAACTGAGACTACTTTTTTTGGGTTTTAATACTCTTTTTGTTGTAAATTTTAGTTAAACAATATATTTAAATGTAAATACCGCCATCTACTTACACCTGTTTGAACTACTTTTTCTTTCTTACCGATGAGATTGATTTATTATTTTATTGAATTGTATTTATCAAGTCAAATTGAACGAAAATTATGAAATAAGTAGATATACATCACAATAACAAGTAGGCTACTTTTTATCTCGGAAAAATGTACGGTTCCCGTGGGATAGATTTGGTTTTGTTACAATATAGACCCCAAAACAATAGTTATTAAATTTTTTGTCTGTTTGCCTGTATTTCTGTTTACGGCCTGATCTCCGAAACTGCTGGACCGATTTAAATGAAATTTTGCATGGTGGTACCTTATATCCCAGGTCAACGTTTAAAATACTTTTCATCTCGGAAATTTAAAGAGTTCCCGTGGGATAGATATTTTTGAAAAGTCTCATATGAGATATTTAATAAAAATCTCATATGGTCCAATTTTCAATTCATCTAATTTTTTCCGGTTTAGCTTGTTCACATTTTTAACATACACCATGTCTCCTACATTAAGTTCAACATTTTGCCATTCTTGTCAAATAGCATTTTGTTGTATTTATGTGATTTTATTGTATTCTCAAGTGCTATTTCCCTATCTCTGATCCAGTCACTATGGGACTTTTTTTCCACCAACTCATTTGGTAAAATTGTGACATCTGTACCATATAAAAGGTAGCTTGGAGAATAACGAGTAACTGAGTGGTTAGTTTGATTATATTTATTCACACATTCATGGGCAATAGTTGTCCAAGCTCGCTTATTTCCTTTTTCATTAATTTTGCATCTGATTTTATTTACCAATGTTTGATTTCACCTTTCGTTTAGTCCATTTGAGAATGGTCAATTTACTGCTGTAAATATCATAGGTATCTGTTTGTTTCTTAAAAATGTCTTAAAATCTATCGAATTTATTCCAGGGTATTGATCACATAATAGCATACCGAATCTCCGTTTGTGTTACATTCATAACTAGTTTTATAAAATCATTTGCGTTCTGAGTTTTAGATGAAATAATATAAGCGTATCTCGTAAAATGATCTATGAACTAACAGATGTAAATATTTTTTTGTCGATCTTAAACTTCCAAAACCACACTAGTAACTTTATGAAGCTTTTGGTCATGTAGTCTACTAGTACTGTGTACGACATCCATACAGAATGGAAATGCTGAACGGAGAGGATGTTGAAATTATAACACAGTCCACCCTTAAGCCATCCCCAACGTCATTTTTAAGGAAGCACGACAGTCGGTATCCCGTCATTCGCGTTTCCTCGGACTCCCACCCTGTCTAAATGCCTTCGTTAGACTGCTGTATGGCCGAATGGAGAGTGACAGAGGTGTTTAGTGGTAATGTCAGGACGAGATATAAGGGTGGTCGCTCGGTGGGCGGCGGTTGGCGGCAGGTGGGCGGCGCGGAGGCGGTGGCGCTGCGCGGCGCGCGCGGCGCGGCCGAGGCGGAGCGCCGCTTCTGCTGGGAGGCGCTGCCGGCCGAGCGCGAGCGCGCGCCGCTCACGTTGCAGGCGCTGGGCGAGCGCGATCGCGCCGCCTGGCTGCGCGCGCTCGACGCGCTCGCCCCGCTCGCGCCGGCCGACGCGCACGACGCGCCGCGACAGGTACCACGCAAAAAATACATTTATTTTTCTTTAATGTATTGTATTCAGCTCTTTTTAACGTCCCACTGCTGGACACGGGCCTCCCGTCAACACGAGGGGAACCAGGCCATAGTCCACCACGCTGGCAAGTGCGGGTTGGCGGATTTCACATGTCTTTTGAAAACTTGCTAGGTTCTCTCAGATATGCAGGTTTCTTCACGATGTTTTACTTCACCGTTAAGACAAGTGGTAATTGTGTTAGAAATGATTCGCACATGAAAATATCAGAGGTGCGAGACCCGGGATTTGAACTCACTTCACTCGATTTCCCGAGCGAGCGCGTTACCACTGGGCTACCACTGCCTTTCTTTAATAACACGCTTTTATTAGCTTTAACTGTATCTATGTAACGGAATCTTTGAATGCTAATTTTCACTCACTTCAAAACTTCAGATTAAATAAAACTTTGCACATTTAACAAGGGCCGATCATAACACGATAGTTCATAAAAAAAAAAATATTAAAAAACAAAAAAGGGCGGGGTGCTCAATATCAGTTGTTATAAATACATATTCCATTGGTATGATTTCTAAAAGTAGAGTTAGAATAAAAATATTGTACAAATATGCCCACGCTTTTTTAACAATAACGTTTAAATTCTCGTTATTTACTTTATTCTTATACTAAAAAATATTTTATCATTAAAGTGTGTTTTTAGTAAAAATTGTATTGAAATGACAGAAGTTGTCCGATTGCTAACAAAATTCACAGGATCACCCGTTGAGCTAATGTAAAGATAAAAGATTACCGGAAAATTTCATCAAAATCGCTCCAGCGGTTTTGGAGTCGAGTTTATTTTATTTAATTAATAATTTAAATTTATTTAATCCTAGGAATGCTTGAAATGTTGCGTTGGTCCCGTATGTGGTATCTCACCGCAGTATCGGATTGTTGTTCCACATGGGGTTTGAAAGTAAACATGCACTTGTGTTAGTGCATACTTGTATACTCCTGTGCACTTGACAGTTGACTAGTTTCAGTTAAACGTCTGGACCGAAATCTGTCAGGTTATTAACGGTCGACTCGCTGCAGGTGTCGCTGGCGGAGGGCGGCGCGGGCGCGGAGGGCGACGCGTGGGGGCTAGACGACGCGGGGTTCGCGTTCGTGCGGCGCGTGATCGCCGTGCTGGAGGCGCGCGGGCTGGAGGAGCAGGGGCTGTACCGCGTGGCGGGCGTGGCGTCCAAGGTGGCACGCCTGGTGGCGCTGGCGCGCGAGCGGCGCCTGCCCGCCGCGCTGGCCGACCCGCTGGAGTGGGACTCGCGCACGCTCACGTCGGCGCTCAAGAGCTACCTGCGCGCGCTTCCCGAGCCACTGCTCACGCGCCGCCTGCACCGCCAGTGGCTGGCCGCTGCCAAGCTGGAGCGCCGCGCCGAGCGCGCCGCCGCGCTGCACGCGCTCGTGCGCGCGCGCTGCCGCCGCGCGCGCGCGACATGCTGCGCCTCGTGCTGGCGCACCTGGCGCGCGTGGCGGCGCGCTGCGACCGCAACCTCATGAGCGCCTCCAACCTGGCCGTGTGCTTCGGGCCCACGCTGCTGCGCGCCGAGCACGAGACCGTTGCCTCCATCTTCGAGCTCAAGTTCTACAACGTGCTGGTGGAGGCGCTGCTCGACAACTTTGACGTGGTGTTCGCGGACGAGCCGCCGGCGGTGCCCGCGCCGCCGCCGCCCGCGCCGCCGCCACCCGCGCCGCACGCGCCGCACGCGCACAACGGATTGTTAGGGTGAGTACTGCACACAAAATCGACTCGGGGTTTTATGTGGTCCTTCCTATTATAGACACAGATATTTCCTGTTCGTGTGCTCACTCGTTTCAGTTCCCGGCCCCGGGCCTCGTAAGTTATGTGATTTAACAAAATTTGAGTTCTTTATATCGAATTATTCGAATTTAAAATCTTTGTAAAGTAAAGCCCACATCCATTCGAGTCAGCACCATATTTATTGAAATTCGGCAACATTTTTGCAAAATGACGAGATCATCGACAAATCATGGAAAATGATAACAAAAGAATGCGTATGCCCCAGCAATGCCGAGGATAGCTTTTGCTCGATGTGTTATTCCATACATAACCCTAGTCTATCTACTTTATGCTTCAATTTAAACGAAAAAAAAACTGAAAAATATATTGTGATTTCTAATTAATTTAAATCTTGCGTGAATTTTTTGGCACAGTATACGTTATCTTGTCAAATAACGTTTTACGTAGACTGAACTCCGCTCCGCAAAAGGAGAATGAGTGAAATCGATATTGCTCAGCTTATTATTTATTTTACCGATTATCACAGCATCTACACTATGAGAAAATTCTGCGGTCAATAGGTATTTAAAATTAAGTTGGATATTTTTAAGTGACTTTTTTATTCAAACCAACAATCGTGGAGGTATACCTATTTGTCCTCACTCCCCCCGTCCCCCGGAAACTTTAACTTTTAAATTATGGAGTGAAAAATTATGACCAAAATTGAGGTAATAAAACTTGAAATCTACCAATGTCTACTAAAATTATTTGAAATATATACATTCAGTAATTTTTGAGGTATGGGATATTTTTCGTATCACACAATCGGCCGCAAAATTAACTTTTTCTCTCATAGAAATACTATGAAATACAAACTTATTTACGCCATTAATAAAATCGAAATTGTAGAAGATAAAATAAAAAATATAGTTTTAATTTTAATGTAATAAACTAGTATGGTAATACATAACATTAATTTAATGTTTAATGCTACGGGACCCTCGGTGTGTGAGGCTTGCACTTGTCCAGTTTTTTTCAGTTAAATAACCGCAAGAACAGCTTCGTTTTTCGCGCTTTTTAAGAATATTGTTAAATACAAATCCCATACTATATTACATCGGCGCATAAAAATAAAACGAAATATGAACTCTTAGAGCCTTTTTTATTGCTTTGCATCCGTTTTTACTCGTTAAACCACAATGCCTGAACTGATCCTAGGATATGTAAAGTTCGTTAAATTAATTACAAGTTAGTAAACATGACTTGATGAATTATGGTTTATTATAATAGTTTTCAATATTTGTTTCATATTTTACTTATCTAAGTATATAATATTATAAAACTAATTATATGTCTTTTTCTCTCTCTCTCTCTTTATATCGTCGGAATTTACAGATTTTTAATCCATTTGCGATATAACTTATGTTGTAACTTACGTTATGTGTCTGATAAAGAACTATCGTGAACGTCTGGGAAGGCTTTTTGCGAATCATTTTCAAGCACTCGCTAATACTGTGAAGGAAAGTATCATAAGGAAACCGGCGTGTCTGAGAAGATCTAACCTAAAGAAGTGGAGCGGCGGCCGAGCCCCAGCAGTGGCACGTTAAAAAAAATCACATAATACGTCTTAATTAACGCTTAAAGAACCGGCGAAAAAACCAAGAGTTGCCCTTTTTGACAACAATTCTTGCCTAAGTACAGCCTTTGTATACGTTTCGTCATACGTGGGTATGTTGCCTCAAGAATAATTCACATAATGATGTCTCGCTGAGACTAGCCACTGCGCTGGAGATATTATAGTGAAGCGTGTGTGTCGGTGTGTCTGTGTGTGTGTTGTGTGTGTGTGCAGACACTACATGCACTTTCTATTCTTGGGATATGACGTACGTGAGATGAAAATTCTACTCGACTAGTGAGAGATCAGACAGAGTGATGTAGTGAAGAAATTTTTATTTCTAATAAACTTTTATCTAAAAATAGCTATCCGAACTCTTTTTTTATAAATTTTTATAGTTTTAAGTTTGCTTTAATTTCTGAACAGAGGGCCTGCCCTCAACTTTTACATAGAGGTTTATTGCCGATGAGGTCCATTTTAGGTTCTTTAATTGAATCACTAGTTTTTGTACCGACAACATACCATAAACAATCGATGCAATTATTCAGGTGACCCTACAATAATATTGGGTTAGAAAATGAGTTCATGCATGGTACGAGTTGAATGAATGAAATAAATATTTGAGGTTCAATTTAGAAATTACATGCTAAGTAAAGTGCTTAGGCTGCGACGTGACGTGAACGCCTTACTTAAGATAAGATAATAATTATAAGATAATATTACTATAGTCGAAATGCCGCATCGATTTATTTTAGTTCAAAAAATAAATTGCAGTAAAAACTGAAGGCCATCAGATGTTATCTTAAACCCTTTATCTAGGCCTAGATGAATCATAACTTTTAAAACACGACTTGAAGTATTTCGCTGTATAAACAAAATTCAAAGATTTTGATTTACTATTTGGTCTCCAAGGTACTAGGTAAGCAAATTTGGACTGCCCATTTCTTTATTTTGATGATGATGATGAGGATTTATATAGGAGAAAAAGGTACATTCTGGTTCTAAAAAATGTTCTATAGTTCATTCGCGTTAAGAAAATAGTAAGTCATCAGTGTCCACCGGCCTCGCCACGCCCCCGACCAATTAGGTTGCTTAAAATTATAAAAGTCAAGTTCACAATGACCAGCTGAAGGCATACTTAAATATATTATTAATGAATCTAATATATTTATACGAGCAATTCTTGTATCTGAATTTCGAAAACGGCCCCAACGATTTTCATGAAATTTAGTATGCAGGTGGTTTCGGGGGCGATAAATCGATCTAGATTAGTTTTATGTTTGGGGAAACGCGTGTTTTCGAGTTTTCATACGGTTTTGTTTCGCATTATTCCACGCAAAATATGGTCGCTAATTCGCACACTCGGACATAAGCATCGTAGTCAAGCGGCCAAGGCGCAAGTTCGTATCTCGGTCGGATACAAAGTTTTTACTTTTGTTTTTTTTTGTATTTATTCAAATTTTTGTTTGTTTTTTTTAATGTTTTTTTGGCCAAAAACTACGAGCGAAGCTCGGTAGCCCAGGTACTTAATTTTGATTTGAGATAATTATGTTGATTAATTATCTAAAATCAAAATAAAGTCATTATCATTATAATATAATAATATAGATAAGTAAGATAATTAAGTTGATTTTTATCCATTAAATTTAATCTTTTGCAATATTGAATTTGAATTGAATTTTTACTCTACTTTGTATACACACCTTTAGCTGCCGTTGCACTTGATGACTCACTATGTTAAATATGAAATACACTGGCGTGCAAAAAAATCGGGCCACCTAGAGAAAATGGACAAACTTAAGATATAATATTTTTTTATTGATTTTGTTATTATATATGGGTAGCTGTATACCCTAGGTACCTAAATCAATAATCGTTGAATAATTTAAATAAAAATTATTGCTCGAAAATAGAGGAAAATCAAATTTAATGATTTTTGCGAGTTTGGTATAAAAATGTAAGCCGCTAATTAATGGGAAAATTAAAAGATTTCGATTGGTTTTATGATTTTTAATAATGCGTATTACCGCCTCCTTTTTTTAATTACAGCTTTTAATCGATTTTTCAGAGATTTGACACACTTTTTTAGAGGCCAATTTTCCAATAAGGCGCTTTTTAATTCTTGAATGTTGCTCGGGACTACTACGCGACTTCTAACTTTTCTTTTGAGATGGTCCCATACATGCTCTATGGAATTGAGGTCAGGGCTTCGCGCTGGCCAGGCAATAGTAGACACTCCGACCTCTTGAAGATACTGCCTTACTGATGTGGCAGTGTGTGGGCGAGCATTATCTTGTAGAAGCAGAAAATCTTCTCCAATGAACCCAGTAAAAGGCATCACATATCTTCTAAAACCTCCGTTATATACCTAGCGGCTGTAAGGGATCCATTTTCTATGAATATAAGCTCGGTTTTCGCTTCGTAACAGAATCCTGCCCAAAACATAACTGAGCCCCCTCCATATGACACTGTTTCTCGCATAGTGCATGGTGCATATCTTTCACCTGGTCGCTGGTAAACAAAATTACGGCCGTCGGCACCAAGCAAACACATTCTGCTTTCGTCAGTAATAAGAACCTTCTTCCACTGCTCCAAATTCCAATTCACGTGATCTTGCGCAAAACGTAATCTTGCAATTCAATGTGCAGGGGTGAGTTTGGGGCCAGTTGCGGACTTGCGTGGCGTCAGGGAAGCGGCTCTAAGTCGGCGCCTTACTGTCCACTCGCTAACATTAACACCTCTCACTTCTCTCAGGAGATTTCGAACGTCAACCCCTGTGCGGTGACGATTTCTTAGAGCTGATGACACAATAAATCGATCACTACGCTCTGATGTGGCTCTTCGTCGGCCGGAACCATGTCGTCGTACAAAGCCGCCAGTCTCTATGTAATGTTTGTACACTCTCTGGACCGTAGAACGGCTCACAGAAAAAGCTTGAGCCACTTGACGTTGACTTTGTCCAGTTTCAAGCAGAGTCACAATTCGAGATGCTTCAGCCTCGGTCAGATCCATCTTGCAATATTTCTAATAATCGCAGATCAAAGTAGAAGTGTCTTGTTCAATAATTGGAGCTTCTAAAATAACAAAAAACAGTATTTGTGGCTTCAATCCATATTATGCAAATATTCACTAATTACTGCTAATTGACTATAATTAAGCGCACACGTGCATTTCCAGGAATTTTATGACTTTTTTGAAGGAAACAAAGGCGTCTAATCTCCTTAATTATCTTTGCGGTATTTTTTTTCGCCAAACAATTGTCAACAAAAAATTATGCTTAAAATTAAGGGTGGCCCGATTTTTTTGCACGCCAGTGTAGTACGTTCTTAATACTTAGAGAAATTATGGAATTAAAATATAGTATTTTAAG